CTGTGCATTTCTGTTAGAGGCAGACATTTTGAAAACCTCTTGTAAATAACATAAATGAATAATAATCTGCTGTTCAGTAATAATCAAACGTGTTTTTGTGGTTTTTGCAAATTTTTTTTCCGAAACTAATAATTTCTATTGAGCAGAGGGTTATCCAATTTTGGGTTCGGTTCTATTTGAGCCACAATTACGGTAGCATGTAGTAAAGCTAGGTTGATGAAATTTTTACGGTAAATAGCTGATACCGTAAGGAAGTTTTTAAGATACTTAAAAATAGTAAGAACATGTTTTTTCAATTTTTTATAAACGTTCAAAGTTGTTGTTACTTTTTTGTTATGTTCGAAGATTTTGAAAAAAATTAAAAAGTAGTATTAGTTACATGACTTGAATGATTATATGATAGTTAAGCCTTAGGTCTTAGCTACATAATCGTGAAAAAAGTAGGCATTTATCACAATTATTAACGAAGTTATGGTAAAAATAAACACAGAACTCAAAAATTCTCGAAAAATCCGAAAAAAAATCATAACTCCTAAACTAAACAAAATCGGACCATATATATGGGGGTGATTTGGGTTCCTCTCGATGTGGGGAATCTAATTTTTTTTATGACGTCACGTGTTTGGCCACCCTGTATAATGGGTAAAGCTGCCGAAACGTAATTTGGAATTTAGTTTTTAGCGCTTCCTTATGGTTCCGCCAAGTCATCCCTTTGTCCAGAATGACACCGAGATACTTAGCGGAGGATTCCCATGGTATACGAAGTCCATTCACTGAAACTTCAGACGGAACGCCGCGACGTCTTTTTGTACAGTAGATTGCCTGCGCTTTCGAATGGTTTATTTTAATTAGCCACCGATCCGCCCAATCTAATACTTCCTCCACCGCACTTTGCAGCCTGTCATGGACTAGGTCACCAGACCACGACTGAGCCACCAATGCAGTATCGTCAGCATAGAGATAGACTTCACAGTTGTTGGGACTAGGGACGTCGTGGATGTACAGTGAGTAAAGGATAGGTCCAAGGACCGAACCCTGAGGGACGCCGGCTGTAATCAGCCGTGTTGTCGACAGGACGTTGTCAATTTTTATCCGAAATTTCCTACCTTCAAGGAAGGATTTCAGTAGTTTTAGAAGCCAAAAAGGGAAGCCCTTTTGGATTAGTTTATACAAGAGGCCCGCGTGCCACACCTTGTCAAATGCTTTTGAGACATCCAAAAGCGAGATGCCAGTACTTTCGTTAAGGGTGAATCCTCTGGTTACACGATCCACCAGCCTAACCGCCTGTAGTTCCGTACTATGTTCAGACCGAAAACCGAATTGCACGTCAGGAATCACATGGTGATCTGACGAGAAATTCTCAAGGTGACGTAGAATCACCTTTTCAGCGAGCTTAGACGCAGCTGACAGCAGACTAATGGGACGATAATCCTGGGGAAATATCGAACCCACCTTCTTTGGTTCATTATAACTTCAGCGGTCTTCCACGCGGATGGGAAGTACTGGATCCTTAGCATGGCATTGACTATTGCCACGAGATAAGTTAAGGACTTTCGCGAAAGCAGCTTCAGCGCCTTATTAGTGATTTGATCCTCCCCAGGTGTTTTACGCACTTTAAGGTCTTTAATATGACCTTGAATCTCTGCTGGTGTGCAATGCGGGATCTCAGGCAATACCGCTGATGTGCTAAGCAATCTTCGGTTGAAGAAGCTTCTGAAGAAGAATCTTCTGATGAAGAAAAATCACCAAGAATGCGCGACTGTCACTGACGCCGTTGGCCCTAAAATATCTCCTGACAGATCTTACGATGTGTTGCTCCTCGTCGAGGTCATTATCAAGATCATAGTTGGGAGAGAACTGTCTTTCCATGGCATCGGCGAAAACCTCAACCTTCTCCTCTGTCCTGAAGACAATGCCTCCAGGACCGTGAATGTGTGGGATTTGTTCACGCTTTCCGTTTTAGAGCGACTTCGCCACCTTCCAGAGAGGAATGCTTGAGTCAAGCATCCCCGCCAGAAAGTCGTTCCATTGCTCATTGCGGAATTCATGAAGAGCATTTCTTACTTCGTGAACAAGATTCGTCGCTCTGCGAATGTCATCAGGATGACAAGACCTTTTCGCTTGCTTAATTGCAGCTCTTCTATCAGAAATTTTCTGACGAATGTCTGCTGGCAGAAAAGGTCTGCCGTGTCGCTGCACGGGAAGTACAGCTGCACGCTGCAGAGTTTGCTGAAAAAAACTTGTCCACTCTGCTTGAGCCGCATTTATACCGTTCTCATCATCTATGATCGGTATATTGGGGAACTCTTCAAGATCTGCTCATTAGCCACTTCCAAAACGACGGGAAGATGATCGCTTGAGATGTCATACATGATTCAAGAAGTGATACAGTTCTTGGATAATGCCAAATCAGGAACATCAGGTGCCTGAAGGTGATTAAATGGGTGGTGCGTCGGCTCCTCAGTACTACGTATGAGGTTGCCATTTCGTATCACATGGTTGTACAGTCGGATCTCAGTGGTGGAATTCAACCTGGAATGCCATGTTCGATGTTTGCAGTTGATGTCCCCTGCCACAATAAGTGGACCCGAGCAGTATAAAAGGACTTCCAGATCCGCCTCTTGCAGCCTGTTACCACACCTGACATACACCAATGTGATTTTTAACGGCACACCTCCCGTCATATTCACCACCACGGAAGCCGCTTCGATGCTCTGCATGTCAGCGTTTGTGCTTCTGTGGTAGTCAATACCGCGTTTCACTAGCACTGCCAAGCCGCCACCCCGTCCAGTCAATCTATCAGCCCGGATAACATCGTAATTCGGGAAAGCTAGACGATCCCCCGGATTAAGTAATGTTTCCTGCAGCAAGGCCACATCTATACTTTCGTCCACAAGAGCTTGATGAAATTCCCGTCTTTTGGGAATGTCCCTTAGACCCAAACAATTCCAAAAAAGAATTTTGATAAATGCAGGCTGTCGTCGATTGTACCTAGCCATTTGCCGGAAAGATCGCCTGCAAAGCCTGTGTTGCGCTAATCAGAGGACCTATGATCTGCTGTAAGGACCTTAGCGCGGTTGCCAGGTCCACATTTTGCCTGTTCGCAGAAGATCCCACAGAGAGGGCAGCCCGGGTTGCATCCCTAGCTGCATCCGCGTAACTTACATTGCGCCTTTGCGCTATCACTTGCAGATTTTTCTTAGGGGCAAATCTGCAAGTTCGGCTATTCGCTGGATGCCCCCCTCCAGAGTTCGCGCACTTTCGTTCCTCTTGTTCTGTTTGAGGGCATAAGTGGGTCATGTGGTCAGAAGCACATTTTAGACATTTAGGTGGTGCAGTGCAGTAAGATTGCGCATGCCCATATTTTTGGCAGCGGTGACACTGCCCGATGAGTCTTGAGTTCTTTTGAACTTCGACTCGGATAGCCAAACCTAGCAGCTCGTGTTCGTTGAACAGCTGCTGAGATTTTTCTATCTTGGGCAGTATGTCTACCACCAAAGGCATGGGCACGCCGCCACCGCGTTTCAGGCGAATTATGTGCAGGGGGGAATATCCCCTCTGTTGCAACTCTTCCTTGATCTCAGTTTCCGAAAGTGTCGCATGTACTCCTCTGATTACAGCATGAATGTTCCTCTCCGAGGGTAGAGGGGAAGTGTGATGGGGCACCTCTTCCTCCCTGAAGAGACGAATAATCCTGCCGTAATCATCCTCGGACTTGGGAATTATCCTGATTCCTGCATCGACGGCAACCGCGCGTTCGAATTTGATGCCCAAAGAAATAAACTTGTGATTTACGCCTCGCCATCTCGAAGCATCGCGAAGAACGATAGGGGTAACACGTACCTTGCGTGGGGGCTGTGCAGTCGTGTCTTCTGGTGCCTGAGATGTCGAAGGCGTGGAAGTAACCGATAGATTAGGCACAGGCTGTTTATTCGAGTGACAATGCATGGAAATAATAATATAAAATATTCTATAGAACGGGTTTTATATTTTTACCATGAAAATTTTCACAAGAATTCTTTTAGGTGTAATACGACAGCAAAAATTTTCGGCATAATTATAACCATAATTTTCGGAGTAATTCTCTTGTGTGTAAAACGGCTCTTATGTGTTGCATGTCCATCGTAAAAGATCCTCATTTGCTAAAGAGCTTATCCGGCAACACTGCGCATCTACACTGCGAGTATATCCTATAGGATCGGAATTCCGACTCCATAATCAAATTCAAGCGGATAACCAAATGGAAATGGTATTTACCATTTTGGGTTGGTATTTACCAATCCGTTCAAGCGAGTGTAGTTATCAGTTTGGTTATAAGATCCGTGACGTCACGAATCAGCTGTTATATGTCATAGTTATCACCGCAAAATTGTGGTATTTACCCAACTCCGGAGTAGTTTTATATTTCTGGTTATTATTTGACACGTGACAAGTTAGAATTTTGCCGGGTATTGGATATTTTTATTGTACTTCAGCGTCATTTTTGGGAAACTTGATACAGGCTGACTTCAGTTTTAGCATTATTTATAATCATCACTGTTGTTGGGGACACTTTAAATCTAGTTCCTACACTTAAAAAAGTATCCTGTATAGCCATATACCACAAGAATATTAAAATATGGCCGTATACACTCACTGGATGATGTCCACCTGTATACGGTTTTGTTAATATCTTTTTTCATCGTTTTTGCTAAATCAATAAATATTTTCTTTGACATGCGGAAAAGTTTAGAGAATTGAAAGTTATCATAGCTACAAAGCCATGGTTCCATCAGTAAAAAATTTTTTCGGAAAAAAAAACATTCCTCTCATTAATATTATGAAAGTTTACTTTTTTTCAACTTTCCATACCCCGTTGTAGACGAAAAAGCACCGATTATTAAGTGATAATAAAAATAATCAGAAATTATATACGCGCTTTTCTAAAATAAACAACTTGCAACAAACCGCGGTTAACACCAACGCGTTCAAGCGATTCGAGTAACTGACGTCACCATCCCGTGTGTCATCTTGAACCATATTATAACCGCGGTACATAATACGGACATTTTGGTTATCCGCTTGGATTTGATTCATGTTTGACGGATTTACATATTTGACATCGAGTGACAAAAAATGTACTAATGTCAACAAAACAAGAGTAATCATGATCATGAGATTTGATGATTCACATATTTACGTTTCATATGCAAAATAAGGGAATATCATTGTGAAATAAATAAATTTATGTTTCAAACATTACAAGCTGTAAAAACGATGGCATCCGCCGTGTCAGAGAAAATCAAGGATAAACGCAATCGAGTAAAACTCGCCAAATAGTAAGTTGATTAACCCTTTAACATTGCCGTTTTTTCAGACTCTGCTAGGCGAGCTACCGGAGGATTTCCTGCGTGTAACAACTTCAGCCCAAGAGCAACAAGAGGCAGCTGATAGACAGACTGCTATAGCACTCCAGCAACATTATGCTGGCACAGCAACAACTTATGTGCCAGATGCTTGCGGAAGACTCAGCATCACCTTGGTGCAGGCTAAGCTCGCTAAGAACTATGGCATGACTAGAATGGACCCATACTGCAGGATCAGAGTTGGTCATAGCATTTATGAGACACCTACAGATACTAATGGAGGGAAGAACCCTAGGTGGAATAAGGTTGTTTACTGGTAAAGAAAAATACTTTATATAGAACTCTTGAGCAATAACACCTTCTCTGAAAATATAGATACAGTTGCTCATTTGAGGTCTGGAGCGGAAAATCTAAATGAGGCCTCCCTGTGTTAAGAAATTGATTATTCTATGGGTAAAAAATGGTAATCCAAAAAGATAAAACAAAGTGGTTAATTGGATATTTTTTGCACTTTGATTCTCATAATTATTATTATTATGATTACAGGCTACAAAAATTTTACATACCTAATAATATAGGTAAGAGTAAAGTAATAAAAATGGTGTCCCATGCAATGCTGGCATCAGTTTGTAAAGGATAGCTCTCCTTGAGAGAAATTCCTGTGGTAACATGATTGTTGCTCTGATTCAGGGCCGTCTTGAGGGTGGAATGAGTAGAGTGGCTGCTCTAGGCCTCGCAGCACTGACATAAGTAAAATGTTTTGGTTAAATATCTGTCTAATTTCTCTCGCAATATGTTAAATTATTGATTAACTCCAAAACCCACAAACGAGAGAATCGTGAGCAAAAGAATGCAAAAGATCGTTTGATAGTGGCAGCGGGGTCCAGGGTGACAATTCCTGAATCTTGCGCATGTCTGTGGCTGACTTATGCTTGCCAGCGAGCTGACAGCACACTGTCACACACCGCTGACGGGCAGACGAGCCTGTCTCAACATGATCTATCCCATTAGCCTGTCTCCACATGATCTCCCCGATTCCTCCCTCGACTCAAGTAGTTTAGTGGCAATGTTATTAGTTGCTTCACATGCTTATTAGTTGTGAGTGCTGTGACTTTAATGTTTCTAAGCCCTAAGTAGTGTGTGGTTGTACTGTGGAATTTTATGTTCATTAGATTTTAGTGCATGATACAGATTTAAATCGTGTCTAGAGAAAGATACAAATTTAGGTTATGAAAAACAGAAGAAAAATGACAAACATGAACACTTAATAATACCAAACACATGTATGTGGAAATAATATGTAATAAAAATGTTTTGCTCCAGGTCTCTCATCTGCTAAAGATTGTTCTGCTCTGACAAAATGTATTGGGATGATACATCTATAATGAGTAGAGTATGTCTAATAAGTGGTTAGGATTACTGGGGTTGGAGGCATACTTATTTATTTATTTCCTCTTGGCAAAAAGCATTGTATAGGAATTGTCATACATTTTCAAATCTAAGACAAAAACCTATATCTAACAAAAAAACAGTCAAATAGTAAAAAATAAGACCTAACGGCATATATCACAATATTCTTGCACACTATAAAAGCTATATATTCAATGTAATATCTTTTTAGGAATTCTTAAATGTCTTCAGACTGTGGCAATTCTTTATTTCCAAAGGAAGTAGGTTAAACATTAATATTTGGCAACTTACACTGCTATACATCTGATAATTCTTTTGTGTTTCATGAACACCTCTTGTGGATTTGTAGAGATCCCCCGAAATGATATGTCATGTCTTATGACAGAGTCAACCTTTGCATGTTACAAACTAATTAACTGATTTAATGATAGAATATCTTTTAAATGTAATAATAGATAATATTGAATTGAATATAGATATGCCAACATCAAAAGATTGAGATACACTCTCCCCCACCCCCTGCAAGATCTCAACCCCTTATTTTTATTGCTTAAACAACTGTTTCCTGAAATGATCAGGGCATTGGAAATATCAAAAATTTATGATTTTTATTTTTTCGTTTTTGACCTCTGCCAGTGGACGGATTTTCAAAATCTAGAAAGTTTTTATGTCCTTTGCATAGTAGTAACCTTGTGTGAATATTTCATCCAAATCCAAGCAGTACATTCCAAGTTGTAGATCGCTCAAGGATTAGCAGAGAATCAAACAAACAGATCCACAGAAATGGTTTTTCATGATGTAGATTTATTTATTTATTACAATTTGGGGTGTTCACAGCCAAAGCCAACACACACCCACAATAAAGTATGAACATGGACAAAATTATGAGTTATTAAGATATATATTGACTATAAAAAATGAGTAATATGATGCTCAATGCTCAATCTTCATCTGGCATACAAGACTATAAAAGATGCCACTGTAAGACCAAGTGTGGAAGTAGAAAGTGTTCTTCTAAAGCTGCTGGTATTTTGTGTACCTCTAAATGTCATTTAAGTTTAAGTTGTTCAAATAAGTAGATAACCAATCATCCCAGTTTTTTTTATATCACTGGGTATGTTGACCATCTACTTTTTTTATTACTTGTTCTAAAGAATGTTTCAATAATTTGTGTTAAATTGTTATACCAGCATGAAATATTTAAAAATTGTAAAATTCAGTTACAGTTACGGAAAAAAATGTTTAAATTGTTATATTGTTTGCATAAAATAGTTGAAATTATAAAGTTTAGTTACAGTTACAAATAAAATTTGTTTTTAAGTTATACCTAAAAAAATGTTGTTACTAGAATAAATTTTTATTATTGCGGTTACTTACCTGAGAGGACAATGCCAAGGTATGGCTAAGTTATGTTCAAGAAATTTATTGCTTTATATGACAGTCATATTATATTTTCTTTAAGAATACCCGTCTAAACCTGCTTGTAACGTTTACATCTAGTTTTAATCACTAGCGATTGGTTAGACCTAGGTGTAGGACTAAGTTGGTTGCACCTAGTTTTAACCGAATGCAACCGGCTATACTAGCGTTAGCCATGAATGTATAGGTTACACCTGAGACTAAACTGCCAGTGGCTACACCTAGTTCCAACCGGCTAAACCTAGTTGTCACCGCATTTCGGGTTTTAGCCGTAAGATAGATACACGTGTATATATTATAACCCTGTGAAAGGCCAATTACTGTCCAGGGTGTGTATTTTCATGAAAATATTTATCCCCTAGGGTTGAATTATTTCCGTTTTTTGCAGTCTTTTACCACAAGGACTAAATGCCATCTCAATAGAGATATTTGATGAAAGATCCTTTACTATGGATGAGCTGATTGCCTGGACACAAATTGTAATACCACAGCAAGTTTTGGCAGGGGAGACTCATGAAGATTGCTACCCTTTAAGTGGGAAGCAAGGAGAAGGTCAAGAAGGGACGATCAATCTTGTTTTGAGTTATACAGTAAGTTTGCATTAGGGCTGTCTGTTACGATACGAAATTTTGCGCTAAATTTGATATGCTTAATTTATTAGAACCTGTTCTAAATAATATCATTCTAAAAGTGCGCAAACGCTTACTGCGCATTTGGAGCAGTGCAATGACTGCTAGAAGCGCTACGTGACAAGGAATTATAATGTTTTGCATTAACTCCTTGATATTTTGTTGATGTTTTGTGATGATTAGATCAGATTTCAAATGGTAATTTGTTGACAAGAACAAGCCTAACCTTGAATACTTTCACCAGTTGTTATGATCAGTTGTGTTCATCAGTTTCGCGAAACTCCCCGGATAAGCATATCAGCTTACTGAAAATTTTTAAAGATGTCATGGTGAAAAGAGCAGTGTGACACTACTAAACGAGTATGAGAAATATGATTATATGCTGTAGAAAGCAAGGCCCATAAAAACCGAAACTCCAAATAAGCTGCGTTGGATAAAATCGGAATGACTAGAATCAATAAGGCTTATAAGCCAGTGGATCCTCAGATAGAACTCCTCTATTCAGCATATGGACCACGACCATGCCCCAGGCTCTCTCCCTGATCATCTATGTTTGACACTAAATTCTTTTACAGGTTTACTAAATTTTTTCATGAGGTGGGCAGGTACAACGCAGATCGCAGCTGCGGCAGTCGCATATAATACAATTACAATTTTCTATTCATTTAAAGTAATAAAGGAATAAAGTAGCAAGCCACAACGAAAAGTATGGTTTGAATGACTTTGACGTGATAAAATGGCATTTCAAAGTTGACAGATAAGGTTTTTTCTACCGATAGCGGATGATTTCGTACAAAATTTGTTTACCTGACAGATAGAATTGTAAATTGGTAAATAAATTGGGAACTGAATTTAGTTTCATTTGATAATAATTTGATAGCGGATTATAACAAAATGTATCGTGACAGACGGCCTTTACTATTCTTTATGGGAGCTGATTTTATAAAAATTGGAAATTATAGCCTCATGTCAGTCACAGTTTCTAACTTTACACTGTGCATAAATGAAAACAGAAAACTTTTGTTATCCAGTAACTTATTTTTCTAGCCTTCTCCATCGTACATCTATGCACCTGCACAACCAATAATGGTAGTACCCAGAACAGGAGGTGGTATTAAACCACTTGGTGTATATCCAGCTGGAAACCAGGCTGGCAGTCCTCCACCTATGCCTGTACTCAGTGAATCTGAATTGAAACAGGTATTTAGATATACTCAAATGTTCTATCCAAAGATTTTTCCATCTACTTCTCACTTCATATTCTAGTCCAAGAGTACTTCTAATTCAATATTTTACATCATGAAGTATTTTCTTCTTCATTCTTTATATATATTACCAATTGAATTTTCAGATTGAAGAAATGTTTCCAAACATTGAGAAGGAGGTGATCAAGACTGTGTTTGAGGCAAATAGAGGCAACAAGGAGAGTACCATAAACTCTCTTCTCCAAATGGCTGAATAATTTTTCATACAGTCCCCATTTTAATGACTGCTATAAAGGTTAGTGGTAACATTGTCATGCTTTTCCTTAGATTTATTACTTAGAATTGATGTACTAAAATTAAGTAGATTTATGTAATCTTAAGGCTCTTTATCTAAACAAAAGTATGTTTACTGATTTTAGAATTATCCTGCTATACCCTAATTTGTACCATCATGCTTCTTGTAATTTTGTTAATTATTATACTTCTTTATACCCATGATGTAATTTTATAGTGCTGATTCCATTTCATTGATTGCCTCATTTTCAAACATTCCTGGGTTGTTTTATTTAAATTGTATATCTCATGTTATCTAGTCATTTAACTGTCTATATTGCTTAATAAAATAATGTGCCAAAAGAATATCTTTCTTTACCCATTTTCCAAAACATTAAAATATATCCAACTAAATCCTTAAGGTAAATATCTATATTGAAGCCTCAGCTTGGGAAAGTTTAATAACTTGAATCGTGGGTTCTCTAGTATAGGAGAATTACAGAAACATCACACCCAAATGTTTAATAATTGATGCATTAATTATTATTTACTTATTAGTAATTACAATATACTTAAACTTATGAACACAGCTAATCTGAAGTATTCACAGTTATACAATTGTGCCATATTCACAAAGGTGTTGTTGATAGTATTGATAAAATGTAAACACATCCAGCACAACCCAAAAGTAATGATACTATTGATACTAGTGGATAGTCATCAAGATCTCCAACTGGCACAAACAACTCCACATCATCAAAAAGCTAGAAAAAAAAACGGGTAGAATAGAAAACAGAGTTCACTAAATCATATGAGAAAATAATGGTCAAAATTATCTTTGATAAGTTTAAGATTAGTATGGAAAAATACAATCAATTATGTTGGGTTATCTATGTTAATCAAGAGAACCACCGATTACATTGGTTTTTTTAAATCACTTTTTTCGAATGTTGATTGCCTCTACAGGTAACATGGTCCATTTTGGAATTGCACTTTTTATTAGTAGTATTTGGTGAATGAGATTTGGAAAAATATTTTCTGGGGCCTATTAATCCAGAAATGCCTAAAGATGCTATTCAGTGAGTCGAGATTAATATTGGATTAAAATTGTGTTCCCAAGCTAGTTTAAAAAAAATGTATATAAGTGCACAAATTTTTTCATTAGAAGATTGTACTTACAGCTTGGTAAGTATGATTCTTCCAAACACAGACTTGACTATATGCCACATCACATGGTGCTTCTACTTTCAACCCTCTACCACACACTGTAACGAGATGTTTTGGACACCATACCAGTAAACTGGGTTTACGTAGTGGCACTTTTCCATATCTAGAATATTACAATAAATGCTGTTTAATTCATTTTATCTGTATATAAAGGCATACCCTCCAGTTATTTGTCCCCTTTGATATCTCAGATGTACTGGAAGCTTTACAGAAAGTCTTGCAATATCAAGGCCGTTTAAGAAAAAGTATACAGAATGTTCACTGGCCTCATGTGCTGGAGCCTCTATATCAACATTTCCATCAAGGAATATCTGGAGCTAAAACCCACAAGCTAAAAAAATTATTCATTTAATTATGTCAGTTACCTTTTGGGTTCGATTAAGTTCTGCTATTTCATCAGGATTGACAAACATTCCATTTGAAACATCCAGTTTAAGACACAGTTTGCAGTTACTTTCTTGCCAAACTTCATTTGTAGGAGAAGCAGTTTCAATTAGCCATTTTATTTCTCTAGAAATGTGTAGAAGCAGTTTCAATTAGCCATTTTATTTCTCTAGAAATGTATAGGTACTACTAGCTTAATCATCTCCTCAGGTCCTCCAAGAAAATGCCCAATATATAATAATTTATGTGTAATAATATTACAGGAGGCGAGATTTAGATACTATAACCCCCTTGACAATATGAGTTGTATATTAACTGAAAATTTATTGAAAATTAATACCTGTATACAATAACGACAAAATAAAGTATAATCAATGTAAAGGCATAAAGAGAACAAAACGTCAGTCAACATTTATGGGTTACAACAGTTTTGCTGCTGATCAAATAGAATTTCTTACACTTTTTTCTTGGATTTTGGTAATGAATTAGTTTCTTTTAAATGACGACCTAAAAAAATCATATAATTTTATTGCATTGCAAATATATGTATTCTGAAATTGTATGTGCTGTGGCACAGAATTGAAAAAGTCTCTCTATATCTAATTTTAATGTCATTTCCTCTACGTATGAATTTGGTTACTAAATATGATTTTGAATTAAGTCAGACTTAGGAGCTGGTATTTATACATTTTATCAATTTTCATCCATTTGAGGTCATTAGTGGCCTTCAATATATAATCATGTTGTCTGAGATCATTTAGAAGTTTGCAACAGGTACTCATAATACTTTGAATGCGATTTCTTGTTCTAATATCTAAATAGGGATAATAAACCAAGCAATATGATATTTTTGAAAACAAAGATTCAAGATTCACACAATTGCGTTCTCACATATTTCGAAGTTGAGTCATTTATTTTAACAGTGAATAGATCTGATCAAAAGAAATGTTTTTTTCCTTTACCATTTTTCTGGTAAAATTAAAGTAACAAAGTTATAGCCCTTTGGAAGTTTGAGTACCGCCCTGTCTCAATATCATGTGCTCGTGTTTGGCAACAACGGATATAATCCGCCTTACCGGTTCATCGCATCGGAAACAAAAAAGCGAAAGAATTTGGAACGATGTTTGTGTACAGTTTATTATTTTATTCAGTTCAGTTATACATACAGTCAGTGTCAGTGTCGCGTGTGAATAGTGTCTGTTGCGTGGCTCAAACGAAATAAAAAATGGCACATGTTTATGCGGATCGGTTTCCCAATCGAGTGCAACCAACCCCTCCTGCCTTTGTTAATGTAGTACAACGGGCTCGTGAATCAGGTGACTTAAGACCTCACAGGGGACCTCACGATCAAATACAGGTCCGCACTGAAATACTTGTCGGGAGGATACTTTATAAAACAAGGTAAAAAATTTTTTTTATTTTTTTTTTATTTTTACACACATATTTTGGTTTATCTTCCTTCTACAATCATTATCTGAAAATTAATGACTCAACTTCAAAGTCACCCTGTATAATGCAAGTAAAACTCTGAGAATAGTGTAGCACTGAATAGTTTGAATACGAAGAATGATCCCAGATGGTTTACATGATCAACAAACTTTAAGTCATCAACCATTATATATACCTAGGTTCCTCGAATGATCCACAGGTACTATCTTATTACATTTTAAATTGATGTTTGTCGCCTTTTTTAAAACACTCCTTTTTGTTTTATTTGCCTATACCAACATATTTGTCTTTAAAGGGTTTCAATTTGGGCTCGATCTTGATTGATTTTATTTTTAGCTGTTACTCCTAAATAAGTAGAAAATCTGAGATTCCTGTGGCACACCAGAACAAATTTTTTGTGCGGTAAAATACTGTTGATTTAGACGAACTTTTTGAAACCGATTTTCAAGGTAGGTTTGAATAAACGAAAGGGGTTTTTCAGAAAATCCATAATTACATTTAGACACAAGAAGTGAGTGATAAATGGTGTCAAATGCTTAAGTAGAGCCAAGAAGTATGAGAGCTACTGCTTTTTGGTTTTCAAGTGCCATTGTTATATTGTCTGATAAATCACAGAGTGCCGAAGCTGTATTATAATTTTTTTGAAATCCAGATTGTTTAGATGGAATAATTTTGTTAGAATATAAGTAGGCGCAGAGCTGCTCGTAAACAACGCGTTCCAGTACTTTTAAGAAAATAGGCAGTAAACTGATCAGTCTCAGTTGGCCATAGTAGGATCAGAACTCTTGGATAGCAGAACAGCTACAGCTTGTTTTCCACTGATCTGGAAAATATCAGCAGTATTATATGTGTTAAGTATACATCAATTTCAGATATACATATATAGTAGTATCAGATGTGAAATTATTCTATCTGAATCTCTAGAATTTGGTTTTATTTAATGAATGACTTTAACACACTTTACTAAATTGAAATTCGGATTTTGAATTGAGGGAATTGTAGAATGTTTCTGAGATTGAATTTTGGAAGTCTTTTTCCTTTCCGCGCGAGTGTTAATGCAATATTACTGAAATATGTATACTGTTGCCAAGAGGCGGAGCTTTGTTTACACACACTACCTTTTTTTGGACAGTGAACATTAAAAAAACAAAATATTGTCTGTTAAATGTCATCCATAGATATAATATGCCACCATGGAAAACTCCAGATGATGTTCAAAAGCTTCATTTAATCTATGAAAATACTTTAATGTTACAAATTTCTGTTGATTTTTAAGAATTGTAATGTTTATATCACAGAAGGTTAAATAGTCATCCTAGTCACTCATAAGACAACTTTCAGGCTTACTGCAATAAATGTTTCTGACTATTAGAATCAAGGCAATTTGTTACAAAATGTAAATAAATTAACATTAATATCATCTGCAAGGATGATATCATCATATTCAGCTAATATGGCAGGCAACATGTCATCAAAGGTATTACCGGTTTCTGTAATAGAGCCATGTGGGGGCATATAAAATATACCAATAGTAATTTTTTGTTTTGGAAGCTTTACCTTTCAACCATATATATTCAAGACTTGCGCTTTGCCCATTTGAAATTAAGGAAGAGTTGTAGTGCTTTTTTACAAGTACTGCAACCCCACCACCTCGCTCATCTCTAATAGCAGTTATACCCATTCATTCTTATATGGTCATTAGATATATCTTTTGGTAACCAATGTTTCCGAAATTCTAACAATATCAAGGCTGTTGTTTTGAATCTGAGAACTAAAGTCATAAAATCTTGATAGAACTGATCTGCAGTTTATATGACCAAATGTTATATATATTTGAACATATACATACAATTCCATGTCAGAGAGCCATATTACCATGTAGGATTGTAGTTATTTTCTTAATAGTAATGAAAACTGAATCCATTTTTCCTTTGTTGATACATATATGGTGTAAGCAGGTCCAGCTAAAGACAGGAAGCTGCCTCCAGGCATAGGGTCACAAAATTATCAATGCCAGAGGGGAGGGCGCATATTGTATCCTTTGCCCCGGTACACACAAAACTCTAAAGCCACCCAGTTGTAAGCATAGATAGTTGGCAGTGTTTCCTTTTCATGTAAACACAGCTTTTAATTGAATTGGGTTTATTCTGGTGGAATGCGATAAACAATGATTTCATAAAACAATTTAGTATTTATACTACCCGATTAGAGTTTATATTCTTACCTCCGGAATCCTTCATGTTCTACCTTCTGTATAATGGATATATCCAAGTTGATACATTCAGAAGCACAATTCACAAATTGTACATAATATATTAACGAAAATATAAAAAATATGAAATAGTCAAAGCTCTGCATAGTGCAGAATGTGGTTGATCTGCAGCTCTGCAGTCACTGGATCATCCTCATTTATTTTTATCAATGTTTTCAAAATGATTTACCACTTTGCGCTGTTAGCTATCTTGTTTGCTATTTATACTGTAACAAATTTTCGTATAGAATCAAGGTAAATCGACTCCCATCGCGGACTACTCCCTAAAACTTTGAAAACATTTTGAGATTTGAGGTTATGTTGTAATTCTGAAGCACTGAAGTTTGTATACCCTATTTCACGAGTATCCATCTTGTTTTGACGTCTACTGAGGTGAATAGCTGTTCAGCAAGTGACATTTTTGTGTTCGTCTGCAACGTTGGCAATAATGGATCGGGTATAAATCTAGTAAAACTTGTTTGTGGCGTTTTGTTTTTTGAATGCAAATGAACTTTTCTAAATAAAAGGGCTGTTAACAAGTACAACATGAATCTGTAGCGTACAAAAGACCAAAACAAAATGCGGCTCCGACTACCTGACCACAGATTGTAACCCGACGTTGACGGATCCGTCAGAATTATGTGTCCTGTGCCGATATGGGGAAATTTGAGATATTACCACAGACTATACAGATGCGACACTTGCTGTCGGTCCCTTTGATCTTCGTGTCCCCAACGGCTTACCTAAAGGTATATTCTTTAATTCACCGGTTGATTCCATCACTGATGGATCCGGTGAACTTATGGTTGACAGCTCATGTGATGACGTCAGCAACCGGTTCCGTTGAATGGTGGTTAATAAAAAGACGCATTTTTAGCCTTCAGGTTGCTGTCATATGAGAAAACCTAACCTTTGCTTTATCCTGAATGGTTATTTGTTAATTTGAACTCCGTATCGTTTAAGATCATTATGGCAATGTACGCAGCAGTTGATATTGTGGAGGAACATTTGCTAAGCGATTCGGATGAAGTTGTCCAGTGGAGAGAAAGAGCAAATTTTCAGATATGCATAATTCCAAATAAAATCACTTGCATTGAGATGCTTTGTCTATTTCGAATTGTGTTAAAAAAACATTAAATTTCACGCTACTCCTATGCTATAGCATAACTTCAATCTTTCTTCTTCCATTTTTTCACACAAAACTGTAGTTTTCAAGAAAGGATAAAATGTAGAGGTTAGACTATCGTGGATCAACCGAGCCCGAACGTCGGTGGATTCTGTAGGCACCGGTGGCATATCCACCATCAATATAAAAGACAAGTTTGATGTACAACCGGTTGTTCCAGCGGAAATTAAAGGAGGCAAACTTGGCTAACCGGTTGCACCGGTAGCTCAACCGGTGAATTAAGCATATACCTATATAGGTATATTCTTTAATTCACCGGTTGATTCCATCACTGATGGATTCGGTGAACTTATGGTTGACAGCTGATGTGATGACGTCAGCAACCGGTTCCGTTGAATGGTCGTTAATATATAAAAAGACGCATTTTTAGCCTTCAGGTTGCCGTCATATGAGAAAACCTAACCTTTGTTTTATCGTAAATGGATACTTGTTAATTTGAACACCGTATCATTTAAAATCATTATGGCAATGTACGCAGCAGTTGGTATTGTTGTGGAACGTTTGTTAAGCGATTCGAGTGATGATTCGGATGAAAAAGTTATCCAGCGGAGAGAATTTGCGCTCCGAGAATCAATATAAGAACTATAAATCAGAAAACCAAGAAATTTTCAGATATCGACGATCTCAAATCGATACGAGCATTGATTTGAGATCGTGGATGCTTCCCGAATAAGAACCATCGATATGGATTTTCTGAGAGAATTCCTGTATACATAAGGAATAAACACAGAACAAAATCAGAAAATCGACATTTTCGGACTTACGAGGTATTGATTTGAGATCGTCGATATGGATAATTCAAAACAAATTCACTTGCGTTCAGATACTGTTTATTTCGAATTGTGTGGAAAAAAACATTAAATTTCACGCGACTCCTATGCTGTAGAATAACTTCAATCTTTTCTTCGTCCATTTTTCACAAAAAACTGTAGTTGTCAAAAACTGATAAAATGTAGAGATTAGAATATCATGGAACAACCGAGCCCGAACGTCGCGTCGGTGGATGCTGTTGGCACCGGTCGCATATCCACCATCAATATAAAGACAAAGGTATATTCTTTAATTCACCGGTTGATTCCATGAATGATGGATCCGGTGAACTCATGGTTGACAGCTGATGTGATGATGTTAGCAACCGGTTCCGTTGAATGGTCGTTAATAAAAAGACGCATTTTTAGCCTTCAGGTTGCTGTCATATTTGAAAACCTAGCCTTTGTTTTATCGTAAATGGATGCTTGTTAATTTGAACACCGTATCATTAAAAATCATTATGGAAATGTACGCAGCAGTTGGTATTGTCGTGCAACGTTTGTTAAGCTATTCGAGTGATGATTCTGATGAAGAAGTTATCTAGCGGAGAGAATTTGCGCTCCGAGAATCAATATAAGAACTATTAATCAGAAAACCAAGAAATTTTCAGATATCGACGATCTCAAATCAATACGAGGCATTGATTGATGGATACTTGAGAAGTGCTTGAGAAATAGGATATACGTAGTGTTGGGCGTCTCTTCAGGGATTCAGTATTCGAAGCAGATTAAGGGGATCTCCCGATCTCCAATGAAAGCTAGATACCCCACCACGGTAATGTTTGCTGCATTTCATACAGACGGTTAGCGTCGTGGTAAAGTTTACAGTAAACGATACTTCTCTTCTTCCACTTATTGTCGGCAGCGACCCTTTCAGTAAATGTCAGTTCCATGTTTACACTTATCGGCACATCTTCAGATTAGGCTCGTTGAAGGATAGAAAAATTGTGAATAAATCTTATGGTTTTACAAATTGTTTAATAAAATGATCACGACAAAAGGTCCAAAAATATCATACATATACAGAAACGGTAAACGGTATATCATTTCTAATCAAGTAAAAAGACTTGCAGATAAAAATTGAATCAATCATAATAATATAACTATACCTAGAACATTAAAAAAGAATCACATTAAGCTACACGATAGGAAAAATATCATGGAGTCCATATCACATCGTTGATATCGCTGAATTTTTCCCGCTTTTTCATTCATAATCTAGAACGTGTTTATGATAAAATAGCAAATACCTGAAAAAAGTCATTGATAACATCAAAGATATCGTAAGTAGTAGTATAACTATAACGGCCATAGTTTTCGATACCCGCATTTCTAAAATAATCTATGTTTGCAAAGAAAATCCAAACGTCTCGCGATAATTGGAAAACAAAATAGTTGAGGACACCCTTTTTGAAGGGTCAAATATTCTTTCCTTGATGTACATATTTGATAATCTTGAAACCTCCTTGTCACAATTTCTCACTATACAGTTGAACGGGTCAAGTTAGCAAGACGAAATTCGGATTGATGAAATTTATCCATGTTTTCTATTTTATCGTAAACGTTCCAGTTTAAAATATCAAGATGGCGGTTAGGCATCATAAAAAATGTTCCAAGATAACTCCCAGCCACCATCTTAAGATTATCAGCTGTCACTTTTACGTCATATCATCCTGTTCACCTACCGAAATTTCAGCTTAACTTGACCCGTGCAGAAAATAGTTGTGGGACCTTTTTCAAAAACAGTGTATACGTTTACTATGCATACTGGCTTAATATAAATAAGATAAGGATACCCTTTCTTACCCTTCCGACGCCAAAACTTCTTCAAACTTAGCTCTAGTAATAATCTCGTCGTTACATTTATACCAAATGTCTCTATGATGTCTGACGTAGGCCGTGTAGTGGCCCGACATTATTGAGGTACCTACATGGTTTATCACTGCAAACAAGGAATATCTATTGTCTTGAGGATAGGGGTTTTCAGTACTGCTGCTGCTCATGAACGGAGTCATGTCAAGCATTTCTGGGAATGAGATCACCGTGGAAATTTTCTTTTTTATCTAAAATATAATTATACATTCTTTAGCCACATCCTTTTGAGCGCCAATGGTACTATAGGGTTTATCCCATGCTTCGGCTCTTTATTCCAATAGGGTACACCCAATCCGAGGAACGATACATTAAAACAGATATCAGACATCAGACATACGGGGTGATTCACAAGTCGTGACCAAAAACATTTTTTCCTAGAGGGCTTCATTAAAAAGATTCGGGGGTTGAAGCTTAAAAATAAAAAACAATTTTTTTAATGTCTTCAAAACCGTCAACTGGAATGAACTAAAATTTGGTCTGCGGATTTACATAAGTATTGTCCATATTATAAAGTCTTTACTTAAAATTAACGTGCACCAGTGGCGCAGATACACGGGATTAGTGGGATTATTTTTCCAAATAAAAATAGTATGCCGCTGTTTTTTTTTCGAAACGCGCATTTTTCGAATTTTACCTCCAATTTGCTACAAATAATTACTTTTTACTTTTGTTTTCGTAAAAATAAAAAAAAAATAGTAAAAACCTTTGGGGTAGGTTGGCGTCTGTTAGGAAATTTACGTTGATACTCCCCAGAAGCCGCTAAAGCATTTCCATTACAGAACCTGTACACAAAAATAATATCGGCGTATTCATCATTGCTGAATTCCATTTCACAACACTCAAAAATGGAGAAACTTTTGACTTGACTTTTATAAAAAAACAAAAAATGGTAGTAGTAACGATAACAACCGTATAACACATAACTTTGACAAACTCCTAGGAAACGTCAAGTTGGTATCAAGGCCTCCTATTTTATTTTGAAAGTAATTGTATCTTGGTTCTTCATGAATTATATAATTTGTTTTATTTTTATTTTTACGAAAACAGTGCACTCTAGAAAAAAGTAGAGGTTGCTTCCGATGTGAGGAAAATCACAGATTACTCGTGGCTTTTTGTATACCTCTTGGAGAAAACGTTTTGTCCGTGACCATATTTCAGTAATTAGGTATTTTAGCTGTTCTCGATCCGGTCATTTGAAAAAAGATTATAAAAATAAGTATGTGTGCTCCCTATGTACTAATGACCATGATGAGAAAGCTTGTACCTCTATAGTAAGAAGAAGAAATGTGTGAATTGCTGTGTATATAATAATTATATGAAAAGTCATTCTAGAGATTTTAACCCATATCCAGTCGATCATGCTGCATTTGACAGACAATGTCCATATTTTAAGAAATATGCTGAATTAAAATCTAGAATTGACTATGGCTACGGTTAATAACAAAGTTTTAAAGATTTGTCATCTCAATGTGCGGTCCTTGACTACTGCTTTCGACTGCTTTTGTGAATTGGTTCAAAACAAATTCACAGTTATATGCATTACGGAAACGTGACTTAATGAAAATATTCCTAATCAAGCTGTACCTATTGAAAGTTATCAGCTTTTCCGTAGAGATCATTTGGGAAGGGGTGAAGGAGTGAGCTTCTACATAAATAATTTTAACATTACCGTTATTGATACCCTTGATTTTGTAGGTGACTCTTCCTTAAAATTGTTATGCTGCAAACTCAGGATGGGCAACTCTACCCTACTTATTGTCGTTGTGTATCGTCCTCCTCATACTTCAGTTACAGATAGCATTGATGATATGCTTTCTTTCTTCGTACCTCAATATGATAATATAATAGTTCTTGGTGACATGAATGTTGATCTTTTAAATCATGACAATCCTTTGAGCAACTATTTCAATAGTTTTAATTTTGATCAATTGATAGATGAACCGACTAGTGTAACTCAGTTTAGCTCAACTCTGATAGACCTCATTTTTTCTAGTAAATCAAACAGCGATGTAAAATCAGGAGTTCTTAATACTGATCTTGTGTCCGACCATAAGTTAGTTTTCTGTGCTATTGTTATGAAGCTTCCTAAATTTGAACCCAAGTTTGTAACTTTCAGATATATAAAAAATATTGATGTTATTAATTTCAAGGGCGACTTACTTCATGCTGGACTTGATCATATCTTTTATTTTATGGATATTGATGACAAAGTGAGTTGTTTAAGTAGTTGCATATTACAAATATATGATATCCACGCACCATTACGAACTGCTCGTGTAACGAAACCGGCTGCTCGATCGATAACATCGAACATTAGAAGCATTTTTAAGGAACGCGACAAAACTCTCTCGAATTTCCGGCATGACTCGTCTGATGTAAACTGGTCTACGTACAAAGATATGCGGAATTACGCACTTGCTTCCTTCCGTAGGGAGAAAAGGGCCTACCTTTCTAGCTATGGTGATATTAGTACACGATCTGCATGGAAAACACTTGGAACTATGACGATCTGTCCACAGAAACGTGTCGATCTACCGTTAAACCTCAAAGTAGTACAATCCACCGTCAACAGCCACAGCAACAGACGCTTTGATACCGACGTGTCATCATTTCACTTTCGTCTGGTAACCCCTCATGAAGTTATGGAAGCAATCTTGTCTATCTATGGAAAGAGGCAATAGTCACACCTTTGACCAAAAATAATCCGTCTGAACATGCCGATCTTAGACCTATAAGTGGTTTATGTTTCTTGTCGAAAGTCTTGGAGAAGATAGTATTCCTACATCTTGTTGATTATTTTGCTAATAATAATTTCTTTCCAGTACACCAATCCGGATTTCGTGAAGGTCATAGTACGACTACTACATTACTATACCTTACAGATGAGTTACTTCACAACCTTGATGACCAATCCGGCACGCTGTTGGTCATGCCTAATTTATCCAAGGCTTTCGATACCGTAAACAATCATGAGATTCTTTTGAGTAAGCTAAAATATTATAGCATGTCAGAAGTTCCTTTGAACTTCTTCAGATCCTACCTAACTGATCGCACTCAAAAAGTGAAAACATCTAGAGAAACTTCTGATGCACAGTATGTGTCATCAGGGGTTCCTCAGGATTCGGTACTGGGACCTATTTTATTCCTAGTATATACATTTGATCTGCATGAGTGTGTAGAACATTGTGTGTAGAGCATCGTAAAAAATTAACCTAGATCTTGATAACGTATTGTAATAGGCACTGGCTCCGCATCAATCCGTCAAAATGTACCACGATACCATACTGTCCTAAATATTCAAATTACAATATCACAAATCGAATTTCCTTATTTATCAACGACATTAATATTCCATTTTTTGATAATGCTAAGAATCTAGGTGATATATTTGATTTAAATCTTAGATTCAACATACATGTGAATAGAATTATGAACTCGAGTTATATGAAGATAAAGCTCTTATATTCTAATCGCCATATTCTAAACTTTAAATGCCGTAAAAAGTTGTGTGAAAGCCTCATGTTGTCAATTTCATCTTACTCTCTAGTCCTCAGTTACCAATGCCTAGACTCGGTTTGCAAGTCAAAATTGCAGAAGCTTCAGAACAACTGTTGCAGATTCATATTTGGTCTTAGGAAGTACAGTAGCATTTCTTCAAAAATCAAGGAGTGACAGTGGCTCAGCTACAAATATTCCATGGCTTCATTGGTGCATAGAATTTTTAAAATAGGTAAACCCGTCAATTTACTCGATAAGTTGATTCCTCGTGGAAACCAAATTACTCTAAATCTGCGGCACAATGATCTACTTTCCATATCTAAGCATCGTACGTCAGTTTTTGAATGGTCGTTTACTTATAATGCGGTCAAGCTATACAATTCTTTACCAGCTAACTCTAAGAGCTTAAGTTTGCAGAGTTTCAAGAAAACAGTCAAGTTGCACTTTCTCGGCTCAGCACATTGAGTGATAAATTCATTTTGACGAACTATGGCTTGTTTATAATAGGTCCGTTCTATTGTTTCTATTCTTTGTATATGTTCGTTTCTATATTTAATCCTTTTTAATGTATTTCTTACAGTTACTGATTCATGTTGTCATGATGATATTTTGTGATGTCTGGTTGTAGCATGGTTAAGTGGTAGAGTAGCCATGGCTAAACTTCGCCATACCTTGATCATTTTTTGAATAAAGACATTATTATTTTTACCAAATTGAAGGTAAAATTCGAGAAATTGAGTTTCGAAAAAAACAGTGGCGAACTATTTTTATTTGGAAACAATGTTACTAATCCCCTGTATCTCCGCCACTGGTGCATGTTAATTTTAAGTAAAGACTTTTAAATGTGGGCAATACTTAGGTAAATCGACATACCATATTTTTGGTTCATTTCAGTTGACGGCTTTGAAGATATTAAAAAAAATTATTTTTATTTTTAAACTTCAACACCCCGTATCTTTTTAATGAAGCCCCCGAGGAAAAAATGTTACATAGAAGCCCCCATTAAAATGCGGTCCTGTGTATGATTTTCATTTTTGGTCCCGACTTGTGAATCACCCTGTATATGTGGTATAAAACCCAATAAAGTAAATACAAAAAATAGAGATAAAATATAATAGAACGTTCAATATGGTTACACAGTTACTATATAAAACTGATAAGGAGCATAGAATAAGGTGAAACATTACATAGGGTTACATAGGTACTCTATAAAAGACAAATAAGGAAAACAAATACCAATTACAAAACAGTTTAAAAATCACCTTGCAATCAACGTCCCAAGAGCATAATTACGTCTAAGACTGGTCAGAATTACATCAAGATCATCACAATTAATACCACAGCCCATGCAAAATGTATTAAAAGAACTGCACATTCTACTTATACGGTATTTTTCTAGAGTATCCATCACGCTAGAACAACAGCTGATTATCTAGTCATATTTCAAAACTCCCCATATCGAGAAGTGACACATAAGTAATTCTGAGGGATCCATCAACGTCAGGTAAACAGATCCGTATTTTGTTGTGGTTTTTTGTACCCCACAGATTCATTTTGTATTTGCTAACAACTGTTTTATTTAGTAAAGTTTTTTTGCATTAAGAAAACGCTACAAGCAAAATGGCTGCTAATGAGCATGGCTACATTTCAAGTCAGGTAGGAATAAGATAAACAGTTTCTGACTGTGTTAAGCATCTCTACCTTTTATAACTTGAACCAACCTATGATTTTCAAGGGCAATGAAACGGCCATACAATTAATTCAGAATGTGTGGCAGTACATGCATGTATGTTATGTATAATTATGTCTTAACATTATTCCGGTAATCCTTACAAGTTAGAAATTAGAAAAACGTAAGTAAAATTGACAACTATTGCAGAAAGTCATGAAATGTACTCAACTAGGACAATGCAGTGTTCGATCACTTAAAAGTATAATCCAGATAAGTGAACAACAGCTCTAAATACGGTCCTGAAATTCATCATTGCCAACGTTCCAACGTTACATAAACATGTAATGGATACTCGTGAAAAATACATTATGTGCCTTATCTGAAATATTTTTCTTGCCATCTGGGTTGTAAACAAATGTGAGCGCAGTATCAAAAATTACCCAAAGTCTTTGAAGAAATGACGCCTTTCTATTTTAGTGTCGTTAATATAAGAAAAATGTATGAGGTTGATCTTACGTGAAAAGCTCAAGGTTTAACATTTGCTCAGGTTTATCTCGAGTTTGTTGCTCTCATGCTCTCACACCAAATGCATAAGCTATTGAGATCTTGTTGAAGTGCACAACAATCATTGACATTTTTTTCACTATTTTCAAATCATCCGCAAAGATATGTGAATTTTATTTAGTTACAGGGAGAAGTCATTAATATACAGGGAAAACCAAATTTGTCTGACGGCTCGAGTTCAATGTGTACGAGAGAAATGCACGAGAAGTGTGTCAACACATGTTACAAAGAGATAGAAGCCGGCTGAAGAGCGAAGGTCATCACCACATTCCCTAACAACGGTGACGCAGAAGACAGAAGTTTCGGTTTCGGCAGAAAATCCGCCAAAACTGCCACCGAAACCGAAACTGTGTTTTCGAGCGCCTTCGGGCAAATTTATTAAGACCAAAAGTCAAATTTACTAAATTGCTCAATTTCAGGCACAATATTCAAAACTGTACAAACTAAATTTACTAAAAAATGTCATAGTTACTAATTGCTAAGAAATAGATTTTGTTTTGGGTCTTTGAATAATTCTGATAGAAAACCACTATTTATCAGTTTAAGCATATCGAAGTCATCGTTTAAAATATAATCATGATCAATAACATAAATTTTTAAAGACTAAAAATGAATTAAGCGATATTTAAACTGTAAAAATTGATCGTTTAACTTAAACACAGTTTACAAAATTTTAAAGGAGTTTAAGTCCTTGTGCAATAGAAAACTTATTTTTGTCTTATTGTCTGTTTTTTACAAAACGCTGTAAACAAAAAACATTGAGTTGTTTAAAGATAAAAATGTAGTACTGTTAGTTTTCCTCACATAAATCTTAATAATGTTTGATAAAGGCTGATTATTATATATTTAGTAGTTTGTTTTTTTTGATACTTTTATTACTGATATTGATTTATAAATAGTTTGTTTTTCTTGTAGATATACTTATCTCCCAACCTCCCATATCATACCCAGTTAAAAGTGTCGGTTTCACCGTTTGACCGAGTTGTCAATATGTTACACCAGAAAATGTTCGCACAGGTTTCTCCAAAAGGCAGAGGTTACTGTCAAACCCAAGATGAAAGTATGTTCGTACATTTAATTTAATATTTTGTTTTGATTTTGATTAGAATCATTTATTTCAAATTTTGATGCGACTTAGTGTTCTAATTTATTTTAGAATTATCTTTGATTTCCAGCGATGGTGATAAAATCAACACATCCCGAGTTATTGTTACATCTTGCAACAGCGAACGGTCACAAAATGTAAGAAATACCATTACGCAATACAAATTATCACTGCCTGCGTGCGAAAACCAAAATGGAGCGCCGTTAGGACCGATCCGGAATCGATTATAAGCAGATTCAACACAGTTCTCAATTCAAAAATGTGTATGCTCAAAATAAAAGCCTTAATTTGGCATAGAGAATAAACTAACGCATTAATTCAAGGAAATGGTATAACATATTCTATCTCTAACATATGTGTCTATACACTCCTCTCTCGTACACATTAAGCTCAAACCGTCAGACAACTTTGATGATAGGATGAAATGATCAACTGAGTGAAAATATTTCCTAACATCTGTATATATGACGTCTATCTGTCACTTGGAATCCAATACATCTGAAATAAATTGTGTAATACCGATTTGTAAAACTGTTTTGATGTTATTTGTCAGAGGAGGAACATAGGGATCAATCTTGGGATTATACCCAACTACCTCTTCAGAATGTTGGAACCGTTTCAAATGGAAATTTATAACTATGGGCAGTGTTTTCATAGTGAGTTGCTTCGTGCTTTCCTGAGAGGTTCCACAGCTTGAGCACATATACGATAACAATTCAGCCCTTGTAAATTGCTCTAGGACAGCGTACAATGAAGTTGGCTGCTTCCCGCCCAAAGTCACTGGCCCTAGGTCTAGAGAAAAGTCCCAAAGAGGGTCTATTTTTGTTGAAACAACGCTGAAAAGAAGAATGTTGAAATCATGTGGATATTTCAGATGTACCTGATATGTTTGATAAGTAAAGAGACTGGTAGCAATCATACTTGTGAAAACCGCGAAAGTGGAACGCTAGAATAGCAATATGCAACCAAATTTTACTTTTATCTGGGCAAAACTGCTATTAAAATTTTAAAGCAAATATTTTCGTAACAGATCTGTCCTGATGAAGGCAAAATTTGATTCCGTATCTTTCATGTTATCACAAATGTCACGATATTCTACAAAATGAAGTTATCTATTTTTCACGATATTTCAGCACGTCTTGACGTCTATTGAGGCGAAAACCTGCTCAGCGAGTAACATCTTTGTGTTGAGTCTGTACTGTTGGCAATAATGAATCTGGTGAACTATTTTAACCAAAGACTGGTAATGTATTCTCACATACATAATGAAAGGGAATTTTGATAATATAAAATACACGAAGAAAATGCAATGAATCATATGAAAGCATAATTAGAAAGTATAAGCCAGTACAAAAGCGACAAAAAAAATCACAAAATTTCCTCCTCACTTAATATGAATTTTCTACAGATCTGTCAGAGTTGTGTACCACTTGACGACATTTTGAATGTCACTAGATAATTAGCAGTTATTTGCTTGTAACATTTTGCTATAATGAAGTATCAAGAAAAATAGTTGAGGTTCTATAATCTTGGATAGTACAGCCACTTACTTGCACTTCTGGCAAACGACATCACTCTGCAAGCTACCAGTATAAATTTTATCTATAATGCACGGACATTTGCCGTTTTCTCTGTCTAATAATTCATTATTTTTGTGCATTGTATCTAAACAATGATTATGCAATATATTCAATGTTGCTATGAAAAACTCATGAGCATCTTGCTGTCTATATCCAGCTAAATGAGTAGCATGTTTCCAGGTTAAATGTAGTAGGCAGGGTAGAGCAAGCGGAAATGTATCACCATTATAAAATTCCTGAAAAATATGTGTATGAGAGTATGGACAATACAGGGTGTCCCAGAAGTCGACGTCAAGCCATTAACGGGAGACAGGCCAAGTCATAATAGTTATCAGGAAAATATAAAAAAAAACATCTAAGATGTGTACTTTTCAAATTACAGGCTTGAAAAAATCGGAAAAATCTACACCCTGTGAGGATCTTTACTACAAATATCAATTTTTTATTAGCCAGGTGTCATTCTGCGTAGTGACAGCAAGACATTAAAATCTCAGGGAATGTTCAAACTGCCTTCCTTCAGCTGCAATGCAAGATTGACATCTTAAAAATGCTGCTTCCGTTATCCTGTCCCGTAGCTCGGCTAAATTTTCGATTGGCTTTGAGTAAACTTTTTCTTCCACCGCTCCCCAGTAAAGAAGTCAAGTGGATTTAAGTTAGGTGCACGAGCTGGCCACGAAATTGTACCAGACCGCCCTATCCATCTGCTCGGGTATTCCGCATCAAGATATTCTCTAAAGGTCACACTCAGCCGTGACGTGACAGTGCTGTGACGTGCTAGTGATTCTCGCTGACGTGAGATGTTTACAATTCACACCGTCAGGTCAGTATTTTTCTCAGTGCTCTAACAGTGCAGTTGTGTGTTGACGTGAGGTCGAGATGGCAAAATTTTCAGAGGATGAACTTGCAATTATTGCATTTTTTTTTATACTCCAACTACCACGGAGGCCTAAATACCCATGGGGTACCGTGGTGCTATAGGGGGAAACACAGGGGAAAGGGGGGACGCCACACGGACTCTGGCGAAGGAACACGTGTGCATGCAACATGCACACATTCTGGCCCCGCCTACGAGATGCGCCAGGTGGTACCTCCGCGTTAGACAGTCAGAGACCGTCTACCACCTACGAAAGATAAAGAAGAAGAAACGAGAAGAAAACGGAGGTCCTTGTATTTTGAATTTGACTGGTTCTACAGCACGGGATGTACGCGTACAAATTCAATTAGTTTTTCATCATTCATGTTTTTGACCGATTATATCAAAATATTCACGAAAATACATAAAAACAGTTCATCCAAATTCCAGGAAGAATGTTTTTAGTTTCGCCGGGCGGATCACGTGCCGGTCACAGCACTGTCACGTCACGGCTGAGTATGAATAGGCCTTAACTGAACGAGCGTAGTGTGCGGCACGGGTATTACGTATCTCGATCTATATCGATCTTTTTTGAGATTATACTGTTTTTTTTTTACATTATGTAGGTTTTTTAACAAGATGATAACTTAGCACTAGCTGATAGATACTTGTGTAAACTCGTTTGTTAGTTGTACGTGTTACCTAAACGTCACTTCAGTTATCAATGTTTGGCTATGATGTGATGTAAAATCTGCTGCAGAGATGACATTACAGGAGGTAACGGCATAGTGAGGATTTGTGTGCTAATAATATACGAGCCCCTTCCCACTTCAGTTGGCCCACTTCAAGATTTGTACCAAAATATGAGTTTATAAACTAAACATGACGAAACTATTTACTTCTAAAACAATTTATTTTCTCAAAAACATTTTTGATACACTCTAGTCGTAAAAAATACATATTTGAAATCACTTAGACCTATAACTAATAGAACATCTGAACAAATAAACAATGTGCGAATAAATGCGCGAAGTTAACAAAGCAACAATTGAAAGATTACCATTGTGTAACATCACCTTTATTTTTTATTACGGCTGAAATTCTTTGGGGCATAGTGTTAACCAAGTTTTGGCAAAAATTAGGTGTAAAACAATCCCATATTTCTTGAAGCTTTTGTCTCAGTTCGGTGATTGTACGAGCAGGATGTTGTCGTAGAACCTTTTTCATCTCGTGCCACAAAGTTTCAATAGGTGACAGATCTGGACTGCTAGAAACCCATTTCAAAAGTGGTACATTATTTTCTTCCATCCATTTTATAGCCTTTTTTGAGGTATAGCACGCTGCACCATCTTGCTGAAACACAAAATCTTGGCCGGATGTCAAACATTCTTCCATCACTGGTAAAAGCGATTCTTATAAAATTGCCAAATATTTGTCTGTATCCACATTTCCATCAATAAAATGAAGTTTTCCTACTCCTTTTGATGACATACTGCCCCAGACCATAATCGATGCTGGACATTTCACTTTTCTCTTCAGACAGTCAACATGGAATGCTTCATTTTTTTTGCGAATAAGTCTACTGCGACTGTCACCAACACAAACTTCGAATCGGGCCTCATCACTCCATTGTATTGCACACCATTGTTGAGGTGTCCATTGTTTATGTTCTTTAGCCCATCTAAGCCGATTTTTCTTTTGCAGTGGAGTTAATAGTGGCTTTTCTTTTTCCTATAAACAAGTTGTGCAACTTTAGGGTTTTTACTTCACTTTTTTTTATAAGAAAACTTACCTTGCAAGTGCTAAATCCCAGTTTGTAGGCCTCTCTATGAGTTGTGGACCTCGAAATTCTCCTTCCAACAGCGTCGCTCCACAGAACACTTAATTGTAATTGTAAATAGTTGGCACGCCTGTTTTTCACGATTATTCTTCTTAATGCTCTTCGGTCGGCATTTGTGATATTACTTTTTTTCACATATCGTGGCTTAATATTAACTGAACTGGTTACGTTATATCTTCTAACAATATTTCTCACACTGTACCGCGATAAGTCTAACAAAGTTGCAATTTCTGAGTTTGATTTCCCAGAATTAAAAAATGTAATTATCAGTAACCGAATTTTCTCACTAATAACCTTTCCTCTATCCATTTTGAAAACCTTAACTACCCAAAACTATTTTAAACGTATTCTGACAGCTGTGATTAATAAAAACAATTGTCATGGCTTTTATTTTTGACAGCCACCTATGCGTTATAGACTTATTTTGCATTGAAATGAAAATAGGTTGATATGCTGTAATTGCAACATGTGTTATTTTTATGCTGCAAATTTGATTCGGGAGTGTTAAAGTTGGCGTTTTCTACTATATGTTATCAAAATATTCATTATTAATATTTTAAACCTATAACACCCTGCTACATTTTTATTATTTGTGTTTGATAAGAAAAAGCTAAGATTTCAATAGTTGGGCCGACTGAAGTGGGAAGGGGCTCGTATATTGATGATAATTCCATTGGATTCTTGTCTTAAATACACTTACTTGAGATTCAAGCCTAGAAATTAGTTGCGCATCCACTTTTTCTTATCCATTCTGGATACATATGCAAATTTGCTGAATTTCAAAAATGAGAGAGATAAGAAATAATTATATTCACTGTACACTGTCGAATTACAAGAAATTACACACAACGCGGACGCGGTGCTGATTTCCCGTAATTTTCCTCAAAGTTTTTGAAAACACAAAAAAACGTAAAAAATCGTAATTGATAACTTTGAACATAACCTGTCTTCCGAAAGGACAACATATAAATAACCCGTCGGGCACAGCTAATGCTATCCAACTAAATAACTATGTTTCTTCTCAGAGACTCAGAGATTAAAACTATAGACCACTCGGCTTGACAAAAAATATGCAACCAGCAATGCGTGTACGTGTAGTTGAGTCATTCCTCCATAGATGGACGCTTTGGATCTCGCTCACAATAATCATAGTGGGTAAACGTGGAATGACTGTTTGCACTCTAAAAACTACCTAGTCTGCAAAATGACATCTTATAGGTTCTTTTTGACGTTTTACATAATACCCGTGCCGGGCGGCCGTCTTGCTGGCACCACATGCCTCCGGAAATGCTTAGTGGCACGTCTTCCAATAAGTAAATGATTAAACGAGTGGATGATTTTATAAAAAGTCTAAATAAATGTCGACATTTTTGAACTCTGGCAAATCAAAGAGTACAATGCTCTTCCCATTCAGAACCCTAGTCCACATTTTTACTTTAAAATGATACTGTGATCTACCTTATCTCATCAAATGTGGATTTTCTACATGCCACTTGTGTAAGATGTTTAGATCCATCTGTATCTGCAACATTGTTTGACAAAACTTAACTCTTGGAAGTTAATCCTGGGGTTGTAGAGATTGTACTCGCTGTACATGGTACAGGTGGAGCTCAATCTTTCGCACGATTGGTGGGCTGTACTTTTGGGCACTCCCATGCTTGCTTCTATTTGACATACTGAAGTACGCGGGTTTTCTTCGACACTGTCCGTCACTCCGTGACAAATAGAAATTGGTAGTAATGGGAACTAAAAGATCATGACGGGGTCTAGATTTGTCCGAATTTTTGTAAAGCCTATAATTTCAAAAGTACACTACTTTGTTTACATTTTTCTGATAATTGTTATGACTTGGCCTATCCCCGTTTCTGGCATTACATTGACTTCTGGGAAACACTGTATAAGGATACTGGATATCCTTAAAAGCAGGACACATTAAGCATATGAGCTAAGCTGTACTCCACACAACACAATGCCAAATCTGAACAGTTGAGTGCAAATGAGATTTCCAATTCATCTCATATGCTTTCAGTTAAGATGTGCTTTCATTACACAAAACTTACTTGATACAGTTTTGATATTTCACAAACAAAACAGGCCCCTTGAACATTATTGCAGTTATGCCTCTCAGTAAGAAAGTAATCTCTCAGTAAAGGAGTATGCATAAGTGCTTGTAGTATACAATTCATAAAACATGTTGCTCCTAAATTTATCAAACCTCTCAGTCCTATTGTACATTCTGGTGTTATGCAGATTTTTTTGGTTTTGTGAGAGAGAAGATCTCTTTCTTCTTCTGTTGCATCCCATGATGTACATTCAAATAACCTGTTGGAAATATAGTACAAAAAAATATGTTCAATGGCATATCCAAGATGAGGGATGAAGTGAGAGAAAATCTATTGGAATGTGGCAGAAAGATCATAGGAAATATTTGGGATTTCCTATGCGAAATTTTTCATAATCCCCTGTGTATAATCTGATCTGAATGAAACCTTGTATTAGAGATAGTGAAGTGGATCTGATTAAAACTTTACCCTCTTCAGCTCCACCCTAGATGAGAGATTATTTTAGTGGAATGTCTTATTGTAACTCAAAAAAATTAAAATTACCTTTTCCTAAATTCGGCAGCATTCATCTTGTTTTCCATAGTGATCGCATCAATATCTGCATCATATACATAGTCCCCACAAGCAGTACAATGTAACTGTCCATAGCTTAGTTCAAGTGAAAAATTATGTTTTTGAGATTTTGTATGCTCTCTAATATGTTTGTGACAACCAAAATAGACACAACCTAGACATGCATGTAAGAAGGGTCCTCTATTCTTACATGTGCGGCACCATGCATTGGATACCTGTAACAAAAGGCTTCAAGATTTTTTCCTGCATAGGGAAATAAGAGTGATATCGTAGGAATGAGTTAAGATGTTGATTGAAAATTTTGTACATGTAGGATGGTAGTAAAATGACCTGCTGATAGCACAAATTTTATTCCAAGGACACATATTGCAAGACATAAAACAAATAACTATGTGTGATACTGTTCGAAACACGTTTTAGGATGTAGTGGAACACTACATTTTCTGCAGGGAAACAGAACTTTTTTATGGCATTTGCCACAACATTGCAGGTTCTCTTGATAAACTACAAGGTGATTGAGCCCATCATATGTAGAATAAGCACTCTTACATGATCACTATTTGTAGAAGCACACTGTATAAATGTCGATAAGTGGCTCAAACAATAGGCATGGGACTAGTAGTAATTGGTGGTAGTTCTAATGTTCTTTGACAGAGCACGGTGGCGATACCTTCTGACAAATTACTGAAACTCCTTACAGAATCCTTGAATCGCAATGCCTTTATAAAGGACGGTAGTAGTATCTGGGTTAACAGTATAGGCATTACAAAAAAATGCTCATGCTTGAGACTACACAGAAGAAAAAAGAAAATTATTTTTGACACCACTAACATTTTTGAAACATCTATTGCATTTTTGTATAAAGTTGTAGAATTTTATATGAATTGCCTCTCTTGAAAAATTTTTGTTTCATAGAAAAATTGGTTGGAATGTCTGAGGTAAAATCCATATAAGAAGCTTCTATTCATTCTACTTTCTGCTGAAGTTAGCAAAGTTTGACATTGAAAATTGTATGCGAGTAGTCCTCTCACCATAGCATTATTTGAATAATATTCCTGTTTTGCTCTTATTCACTCTCATCAGTGGAGTAGAAATTTTCACCACCTGGTATCTTGATAATGGAGCTTTTTTAGGATATATTCAATAATATATACTAATACTATATCTTGCTATTATTTTTTCTAGACCACCATGTATATTTAACATACCACCAAACAATATTTAGAAGCAGTGAGGAGCACCTTCTTTCCTCAGAAATGTACTACTTTGATACAAAAGATACAAAAAAGTATCAAGAATTGTATCACTTTTTTTGGTTTTGTCTTTATCCTATGGGCACATGGAGCCATACACAAGGTCCTGGCTTGATGAAGGGTCACAAAATATCCAGAAAAAAATGGCCTGGGTCCTTTCAGTCATAAATTAGCTAAGATGGTTCTACTTTTTGGTGCGGTTTTTAAACTTTTAATTTTATGGTATATTAATATTCACTGAGCCAAAACCCACTACAAGCAACGTGTGTTGCATACCCTGGGGTATATACAACTGTTTTGACATCTTTGCCGACTTTGTGGATATGTCAAATAATTTCTGTACATACCTTTATTTCGTGACTTTTTGGGCTTCCTGCTACTACAAAAACTGTGTGGAGCCATTTGAAAGTATCTAGATTTTGTGGGTGTCTCTTTAAATTCTGAACATGAAGGCATCCTTTGGCACTCATTTGTTAAAAAGATATGCGAAAAACTGAAATGAACCTCAGTATAATGTCAAATACTGGGTAATGGTGGGTTCACAAAATATTTACACCACATATACAGCTGAGATTCATGCAACACTTTAATGTAATAAGAAACTGTGCAGACAATCCGCAAGGGCAGCCAGCGTTGCCGATGTAGCACTTTGAAATAACACCTCTAATAATCATAATGTTTAACGTCAAGGTATCAAACAAAAGAGTGTTTTGTGCCTCGACATTGACAGCTCGCGCTTCCACCGCTCAATGCACGGGTAACAAGCACATAACACAGATAATATTCCATGTAATATCGGAACATCTCGGAAAAATATTCGGATTAACAACTAAATACAAAGGCTATAACGATATCCCCTATACCCTATTTAAGGAGTATCCATCACGGTAGAATGACAGCTGATTATCTAGTAATGTCTCAAAATTCCTCCTATCGGCACAGGATATATAATTTTGATGGATCCGTCAACGCCAGGTAGTCAGAGCCGTATTTTGTATTGGTTACAGATTCATTTTGTACTTGCTAGCAGCTCTTTTATTTAGAAAAGCTAATTTGCACACAAAACGCCAGAAAAAAGTTTTACCAGATTTATACCCGATCCGTTATTGCCAACGTTGCAGAGTAACACAAAAATGTCACTTGCTGATTAGTTTAGTTAGTAAAAGTTTAAAAAAGTTGTGCAAACAATTAGAGATGCAAGTTGGGGCTTAACAACATGTAGAATTGTTACAAGGGATGGCCTGCTTGGTCCACAAAACACATAAGACTGAAGAAGAGAACACACACACACACTCTTCTACCCTGTGCGTTCACTCCACAACCCTGGTCCTGACAACCTCAAACCCTTGAGGAGTGGCGGGAAGAGCAATTAGCTCTTCTCCCCTCTCCCTCCCGCAGGCCTGGAGTGGCGCTGCGTGGTTCAGGCCGCTGCGCATTCCCCGAGTGTGTGCTGCCGAGCGAGCTACCCACTCCCTAATTTTGCCCGTTTTTCCCTAAATTGACTCGATCGCGCACGCGTCGCGGAAGCACGTGGTGGACGTTTCATCCAACTATCGGTTCCCGACTTTTATGGACGGCCTCTTTCTTGGGGGTCCTGCCCCGCATTAAGGTTGTTGAGCCTTCGCTCTTTCCTCGTCGACTGGAGTCAGTCAGTCGTCAGTCAGTCAGTTTACTGCTTGTCTTCGTCTCCTGAGGTTAGCCTCGAGTCCGTGCTTGACTCTGGCCACCTCAATCGACTGGCTTCTTTTTGTCCACCCGTTGTACACGGGCTGTTCTTTCCCCTCTTGAGCGTACAACTATTGTCAGTGTTCTCCCCTTTTCTTTGGCCTCATCCGCTGCTAGTGCCAAATATCTTCTTGTTGCAGCTGGCTTTTCGGTCTTTTATGTCGCCTTATTGTTCTTGGGTCGTAATCCAAGGCGTTCTTAATCAGCTGATTTCGATGTCGTCCGTTCTTTTCAAAGACTTTTCGGGCCGTCTGTCTCATCTGGATTACGACCGGTACCTGTCGGAGTTCGTCATATAGCACTCTGTTAGGTACGAAGCACGGTGCGTCCTCCGCCTCACGGAGTGCTAGGTTTTGTTGAGCTTGGAGCTTCTTCTTCCACGTTTTGGCAACGTAGCCCCAAGCTACTGCTGCGTAAGTCATGATTTGGAGCAGCACCATCTGAATCATGAAGGTTTTATTCTTTAAGGATAATTTACTTCTTCTGCCTAATAAAGGTCTTAATCTTGAGTGTGCCATCTTCACTTTCTGCACCTGGCGCTCCACGTGGGTCATCCAAGTGAGTTTTTGATCCATCTTGACTCCGAGGTACATGCTGGAGTGCTTCCAAACGACCTCAACCTCTTTGTCTCTTCTCCAGCCTCTCTCCATTCTGGTAGTCGTCATCTTTATTTTAGTTTCGGGTAATCTCCGATTTCTTTGGAACAGCACCGTTTCGGTCTTCTCAGGGTTGAGTCGGATCATCCACTTGATGCACCACTCCTCTAGGTTGGTAGTCGCTCTCTGCAGATATTCCGTAACCATGCGGGGTCTCGTACTCTCAGCCGCATATGCTGTGTCGTCCGCATATACGTACAGCTGCGTTTGTGGAGTCTTCGGAATGTCTGAACTGTAGGTTGCATACAAAAAGGGTGATTGTACCGCTCCCTGCGGTATTCCTGCCACCACAGTACAGTCCTCGTCGTCGTAGTTGTTTTAGCAATCATAATTCGGAATGTTCGATGCTCCAAATAGGACTTCACCAGTTGAATCATCCCCATTGAGTATTCGGAGTCTAATATCTTGTAGATAAGTCCGTCGTGCCAGACTGTGTCGAACGCGCTTAGCTGCATCCACGAACACAGCTCCCACTGCTCGCCGAATCTGGAACGATTTCGTTGCCATCTCGACCAGCCTCAGGACCTGGTGCTCTGCTGAATGTTCGCATTGGAATCCGAACTGTCCATTTGGCGCTACTTGGAGTTCTTCAATTTCGTTTCTCAGTCCTCCATCGATTACCCTTTCCGCAATCTTGCTCGATGCCGTCAATAGGCTTATGGGTCTATAGTTTTGGGGGAACCTTGGGTCTTTCCCAGGTTTTGGTATGTTGATCACATCGGCTACTTTCCAGTGTTTTGCCGCATCATTAACGAATAAACTGAATGCACCTGAAGTATCAGCTGACTACAACGAGGAAGTTTTAGTGGAAGAAATGGATGAGCTCGAGTATGATGGGCTGAAAAATTTGGCCGGCTTTGTTTGCCATAAATTACAGGATGAGAGGTTGAAAAGCTCCTCAAATGAAACTTACTCCTGGATAGACCATCTTATCATCAAAACCTTCCACAGCTTTCATGAATCAAATTGAGAAGCTTAATAAGGTGTTACTACATTAAATGGGGACGGAATAGTGACAGACAAGCAAAATTTTATAGGCGAACTTCTGTGGAAGAGCAGCAACATTGACTGCCTTGAAAAAGCTAAGAAACTATTTTTCAGGTCAAGGATGTTCTTCCGGATTAAAGAACTGAGTTAAAGTTTGAAAGACCAGAAAAATCGTGAAAGGAAATGGAGAAAAATTATGGCTTAGATTGTCATTGCCACTTATTATTATAGTGCCAGCTTACTGCAAAAAGATGATAACTCCATTTTTCTATTTTTCGAGCTGCGTTCATTTTCACACTTGCATGTAGTTAGTACTTAGGATGTTCTGTGAAATAAGGATGAATAAATGTAGTGCAGTATTAACGTAATGATTATGTTAATCCTGCTCCGCGGTATATACTGTGACTTTGAAGTTGAGTCATTAATTTTCAGATAATGATTGTAGAAGGAAGATAAACCAAAATATGTGTGTAAAAATAAAAAAAATAAACAAAAAAAATGTTACCTTGGTTTATAAAGTATCCTCCCGACAAGTATTTCAGTGCGGACCTGTATTTGATCGTGCGGTCTTGGAGAACCGGCATGCCCTCCCCTGTGAGGTCTTAAGTCACCTGATTCACGAGCCCTTTGTACTACATTAACAAAGGCACGAGGGGTTGGTTGCACTCGATTGGGAAACCGATTCGCACAAATCCGTGATGCCGCGGCAGCATTTTGTAAAGACTCCCCCCCGTAAATAAAAATCATGTCCACAAGTTCAGCATTTTCGTAAACATGTGCCATTTTTTATTTCGTTTCAGCCACGCAACAAACACCACTATTCACTCACGCGTTACCGACTGACGAAAAACATCGGGATAAACGTTTCAAATTCTTTCGCTTTTTTGTTTCTGATGCGATGAACCGGTAAGGCGGATTATATCTGTTGTCGCCAAACACGAGCACATAATATTATTATTGAGACAGGGCGGTACTCAAACTTCTAAAGGGCTATAACTTTGTTAATTTAATTTTACCAGAAAAATGTTAAAGGAAAAAAAACATTTCTTTTGATCAGATCTACTCACTGTTAAAATAAATGATTCAACTTCGAAGACACCCTGTATATTAAAATTCGCCATTTTGTTTTGTATAACATTTTAATGTATCTAGTGTCACTCGCACTGCTAATACGAATCCAACGACACTTCATATGTGATAATCCATCCAGCCGTTTGGCCTGTAGGTGAAAATATGCACGTTTTCCATATCAACCCAAATGATAATCACTCTCCGCGTGACGTCATGCGCGCCGCCGGCACTACTTTGGTATTCGTCTCCAACTGCTTATCACATTTTCTGCTTCTGTTCATTAGCGTCCGGAGGAGTGAATTTTTTTTTTGATGTGGCCAAGCACGTCATGGATCGAACACGAACTGTTATCGTGACAACGCGACCACGAATCTTCGCCTTCAAGTGTGGCCGTAGCATTAGAGAAAGATATACTGTTTATCATTTTACTTCTTACATCTAAGTTTTTTGTATAAAGCATATTGCTCAGTAGCTCACTACTTAATTCCAATAATTCGAGATTCATCCCAAGACGTTCGCCAGATAGGGGTAGAGGTCGTGAGTAGTCAAAAGTGTGAAGAAAATCCTGCAAAAGTTGCAAACAAATCTGGATCAATGGATTGGAAATTCATGAAGTAGGGAACATGGCAGACGGGATGTCAATGGCTCATTTCAGTGAAGTTGTTTATTTGTCCGTTGTTAGTCTGTGAATGCTTACAAGTTCAGCGACAGCGTGGTGACAGCTACAAGATGACGTGACCGATGACGTGACCGATGACGTTTGAGGTTTTGAAGAATATCGATTATTTTAAACAATTTGGGTTTTTTGCTTTTGGCGTATTTTCATTTTCGGTTTCCAAAAAGTATACACAACCGTTGTATGTATGACACGTAGTTAAGTGAGCGAAAATAAAATTTAGTTTTCAACAAGATGACTTCGTTGGACGGCGAAAAAACGCCGAAAAATGAAAAATCCGTAAATGTTGACATCAAAAAGAATGATGCGAATGCCACGTCCAATAGAATGGTATGAATTTGGTCAAAATATTTTTTAAATACCCTCTAAATAAATATATTCCAGCAACCGCAATTAGGAGAAATAGCAATAGAAGCCTCTGAAATTGTTAGCCGCCTAGAACAAGTTGCTGAAGGAAAACAAATTCAAGATAGCGCTTACAATCAATCCACTGTATTCTTAGGACTAGAAAAAAAGCATACAGATGAAATAATAAAAGTAATACACAGTCTTATTAGTGTAGACGATGAAGGAGAACCATTGGTCTTTTTGTCACTAGACAGTGTTACAAAATTAGTAATGGTTTCACATAGTCTCGCTGCATTTTGTGGTGGTCTAGAGCGGCCAATTGTACAGAAGCTAAGCACAAGGTTTACAACAGATACGACCAGGTGGATTAGCCAAATCTTTGGGTAAGCTAGAAAATCTATTTTTTTAACTTTCTGTTAAGATATAAGTATTAAGTTCATCTTTTATTAACTATATTTGTGATGTTTTACAACACTGCAAAATTCAAATATTTGCTGCATTAAATATAAATATATGTATCAAAAACAGAAACTGCAATAGAGCTGTTAAGCTATTAAATGATATGAAAAACATTTAAAAATCAAACACAAACAAAAAAGTGTATGCTTCTCGGAAAATCTTTGATAAAAATATGATAACTGATGATTAATTATGAAAAGATTGACTTTTTGAATCATTGAAATATTTGGGTATATACCTATGTAGATAGTGAATTAAAATTTGAAGGGCACTATGAATATCCAAAAATATAAATTACTTTTAGTAAGTTTTGCATAGCCAAGTGTTTATTATAAAAGAATTGTGTACAACACTGTCATTCATCCTCACTTGTAATATTGTTCAACTATTTTGTTCACTGCAAATTAAACTTTTTAAATATACTAAGTGGCATATAAATCCGAACACCCAGTTTAAATGGTTTTATTTTAATAAAAGTTGGTGAATGTATTTCTCTTACTGTAAATAACAAGTGAACAAATTTTCAGTTGGACATTCCGGTTTTTATTCTGCTTTTTTTTAATTCACTAACGCTCTAAAAATGAATATTTCAGCTGCAGTAAAGAATCAACGTTGGCGGAATTTGGTTCTTGACATCCTTTACGATCGGTTATTGCAAATGAATGGTTTACAGAAAACGGAAGACCTATTGGCATGCGAAGTGTTTTCCGACGAATGAGAAGTTTTGGCTTGTTTTCATACCGGCCACACTGGGTCCTCCCTTTAACTCGAGAACACCGACGTAATCGCCTTGAGTGGTGCAGACAACGGTCACTCTTGGATCAGGAATGGAACAGTATTGTCTTTAGTGACGAGTCTCGATTTTGTTTAGGCATGCACGATGGTCGTGCCAGGGTTAGAAGGCGACGTGGTGAAAGGAGGAATCCACAGTTTTTTGTTGAAAGACATGTTCATCACACTGTTGGAGTTATGGTTTGGGGTGCTATAGCTTATGGTTCCAGGTCACCTTTAATCTTCATCAGAGGTAACATGAACGCGCAGCGTTATATCCACGAAGTTCTCGAACCCCATCTTTTACCCTATCTTGACACCCTGGCAGATCCAACTTTCCAACAAGATAATGCCCGACCACATGTTGCCAGACTCACAATAGACTTCTTTCAACATAATGATGTCACATTGTTACCATGGCCACCAAGATCTCCCGACTTATCCCCAATCGAGCACGTGTGGGATATGATGGGTAAGAGATTGCTCAATTTGCAACATCATCCTCAGACTCTAGAAGCACTTCGAGAGGAGTTGGTGGTTGCCTGGAATGAGATACCACAGGAGGACATTGACCACCTGATCAGAAGCATGCCGAGGCGCGTTGGAGAATGCGTAGCACATCAGGGTGCATCCACACATTATTAAAGGTCAAAGGGCTTTAAAGCAGTGCAATCATTTTGAAATTTTTATCATTTACTTATTGTGCTTCATTAAGTACTTATACAAAATTTTATTAAAATAAAACCATTTAAACTGGGTGTTCGGATTTATATGTCACTTAGTATACAAATATTACAAAATAAAGTCCTGGGAATCATATTAAGTAAATATAAATGTACTAGAATACATTTTATGCTACAGTGGTTAACAAAATTTCATAACCAATTCACTTGGAAAGTTTTATTGAATTAAACAATACAAGTACAATAGTTATTCAACTAGAGGAAGAGTAGACTTTCATTTACAAAGTTGTAAATTGAATAATGATATCAAGATGTGTACCAGCTTGAAAATGTTCAATGGAAAATTGTAAAATATTTCATGGAAAACCAGAATTAATAGTAGTCAAATTTTGGATAAAACTATTGATACTTGAAGAAATAAAATATGGTTTGATATACTATGTAACATTCATATAGTAGCATTACAGCTAAAGAAGGCTACAACAAACTCCATTACATTGTAAAGATATCCCTTACGGCCGTATTGTCAGTCATTCCTACAATTGTAGGTTACCTTTATAGCCTCCTTGATTAACATAGTTTTCTAATATTATTCTGTGGAAGCGCTCTATTTTAAGGTAATGTCACAAATATCTATTTGCATCAAATTGTTCGTGCTTTTGATTTATATCATCTGTTTTATCAGCCTGAAATTGCTTAGGATTCAAAAAGAAAACATAAATTCACAATAGGAGAGTGCTTACGCTGACATGGAACAGATGAAATCAAGAATTCCTTTCTGAAGCAGAGAAAAGAGTATGAGAATCAAGGAGGTCATAAAGGTCTCCAACAATCGTAGGAATGAAACAGCCCTAAGATGCCCAAGTCTGCCATTTTTTAATGGTATATATTGCTGCTCGAGTGCTGAATCATGCAGCTGCCAACACCACCCTGCTCCTCTTCAATTTTTACTTGCTGCTACCCCCTTGACAGATTCCTAAATCTGCCTTTGTTACATTGTATCATTTTAAGAGTTTCCGAAGACCCTGTCTTGGATTTCGAACAGTCAGTTTTGTGATATTAGTTGTATTGACTGTTCTTTTTCTTTATCAATCTGTTCAGTCACTATTAAAGTAAAAAAAATATATGTTTGTTGTTTCTTAGAAAAATTCCTGATGTTGTGTCTAGGCAGATGTGATGATTCTTCCATGTGGGGGAATCAGGAACTGGTACTTTTACAGAGCCAAAGAAACCAAGGGTTCAAAGATTTAGGGTCATATTTAATTTTGATGGCCCTTTTAGTTTGTTTTATGTAGATATGGCATTTTATTCCACTTACGTTATTTATTATGAGAAACAATAATGTAAAGCGGATTGCCTCGCAGCGAGGCATCCGGTATCGTTAATATGGGTACCGGGGCACGCTGGGATAAGGGGCAATGAGACGGCGGACACTCTGGCGAAAACAGGATCAGCCAGCAAGCTCGTTGGTCCTGAGCCAGCTCTAGGAGTAACCGCGCATAAAGCTAGGAGGAAAATGGAGACGTGGGTTGCAAGACAACACTCTCAGAAATGGAGAAGTATCTCTAGACATCTCCGCCAGGCACGAGAGCTCATTGAAGGGCCCAGTGCTAAGGATGGACGCTTCTGCCTATCTCTGGGTAGAGCCAACCTAAGGTTGCTGGTGGGACTGTTGTCTGGCCATAACACGTTAAGGCGGCACCTGCACGTGATGGGGGTGGCTGAGGATCCCTTATGCGAACGCTGCGGAGTAGAGGAAGAGACCTCGGCGCACGTTTTGTGTCGCTGTGAAGCTCTGAGCTACTACAGGCAGACTATACTGGGGTCCATTACTTTGGACCCTCAGGACGTAAAGGAGCTTGGACTCAAGGCGATTCTCAACTTCGCTAAAAGGGCGAGGCTTGTGATTTAAGTATTGTAGAGGTGCATAAGGGCCCGCTTAAGCGGCCTATGCACTGGCTCCTTATGGTGGCCGGGATGCCTCTAAAATTCAAGATTCATTCATTCATTCATAATGTAAAGCCATGAGTCAGTCTTTAATACACTAGTCCGTATTGACTCCTCACAGAATATGTGATATATCGGAAACAAGAATTGAAGTTTCAAACAATGCAAATTCATATTTTTATTAAGATGTTTATGTATACATATTTATAATTTTCTCTGTGAATCTCAAGACTTTCAGAAGCTCAAAAGGAACCACTTCTCCAACAGCTGTTCTCCTGAGAGTCTGTTATTTCCAGATGTTTTCAAATTTCCAATTGTTTTATGCTAGTAACTTTCTACTATAGATGTTCATAATATCTATACTGTTTCTATTAACTAGTCAAATCAGCAATCATTGCACAATTTAATCCCACAATCTAAATGAATAATCAAGCAATAGAAAGTATGAGTTCTATTAATCAAACTTTCTATTTCAGGTTCTATGATTGTTCTGCATTTTACCATGATGACCTTCTAGAGGGATTATTCAGGGTAACAAGGATGATGCTGCACTATAAATACCCTAGATATTTAGAAGATGGAGCATTAGCTTTTGCAAATTCATTGCCAATGATTTATAGTAGCGTGGCCAGTCCCTTAGTTGTTGCCCAGCATTTATGTAGGCAGCTGGGTTTACCTTTTGCCTGCATTAGGCCTGTCCCTGTTAATACACATTTTGGTAATTATTATGTTCACTATGTCCATTTATTTTATCTAAAACGATTGATTAACGTATTCTACCTGAATATAGCCAACGATATTCGCTATCCACTATACAGGGTGTCCAAGATAAGGACCTTATGCCTGGGGATCTGATACTGGTTGGAGATACAGCTTAGGTTGGGGCATACTTACATGCTGTTGAGAAACTTTTTTTAAATTTCATGGCTTACTGACATATTTGCAAGAAACTAAAATGTGGCGAATCATTTTTATTTCTTCTGACTTTATTTTAAAGAATATTGAAAAAAACTATTGGAACTGTTGCATTCCCACTTTTTAAGCACTGCATGATGGTGTTTTTAAATTCTATACCTGACAGTTCGTTTTCGATGAACCATCAACTTTTTTATCGTCTGAAAAAACGTAGTCCCTGTATCTTATAGCATTTTTTATTCGAATTCAATGATGTGCGACATCTTACATTTATTTTCTTGGTTATAAGGAAAATGTGTTTTTTCTGATTTTTTTTTTAATTCTTTCTTTAAATAGGCGTTGAAGACAAATGCTTGACGTAAATATCTGTCACCGAGTATTGTTATTATTGTGTATTGTAAATATTGCTTTGTTATCGTTTATCGTTAAAGGCGCCAGGCTGTCATTTTAGCAATGAAGAAAAGTTCGACATGCCTACGTGCTACATTTTGTGCTACAAAAATACTAAAAATACTGCAGAAATGTATCTTCATACATTTCCCGAAAATAGGCAGCTTAGTAAGTCCATTTTCTTAGGATTGGCTTGAAATTTAAATGAATATGCATTGAAATTAATATGGAAGTGTTTTACAAGCAGTTGCTGAGAACTCTAAGATATCAACTAGGCAAAATGGATATCACCCCTATAAATTCAGGATTTGCTAAGGACTTAGACCAGGAGATAGCGAACGGCGCCACCCTTTTTTGAGTCATACACATGAACGTGTGAAGATCTTGATTTTTCAAAAATAATATGGTCCGGCTAGAGTATGGTAACAAATAATGGTATTTTTACTCGCTCAGTACTGGACTCAAGTAAATATGTGGGCCAAAAAAGTATCCAGACATCAAGAACGTTTTGCGTTTAAAACGTAGCGTGGAATTCTAGGGACCAAAATATTAGGTCCATTTATTTATCACAACTCATTAATTGCAGAACGGTACTGTCTATTGTAGCAACATGATCTAGAAGACCGCCTGGATAATTCAACTTTGGTACAGGTTAATAGCTTAATTGGTTTCAATAAGATGGTGAGCCTGCACAGAAGTCAAGGCAAGTTCGAGTATCTTTCTCAGCGATTTCCCGGGAGGTAGTAATTTGGAACCTCCAGTGAAGTGGCCAGCGCCTACCCCAAATTTAACTCCTCTGGCCTTTTTTATTTGGGGTTTTATTAATAACCAAGTTTCTCAGCGTACTTTTGAAACTGAGCAGCAGTTCAAGAATGTGTAATGGAATCATTTAGTATGATTACACCAGAAATGTTACGTGATGTTTTCAATTCCACTGTTCTACTGAAGATCATATTTATGTTTAGACAATAATGGCAACCTATTTGAACACCTAATGTGAGTAGAATAAAAATAGTGTTAAAAATGTATTCATTATTCTGAATATTCCTAGATTAAACGTCATTTTATAAAATTGTATCCCATCATATCATTATGTAATATGCATCTATCAGTAATCACAGAATCTTACATCAAGCATTTGTTTGCAACACATAAAAACATTTCATTTTTCTTTATGACCAAGAAAACCAATGTAACATGTGATACATCGTTAAATTCGTAGAAAAAGATGGGGAGTGTGCTTTTTTTAGATCATATAAAAATAAAGTTGATAATGCTTTCTCAAAAACGAAACGTTGGTCACAGAATTTAAGATCAGTAGTGCCTAAAAAGTGCCAATGAAAAATCTCCATTAGTTTTTTGAGATACCTTGAAATAAAGTCAGAAAAAGTAAAAACGATTTGGTCAAATTTTAGTTTTTCCCAAATACATACCTCAGTGAGTTTCTTAACGGCATGAAATACGTCCCAGAGAACGCAGCTTTTTCTTGATTCAACCTAAGCTGTACCTCCCACAGGTATTGAGATCCCCATGCATAAGCTCCTTATCTTTGACACTTTGTATATACTGGTAAGGTTAGTGTCCCATAAATGGTGCTGTAGTCTCACCTATATGCCAACATAGATGTGCCAAAGTATACATGTATAGAAAATATGGGAACAACTGTGACACTTTCTCATACCTGACGCTACGGCACCTCATTTTATCTCGGAGAATTTTATGGATGCGCGAATATAGCATAAGGTTTGCTATCTTCAGGTAGAATACGTTAATCATAACTAGAGATTTTCTCAACTCGGCTGAAACAAAAGTCATTCTAATTCATCTTCCTGAATCTGGCCAAAAAATAAAAGTGACATGAATTCTGCAGCAAAAACGTAAATAAGAGTCATTTATTATCATATAATATAATAAGTTGGTATTTTCCTCATCCAAATTATTGCTGAATGATCCTAAGACTAAGACTAAGAAGCATGAATTTGAGTGGTTTCTTGTCGTTTTATACGGAGGATTTTATATAGAATCTGAATCAAATTTTCATATGATTCGATTTGTGCCTGTAACTAACCTTTTGTTCTTGCGCTCAAGGTTCCCAATATATAATGGACGTTTCTGCTTTACAAAAAATGTTGGCTGATGATGTAGCCACTGGTCGCACGCCACTTTTGGTTATAGCAGATGCTGGCACGTCTATTACAGGTAAACATGATTGATTTGTGAATTCTTCTGGTTATTATGTTCTTATATTCAAATTGTATAATAAGGTTTACAGAGGATAAAAGGCTTGGGAATTAAGAATTATTTTCTTGTTTTAGGGCATGTTGACAATATTTCTAGGATTAATGAGTTATGTAAGGTACATGGAGCTTGGCTTCATGTAAGAGGACATACCTTAGCAGCTTTGGCATTACCAAACCACCAAAGGAATGGCCCAGTAAGTAGTTATTCTTAGTTAAATACCCCACACGGATCATTCTATGTCTTTTTCTGTCCTATCCGGCTGTTAGACTTGCTAAATGTCTGAATATTCTTTTCCAGATTCCACCCATTGCAGATAGTTTCACACTAATGTTAGGAAGTTGGTTAGGCATTCCTGGTTTGCCAATGGTTGTATCCTTTTTCAAAACTATTAAAGTTGCCAGACAACTGTGCAATTATTAGCAAATACGAGCCTCAGTTCGGTACCATCTACTTCTCAAGCAGGGCCTCCATTTTAGATGTTGTTTAAAGTATCAGATCGTCGGTACACATACATGAAGATTTTACAGTGGTACCACTCTACTCTGACAAAAATGACTTGATTGCTTTTTGCATCTCATGATTTCAAAAGATGGTGTATCTTTTGACAACTCAACTTTTACGCTGAAAAATTGCTATATTTCCTCAACAAATTCTAGACCCTATACCGAGTATGGGACTCTTCGAATCCAAACAGAAGTAAACAAGTCGGCGTAACTCGCGAAAGCACTCTGCCTGTCTTGGCAGGTTTGAACACTGACCATCAAAGCAGGAAGATCATAACATTGCCTTTGTGGGCTGCCTTGCAAAGTCTTGGCAAGGAAGGCGTACATACTAGGATCAGGGAGGATTTTTTGGCCGGCGAGAGGCTTTGGGCTGCCTTGGATGTGTTCAAGCATGTGAGAGTACTGGTAAGAAAATTTCTCTAACCCCAAAACCAGATTTATTGCTCGCAGTTCACAATGTGAAATTGGCGTTTGCCGAGGATCGATCGCAAATGACAGCAAACACGCTTTCGACCACTTGTAGTCGGACCGCGGATGGAACGCCTCTTTGTTGGCACTCGTTGGCCTCTGTTGACACGCCATCATAGTGTGATTTTTTATATACCGACGCAACCGCGTAGGCAGAAGCCTAAATACCAGGGCACCGCAGATGCTATGAGAAGCTTAAAGAATCTTTGTTAATCCGATTTTTGAACTGCCTAAGGTTAGTAGAACTGGGAAAAGCCTCAGGTAGATTAGTCCACATTCTCGATACTCTAGGGCTATATAGCTGTATAGGCCACGTCCACGTGACGTCAGTATACCCTATTTCATGAGTATCCACCATGGTAGAATGACAGCTGATTGTCTAGTAATATCTCAAACTTGAAAGCCTTGCAATGCGGAGACACAACGTTCATTGGTCCAATCGCAACGATTCGTTGCGAACTGTAATCGATTGCCACGTCATAATTGAATGCAGCTCGATTGGGATTAAATGCGACACTTCTACGTTGTTGAATTTAATTCCTTCCATACCGTTCAACTTATTTCTCGTTTCTCGTCATTTTGAATTCTTTGTATATATCTTTGACTCGCAGCATTGCGAGTTCTGCGACCTAGGTTGGTACGTCTAATTGGTGGCATTTTTAAGAATCACAATTTTAATATAAGGCGCGATTGCGGTGAACTTCCACCCTTGTTAATTATTTTTAAATAAATACTTCTAAAAAAACTCACTGAACAAACTGAGAACTGAATAAAAGCTCCAGTCGAATGGAATGTGCACTACTAATTAAATAAAAAAATATTTTTTCATCGATAAGCACTTTTAAACTATAATTTAAATTTGCGGCATGCGAGTTGACAAGTTCAAAATGATAGAGTAGTGAAAGTCAGTTAAGCAAAAAAACGTATTTTCATCCGCCATTTTTATTTATAGAGTTAACTGACAAAGATAATGATTAGGCAACACTGCAGTTTCTTTTGAAGGGGCCATCACGAAGTACGGATGGTAAAGAAATTATAGGCTATTTGACAGTATTGAAAATAAGTTGCGAATTGTGGTGATCCTATTAGATAATAGAATAAGAAAACACAGTACTTTAATGTACACCTAAATATGTATATTTTTTGGGAAATAATCAAATAAAAATCAGCTATTTTTAAAAATTCGATGGGTCACAGAAACGCCCTGCGATTGGCTGCGACTCTGGTGACGTCACATGCAAGTAAACAAACATCGCGTTGTACCATCTACTCCATCTACTTCGGTGGAATGTTATTGGAAAAAGCCAACATTGTCAAGAGTAGGGACTACTCTGAAGTACATCACGGTGCAGCAGATGTCGAAAAAGGAAGTACCGCACAGACCAAGTACATCAGCGCTTTACACAGACTTTATTTTGGAAGCTAAAAAAAGAAAACTTCAACACTGTGAATGGATAAAATATCAGGACGATTTTAAACACTCAAATGTTATGCGGTATTCGCTGCACTGTTTCATAATGGACCAACCACCAAAAATTCAAGCAGACGTAGACATAATGAAGACAACATTCAACAGCTGCTATCAGTGCAATTGAAGAAGCAAGAATGCAGTACAAGAGCAGCTTGTGGTATGAGATGAGGTATGGCCGTATCACAGCTTCAAAGGCACATGAAGTGAGCGTATGTCATACACCTGATGGTTCATTGGTTGCTACTATAATGGGCGCAAAAATACCAGATACTATTGCAATGAAAAGAGGTAGAAGTTTGGAGCTATCTGTCCGGAAGACAGTTAGTACAACATTGAACAAAAAAATCAGAACATGTGGACTTTATGTATGCCAAGACAATCCCATGCTTGCAGCATCTCCTGATGCAAAAGCTAAGAACAATTATTTAAAAAATGGAATTATTTCAGAGAAATGTAAGGCACAGGTTCAATTACAGATGCATGCAACTGGTATGAAAAAATGTTATTTTTGTGTTGCTGATAGCAACTTTGAAGAAACAAAAAATGTAGATATTATTCTAGTGAAGTACGAAGATGATTATGTCAACAACTTAATAAAAAACTTGTATATTTTTTGGAAAATATATATATATATATATATATATATATATATATATATATATCCTATTTTGTATCGTAGCACTAGTCTGTGATTATCAAATAAAAAACTATGCAGTGCATATTTCTTGTTTTATTATTATTTTATTCATGGTTTTACATCATTTATTTCTTTATTTATAGTAGTAGTAGTAGAAGAATTTATTCAGCCAAGTACAAAACACAAAGTTCAAATGGTATGTCACAAAAAAGGAGTTACATGATAATAATTAAGTACAAAGTATCATAACAGGCAAAAACCCATTACATAGAATCTTGCAAATTTATTAGAGCACATGCAATTATAATGACATGATCAAGTACACGATGTATGTTAGTATTTATCACTGAATGTTGCTTTAAAATATGAAATTCTCTCAAACACCTTATTACCCTTTCAGTATGAATCCGCAAACTAGCTATTATTTTAGTTTGTCGAACTTCAGTTTTTGACAACTTTGCACCAGCATTTACACTGGGTGGCCTTAATGGTTTTAGTCCCTTTTCATGAAGTATTTGTTCAAGGTGTTTGAAGCCTCTGTCAGCTAAGCAACAGGATCCTTGGGGTAATCCATCTAGAAAGTTACAATTTTCTACTATTGTGGCATCGCTGGTTCTGCCCCCAAACCCATGCGAAACATAATTAACTAAACCATTAGGTGTGCAGGATACTAAATACTTCATAGTATTCCCCTTTTTGTACTCTGACCACGTCAATGACTGATGAACAGCCTTTGATGGTTTTTGTATATCAATCTCTAAACAATCTATGATGCAACTGACATTATGATAGTTATGTCTAAATGAAATAGGAAGATTTTTTTTTACCAATTTTTTATCTATTTTTACAATGAATGGTCTTAAAACACTAGCTATTATTGGTATATTTTGTAGAAACAATTTACTAGCATAAGATAATGATATTCCAAAATTATCCTCCAGTTCAGAAAATGTACTGTTCATTCTAATCTTTTTCAAGCATAGCAAAATGTGTTCTACTTTTATGCCTGTGTGTTTATGTAACAATTTGATTAAGAAATAACATTCTTTTGGAATACCAACATACATCATTGGTTTTTTAGAGATTGAACGCATAGTAATTTTGAGGCACTCTAATTTTTCAGTATTCTCATTGGCATCTGTAACATTACTATCAGAGTCGGTAAGCCCTGATGATGATGATGCTGATTTAGTTACAAAAGGTGATAAATGACGACCACTTTCCATACAGGAAATATCACTATCTGACTTTTCATCTTCAAGAAAAACATTTCTCTTGACTGCTTTGACAATTTCAGACTGTGATGGTCGAAGACTGCATGGTTTAATTTTAAAGGGCGAAGTGGAACGAGATGTTGTAGAAACTTTCATTGGTGAGGTAGAAATACTTGTAGTTTGGCATCTTGTTTGCACAGATTTGCACATTCTCTTTTATTGTTACTTGCACAGATTTTTCTGCAGTTATGATAGAGTTGGTAATAGTTTCTCTGTCTTGAGTTCTTGATAAACCTGAAAGAACAAAGACTCAAAATTAATGTCTTAATTTCAATGTAAATGATTACGTTAAGGCACTATGAAAAGTTGTCTACTACTTCTTCCACTATCACTGAAGAAAAAGTGCAGTGCTGGATAAGGGGTAGTGAATCACAACATCAACAGCTTGAGAGAAAATTACACATTACCTGAAGTACAAGTTGAGCATTCTTGATCACCTAGCAAGTAAAATGTCCCACTAAAATGACCTATCACTTTGAATATATCAATTTTAAACCATAAATATTATTCTGTGAAAATCTCAATGTGCTACAAATATGTCTTTATGATTTTTTTGAAAAATACCCTCAATACCCCTAGGGACAACAGTTACTCACCTTATTCAGTTCTGCCCTTTTTATTCAGAAATAATGGAAGAAGTATTAGACAAGTTTTTATAAGGCCTCAAATAGGTTACAAAAATGTCTATCAGCTCTTAGACTATAATTTATGATAGGACACATGTAATAGATTACATACCTTGAGGTTCAATAATGTCTTGTATCAAACTCTCATCTTTTTGTAAGCTTTCAGCTTGGGCTTCAGTAGCATTTTGACTTTGCAAACATGTGTTGACCAAATCCATTCTTTTCCTCTTGACATATGCTCCTCGAGAAAGTCCAGCATCAGACAGTGGTCTTTTACGATCTTCTTGACAATGAAATTTTGTTGGCACAGCATCTTCTGTCAAAAGTATCTTCTTGCTGAAACCCATTTTGTACTGCATGTAGTTAATGGTTTCTTTTTCCATCTGCAATTCAACATAACTATCACTATCTAATAAGCAAAGTAGGTAAAATGATACAGCATAGAAAATTATTGAGATATCTAGGTAGCTAATATAATCAAAACAACAGAAAACATTTTGAAACCCTACAGAGTAATAAGTTTAGGATTAATAAACAGGATCTTTGATCCTCAACACTGACTTATCCTCAACATAACCAAAGATAGATTTGAGGTTATAGATAGTTATATATTATTTCAATCTTAAAAAAGCGGTAATTTAAGCTACCTAGTAGATAACATATTCAATTTATACTTACATCGAAGTGATCTTCACACATAAATACATTTGAAGTCGATGAAATGCCCTTTGGGTCTCTCCGAGCTAATAGTAACCACTTTTTTCGTCTTTTACAATCAGTTGGAACAGAAACAAACAATGTTTGTGGACTATTTATACACGTATTCGTACATTTTGGCACTACACACCATTTATAGACCATTTTATCTATGATTTTATAGCAAAATCAAGCACAAAAATGAAATTAACTTCGGCTGACAGCTCGTGATCGTGTTTACTGGTGTGTGACGTCACAGACGTCATCTGCCGGCGCCATCACAGGAATAGCGTTTTTGGCGCGGTTCTAAAAATTCAAACTTTAAATTTGATTTCTATTAAAAATAGTATAGATTTTCAGGAAATATTCATGTAGTGTGCTCATTATATATAAAAGAATAATTTAAAATGATTTTGCAAAATTAGTCAAATAGCCTCACATAGTTAACTGTCACTAGCTGTTGGAATAAAGAGCGCGGAAAGGTGTGTTTGTCTCTTTTGGTAATTGAGATATTTTTTCTGCTGTGCGTGCTTCATGCTCAAGCGAACTGTCAAACATGCGTAGCTCAAATAATCATTCGGTTTTTAATGATTCCAAAAATTTTCTGCGCAATTTTCTTGATTTTTCTTTCCGTAAGAACCTTCTTTACCGTATTAGGAAACTTAAAAAAAAAGATGGATGAATCCGTTATAGTCGTTCTCAAGTTATGGCGTGACCACGGGAAATAGGGATTCATTTTTATTATATAGATAGACGTATCCATCACATTTCTGTCAAGTGTGGACATCAGCTAAACCCTATTTAACGCATATCACGTTTTGACGTCTACTGACGTTAGTAAGAACAAAATGAATCTGTAACGTACAAAAAAACCAAAACAAAATACAGCTCTGTCCACCTGGCGGAGACGGATCCGTCAGAATTATGTGTCATTTATCGATTTGGGGAATCGTGAAATATTACTAGATAATCAGCTATTATTCTACCGTAACAGATACTCGTAAAAAAGACTCTTTCAACTTAATCAAACTGATAAAACTGATTCAGTGTATAGAGGTTCGTTCATTAAACCCAAAGCTTCATGTTTCGAAAAAAAAGGTACGTCATGCTTAGCTGGATTGAACAATCAACAAAGATAAGACGTCACAATAGGCAGCAGCGGTGGCCGCAGTAGTAGACTCTTCGGTCTCCTGATCAGTCGCCGTGCGCTGTGCGGGTTCGATTCCCGTCCCAGGAGCAATTTTTCTCTTGGCTATGGATGTTGTGATTGTCCGTAGGTGGTAGACGGTCTCTAACTGTCGAACGTGGAGGTACCACCCGGTGGATCTCGTAGGCGGAGCCAGAATGTGTGCATGTTGCAAGCACACGTGTTCCCTCGCCAGAGTCCGTGTGGCGTTCCCCCTTTCCCCTGTATCCCCCTATAGCCCCACGGTACCCAATGGGTGTTTAGGCCTCAGGCCTTCGTGGTAGTTGGAGTACAAAAAAAATCGAAAATACGTGATTATTCTAAGTGACATATAAATCCGAACACCCAGTTTAAATGGTTTTATTTTAATAAAAGTTGGTGAATGTATTTATCTTACTGTAAATAACAAGTGAAAAAATTTTCAGCCTTATCAGTTGGACATTCCGGTTTTTATACTGCTTTTTTTTAATTTACTAACGCTCTAAAAATGAATATTTCAGCCGCAGTAAAGAATCAACGTTGGCGGATTTTGGTTCTTGAAATCCTTTACGATCGATTACGATGCCTAGAGTACGGAGACCTGTACGATTTCGTCAACTTAGTGAGTTTGATAGGGGCCGTATAGTGGGACTTCGGGAAGCTGGACTTTCATTTCGGGCAATTGCAGTTAGAGTGCAAAGAAGTGTAGACACTGTGGTTAGGTGTTGTCAGGCATGGCTTCGAGAAGGCCGTACGCAAAGAGCAAGGGGCACTGGACGCCGCCGTAGAACAACAGACCATGAAGATCGCCGCCTAAGATTATTGGCCTTAAGGGACCGTTTCTCCACTACCAGGTCCATTGCAAATGAATGGTTTGCAGAACACGGAAGACCTATTGGCATGCGAAGTGTTTACCGACGAATGAGAAGTTTTGGCTTGTTTTCATACCGGCCACACTGGGTCCTCCCTTTAACTCGAGAACACCGATGTAATCGCCTTGAGTGATCCAGACAACGGTCACTCTGGGATCAGGAATGGAACAGTATTGTCTTTAGTGAGGAGTCTCGATTTTGTTTAGGCATGCACGATGGTCGTGCCAGGATTAGAAGGCGACGTGGTGAAAGGAGGAATCCACAGTTTTTTCTTGAAAGACATGTTCATCACACTGTTGGAGTTATGGTTTGGGGTGCTATAGCTTATGGTTCCAGGTCACCTGTAATCTTCATCAGAGGTAACATGAACGCGCAGCGTTATATCCACGAAGTTCTAGAACCCCATCTTTTACCCTATCTTGACACCCTGGCAGATCCAACTTTCCAACAAGATAATGCCCGACCACATGTTGCAAGAGTCACAATAGACTTCTTTCAACATAATGATGTCACATTGTTACCATGGCCACCAAGATCTCCCGACTTATCCCCAATTGAGCACGTGTGGGATATGATGGGTAGGAGATTGCTCAATTTGCAACGTCCTCCTCAGACTCTAGAAGCACTTCGAGAGGAGTTGGTGGTTGCCTGGAATGAGATACCACAGGAGGACATTGACCACCTGATCAGAAGCATGCAGGGTGCATCCACACATTATTAAAGGTCAAAGGGCTTTAAAGCAGTGCAATCATTTTGAAATTTGTATCATTTACTTATTATGCTTCATTAAGTACTTATACAAAATTTTATTAAAATAAAACCATTTAAACTGGATGTTCGGATTTATATGTCACTTAGTATAGTGACCAAGTAATACTATATCTATCAATGCGATTGCAAATGACGAACTGACGGTCGAAATCGGAAGCTTCGGATTTATATTTGATCTATTCAAAAGAATACAGCTAATGAGCATGGATTCTTATCAATTTAAAGCTTTACGGTAAATTACTGCTGTTGTAACACTTTGCGTTCAAAATACATGCGCACGGAAATACAGGTTTTGTCGTTCTCAGACAGCAGACGGACACGCAAAGTTCATTTTTTTAGCGAGGATCAATTGTAATTGAGAGTTTTGTGCACGCTAGAGCAGGAAAGTACCAAGAGCAATTGCTAAATTCTAGTCTCGTATTACCTGACCACGCGTTGTCATAGTAACGAGTGTTGGTGTGGTAAAAGTATATAAAAATTGATAATTCCTATATGCATTTTAGGATTCGTGGGGTAATTTATTTTTGTTTTATTTGCAGAGCCCGAAACCTGGAGGAGAAAGCGGAAAATATACTGTGTCGGAGTTAATATCAAAGCCAGTGACTATACCAGTAAGTAAAGGAGTTCTTTCCCATCAAAACTATAAAGAACCAGAAGAGATAATAAAATCGAACTCTAGACGTTTCTCTAAACTTCAATGGATTCTGCTCTGCACATATAATATTTAAAAACGTTGTTTTGGAAAAGTTGCATTTTTTGGAACGTTTTGTATAATATCTGATCAACATATCTAAGAAGGTACTAAACCGTATACTCTATTTGTACATTCATATACAATTTCCCTCGTCACAGCCATGATATCGAGTAGGATCGCGGTAATGTCCTTTAGAAGTAATAGACACAAACATATCACCTTCAAGTTCTTCCATAATTATTCCAAAGTTTACGTATTCTCAGAATTTCTCACTGATGGAATAGGAAATCTCATAACCTGCGGCAACAATTCAAGAGGTGACACAGCTGAAACCTAATGGAGGTGGTGGGCAGGGGTATTACGCATCGTAATAAGTGACAATGTGTCGGTTTTTTTGACATTGTATAGATTTTTGTGACATCTATGCTTTTCTACAAGATGTCAACTTGGAATTAGCTTTTGTTCACTTGATATGCACTCGTTCTACAGCTGTATGTGTTGCCTAAGCATCATGCCACTTCAGCTATCAATGTTTGACTCTGATATGATGTAACATTTGCTTCAGAGATGACGTTATTGGTGTAAGCTGAAAGGAAATGGCAGTGCATAGTGAGAATTTGTGTGCTAATAATCTGTGTTGATGATATATCCCTTAATTTCTTATCTCAAATACACTTACTTACAACTAACAGGTGAGAAAAGACAGGAATATTTATAAAACATGAAAAGGTTATTACATTTCACATTATTTTTTATTTATAGTCATTTAGATTTCATGGAAATTCATTTTACGATGTCAAGTAGAACATACAAATTAGCGCCTAGATGTTAGGCACTGTGAAAATGTTTTGTGTTTATGCGTCATTTTCAATTTACCTGTGGCTTAATTGGTGGTGATTTCCCGTAATGCTTCTCAAATTCTTTGAAAACGCAAAAAACGGGGAAAATTGTAATTTATAACTTTTTTGAACATAACCTATCTTCAGAAAGAGCAACACAAATAACCCGTCTGGTACAGCTAATATACTTCACGGACAGCATATTCAGTAAGAATTTTCTCACATAGCAATTATGATTGATTTTATACACATGCAGACCAACACATAAAATCACCATACAATCATCCAGATGCGATCTGGCTACTTAAACATCTTCTCAGAGATATCTCGACAGACTATCTCGGCAGCCTACAACCAACAAAGCATGTCGTTTCGTTGAGTCATTCCTCAATAGATGAATCTTTTGGTGACGCTTACAGCGCTCTTAGTGAGCAAACGTTGAATGAGCTATTTGCAGACTAGGAACTGTCTAGTCAGCAAGTTTATATTTTCTCGGTTTTTTACATTATCACATAACACCTACTTCATAAGGGAATCTGTAATGCTAAGGTCTGTCACTAAGTTTGTAGCGCCATCCCTGGTATATACTCCGAACTTATACTCGTAGAACCTATTCAAACTGTTATAGAACCCTTTAAAAATATAGAATAGCGTCATCTTTGGACTTCCTCTTACACTGTCTAGCTAAATTTGATTTAGATATTGAAATAATATACAAGATATTTCAAGTAAAATAAGGTTCAACCTGATTTTAATTTTAAAATGTGTACTTTTTTAATACAATACATAAAAATAATAGTTATGCAAGTTGCCGGTAGTCTAAAAATAATCGGTATTACCGATGTACCATGTAAATTTACAATTAGCATTTTCTCTACTCCCTTCATGAGTTTCGGGACTACTGTGAACATTTTTCGAAACCATACATAAAAAAAGAATTGAATTTCATTATGTTTATGCTAGGTAAATTTTTTCAAAATTGTGCAAACGGTAAATACTGTGTACGTTTTTAGGACACCAAACTGTTCGAATCTTTCAATCCTGATTATTGTCTGATTACACAGTGCATGTACTTAGTTTATATATGTAATCAAAGTTATTACTTACTTGAAGATTAGAGTTCATGAAGATGTAATGTAGGAGAAGCTGTTCTTTTCAGACCTCTCTTGATTCCAGGCACTTTATCCCTTTCCGACAAATGTAAGTCGCACAGTCTTTTATAAATTTGTTCGTGACTTTTATTGTGCAAAGCTGGATTTCGCACTTGCTCGATCCATTTGTTAAAAAGAGCGGCATCATATTTTGGAAATGGACGCCTTTTACTAATTGTATCAGTACAACCAGGCACCACGCACTTTTCAAATCCCCGCTTTCGATAAGATTGTAAATTTAAATTCAGTTTAACGTTCAATAGATATCAGTAGCACCGACACAAAACCAATAAAAACGCCGGCGCGGCAAAAAATTCAACTTTCAAGTCAAAATTACGAATACATCAACGTCAAAGCATTGAACATTGGACTGTCAAAAAGAATGACGGGAATATATATATATATATATATATATATATATATATATATATATAAGATTATTTGGTTGCCTACCGAACATACCTTCAAAGTCACTCATTTAACTTTCTTTTATAAAGTAGACGTTATGTGGACGTTATATAGGTTTTTTACGTAGTAACTCTGCGGGATTCAACTAAATTGAGTATCTTCGGGTGGAATATGTTAACCAATGATGACTATCCTTTACTTTCAGTTATTGTTCGAGTCAACAGCATGTTGCGTAGTTTTCCAATTCACGCCGGAATTGACCGAGGGAGAAATCCTCACCAAAAATCCACAAAACTACGATAAAATGAACACCTGGTTAGGGCAAACTCTACAACTGGACGCTCCCGAAGTGCCCATTGACATATGCGAGCTGGAACATGTAGGAGTGGTCTTGCGGTTCTGTCCATTTGAGAATTCGTGTGGTCAACAACCCAGTCCTGAGGAGATTCAGTCATTTGTGGAATGTTTGGAACAGCAACTTGTCATTTTTAAGGCAACCATGCATCACAAAGAGTCGTTTGTTAAGTTGGTGGAGGCGTCGCCGGTTTTGAAGCTTGTGGAATTGGCAGACTGGATGGGTAAGAACTTGAAAGAGATGCTAGAATCGTCAGTTTCTGTCAGGCTATAAATTTACCCCCTCTACCTTTTTTGTAAGACCTTCCAGAAAAAAAAGTTGCATATAAAAGTTATAGGTCTAATATGAAGTTCAACGTTTTTCTTAAACGGAACACCCTATATATTTTCGGAAAAAATTGTAGTCCCTTCTGATTCAAAATATACAGGGCGTTGGTGACACCAACCCTAAAATCTTAAATGGAAAGGGGGGTCGAGTGATACCTTATTTTAAAGATCTTTCAGTTCCCTTTATAATGATGTAAAATACATGAGCTTCAGTTCAGTAGTTTTGAAGATTTATTGATTTAAAGCTTAAAGTAGATTTTAATAGGTACGTCAGATTAGTTTGTACTATTTTCAGATGAAATTTGACTAAAAGAATTTACTTAATAAGTAAATGCTTTTATTCACTACGCCCATGGTTTGTTTATAATTTTGTTGTTGAAAATAGCTATTGGAGCGTTTTTTTTGTGGCAAAAAGATGAGGAAATATCTCGTACTTATTTTAAATAAGAATTTAGTACATAGTTTGCGATTGATTTGACCAAACTTTGTTGCTAAAATAACTTGTAGCGCTTCATTACATAAATTAACCATGGTATATTCGACAGCAGAAAAAGTTGAAATTATCGAAATATTTTTCGGAAATAATCAGTGCGCTAATAGAACAGCAGAAATATTTAATGAGCGGCATGAGAACAGTAACGTGCATTGAAAATATGTTCTAGAACTTGTAGCTAAATTTCGGGAAACTGGGTCAGTCGCCAATGAAAAACATTGAAAATCCCATAAGGAACGAAGAAATAGAAGTGAGGGTTTTAGATCAAGTTTATGTAGATCCTACATTAAGTACCCGCAAATTGGAGACTGTGTGTGGTGTTAGTCGACGTACTGTCCAACGGATTCTAAAGGCCCATAGTTTTCATCCGTATAAAATTCACCTGGTACAAGAACTTAATGAAGACAATTTTAATCGGCGATTACAATTTTGTGAAGATATGAGTGAACGAATTATAAACGATGAACATTTTCTATTCAACACTTGCTTTTCCGACGAATGTTCATTTTTCTTAAATGGCGTAGTAAATCGTCATAACTGCCGATATTGGTCCGATTCTAATCCCAGAATTTATCATGAGGTTCATATACAGCAGCCACAAAAATTAAATGTTTGGGCCTCGAAAACAAAATCGACGGGTCTGAGCGTTTTTCAAAAAAAAAATACTGAGCTGCCAGTAAATGCGTGTTTCGTTTTTGATGCGCCACCCTGTATATGTACGGTTTATCAAACTTATTTTCATTAGTTTGATCAAAAACTTACTTTACTCATGTGTATCAAAGTTCAAACCAGTTTGCATCTAGCCTCAAACGCAATCTGGTCTAGGGTCGCAATACATATTTATGATTGAATGACACATAAACTTCGAATTTTCTACTGCAATAATAACAAGTTCAACAAACCATATACTGGGTGTCCCGAAATTGAAGGTTAATCCTGCAATTGTAGATAAGTCACGTGATAGTATGCTAGATGATAAAATTTTGTTATAGTAAAAATCTTATAGTTTTCGAGATTTTCAGTATTCGATTAAAAAACAACTGGCTTAAATTCAGTTAATGCCGTGCCATTTCTACAAATATCAACTTTTTGGGCCAGGTTTTTTTTAAACACTCAGAATTAACCATTTAATCTCGTCCAGCTTTATTTTTCCTTAAGGCTGCGAAAAAACCAGCTAAATTCTTATTGAAACCCCTCTTACGTCTGACTTTTGACACCCCGTGGAGTAAGTGGTCAAGTACGATCACTGTGCCAATTAGTCAACTTTTGGCAATTTTTAAATTCGTGAATCCATCTACCTAACTCCTTGTTGTCATATTTGAACATGCTGAATCTGCCCTTCAGTTTTCCTGATAACATTCTGTAATATCCTCTGTGCATGTAATTTGAAAATAGATTCATATCAATGTATGGAAAGTACTGAGCGAATTTACTTTTCCACAGGCATGGGCGGCGTACGGTACTGCCCCGAAGGCTGGGAGCAACTCCTAACAGACCAAGCCAAGGAGGAACTGAACCATCTGAACATGGCGCTCGTTGATTCGTTGAGATCGATCGATTCTGCATTTTCATTGGGCGAAGACGCAGATGGGTTGATGTGCGTCCGGTTCGGGATGTTGACGCCTCAGAGTGACGTGGAGAAACTGTTGGAGATGGTCGTGAGGGTGGGATTGTCGGTGGAGGAGAGCTCATGTGTGCTGGATTCAATGAGCGAGATAGTCAAAAAGGGTGAGTGCGGAATACTGTCCACAACTACACGGATGACAGACGCTATTAACATATCGCTTCGGACGGGAATTTTTTCTTCTTGCTTGAAGATTGCAACGGTTATTCCTTTTCATAAGGGAGGCGGTGCTGAATACCTCTCTAATTATAGACCAATTTCCCTACTGTAAAATAATAATACTATCCAAAATTATTGAAAGACTGGTCAAAAATACACTATTTTCTAAATAAGTATAACTTGCTTCAGGAATGTCAATTTGGATTTCAGAGTTCAAACGGCACTAATGATGCCATTTGTTGGTTCTGCAGTTATCTGTCAGGTAGATCACAGTTAGTTGATGTTAATATTGAACGCTGTGATATATGTACTGCTCATTCAGGAGTCTCACAGGGGACTGTTCTGGGCCCGGTTCTATTCCTGATATACATTAACGGTTTAGTCACAGTCAATATTCCAGGAAGCTTTATCCTATTTGCAGATGATACCACAATTTTGTGGCGTGAGAGAGAAATCCCTAACTTAAATAAAACTAATCTCTTGTCTTGTTGAAGATAACTGTATGGTGTGATGCCAAACTGTTATGTTTCATTTCAATGTTAATAAAACAAACATATTGTCCTGTTGCCGAACTATAACAGCGACTAAGTTTCTTGGACTAGAAATTGATCACAAGTTGAAATTTGCTGATCACGTAACAGCATGATGTAAAATGTTAGTGTCTGGTTGCTTTGCTGTAAGATTTGTATCCTGAGAGCTGGGCATTGAAGTGGCCAACACTATTTACCATACAATGATGGAATCACATATTGGGGATTTTGTCGTATACAGCTCCTAGAACAAGCTTTTATTCTCCAAAATAGAGCTATGCATAGCTCCAGCTGGCTTTAGACAGAGATAGCTGTAAGCCCCTTTTTATAAAGCTCAAGATTTTAACTGTGACGTGTCTATTCATAGTTGAAGTAGTATGCTTGGTTAAAAAGATATTTTACAACCAGCAACGGAGACTAGACGGTAAAATATCAGGTATAGTTGTAGTCAATGTTCTTGGCGGGTCAAAGTAAGACTACCAGTATCCCTTTATATATATCCATCTCCCTCATACATACACATGCAACCTACCCCTGTGTGTGAACGTTTGTTCGGTAAGCTCAAAGACATACGATTTTTAGTTGTGTGTCTCCGCCTCGAAAGAGTGTCAGAGTGACAACTTACTTAACATCAGAATGCAATTTGGGTTTTCCTGTTAACAATCTTCAATATAAAATTGTACAATGCTCGGAAATACGATCAATGGAGAAGGCTCGTACTAAATTTATTTCCAGGAAGAGAATGAAAACAGCGGTAACCTGCTACCCACTTCATGCGTACTGGAGAGAGTAGCAGATGCGCTGAAGATTAATATGAGCAGTGTTCCGCCCATGGTACGGAGACTCGATCTGTTTACTTATTTCATACGGCGTTGATGACGTAACCGCCAAGAACGGTGACTACAACTATAATCACAGCCGACGTCAACTACGAGCCGTGAACAAAGAAATCTGGCAACGTAGGTGGTAGTGTTACTCCCGCCGCTCAAAACGCTGAGAAAACGTAACCTTTTCAATTTGTGATTTTGGAATCGCAGAGGCTGTAATTAAGAGATAAGCTTGTTTTCTAAACTTCAAAGTGTGTGTATGTGTTCAAAGTGATCGGTGACTATAATATATGAGAAATAGACTCCAGTTGTAGTGCTTCTGTGCTTTAAAAATAAACTAAGAAGTGTGACTGTGGCTGTTCGCGCCTCAGGACGCTAAGGATTTCAACTATTGAAAACGTGCAAATTCTGGTTGTATTTTTCAAATTTCAAATAAAAATGACATGGCTAAAACTGTTTTAGCCTTCAGCATTTGGAAACATAACAGAAATTATCAAATTACTAACAGTTTCAAATCTAACAGGTGATGAAATGACACCTTTGGTTGAACATGTGATAAATTTAGTTCAAAAATGTGGATTTGAAGTTATTTGTGTTGTTACTGATAATCACCGAATTAATAGAGCAATGTTCAGGAAATTAGCAAAGGATTCATCAGAAAATTATTCTATTCCAAATCCACATAATCCTGATAAGAACATATATTTAACTTATGATGTTATGCATATTTTCAGAATCAGAAATAATTGGATTAATTTAAAAAACCTAGACAAAACTTTTGTATATCCTAATTTTGACAATACTGATATTATTCAGTATGCTAAATTTGAAAACATTCGTGCTGTATATCAATTGGAAAAAGAAGCTGTAGTTAAGAAAGCATATAAATTAAATTATAAAACATTGCATCCAAATTCATTTGAAAGGCAAAATGTAAATTTTGTAGATAATTTATTCCATCACTCAAGAATAGCTGCTATGAAGGAATTAAAGTTTAATGATGCTGCACACTTTTTGGAAATAATCAGGAATTGGTGGGATATTGTCAGTAATACAAGTGTAATACAAGGAGAATTGAAGCGAAACGAATTTTGTAAGCCTATTACCAATAAATATGATTATAGAGTACAATTTTTTAAAAAATTCCTGATATGGTTAGAAAAATGGCATAATCTAGAGAATAATAATGGACACCTGACACCAGAAATGTATACAGCTCTATATCAAAGCACGCTGACTCTACTTAATATAATTGAATATTCAATCAATTTGACATTGAGTATGTATTGCCTGGAAAATTCACCACTGATAATTTAGAAAAACGATTTGGCAATTATAGACTTTTATGTGGCTGCAATTACAATGTGTCATATGATGAAATTTTAAATGCTGAAAAGAAAATACTGCTGAAGCATATTTTCAATGAAAAGAAATCGTCATTTTCTTTAGCAGAAATTAAAACAAGGTTCCAAAACTGCTTAGAAACTCAAGAAAATTTTGATTTCTTGGATACCAAACAAAATCCTGAAGTTTTGGATATATTCAATGAATTATTTGAGACAAATTACTTAGCCAATTGTGACATAGAGGATAGTACTAAGACTTATATATCTGGATATGCTTCACACGCTATCTCTAAAAACCTAAACTGCGAGATATGCAAATTGCTAATAGTTAAAGAAAAAGGTTCATTAACAACAAATGTTTATTTTGATTATTTGTAAAGAGGAGGACTGTCAATTCCAACCAGTTATGTACCAATCATATTCTACCATATGTATGCCATTTTTGAATCTATTATTAATGTAGATAGATTGGAAATTTTCTTCTTGAAAAGCAATAATCAAAAATTTATTTTGTCAGTTAACCTTGCTCAGCATTCAGTCTGACTTTATTTACAGTGAATTTTCTTTAACTTGCATCTGTGGCCGCAATTATGCAGATATTTTATCTAAGCTTTTGTCTATTTTTTTAAACATAATTTTGAATGATTATGTAAAATTGAAAAATAACAGTAAAACAGGTAACTCCACATTTCCAAGCTGGGCCTGTTGGAACACAGTGTGCTGACAAAGAAAAACGTAAACTAAATACTTTTAATTAGGTTAACTGCATTAGCGACTCATATATCACGATTATTTCGTATTTTTAAATTTTTTAGAGCTATTTCATATTCAGATGATTTGTATTGAATCGAACTGTCCTCTTTTCCAAAATTAAATTTAGTTCTTGAACGTTACACGGAGACGGAGCACACAGCCGCAGCCGGCCGACGTTCACAGGTAGCACTACCGTGCCGTCCGAGCGCGGTGTTGCCTTTCTTTCATCACGGCTCGTAGTTGACGTCGGCTGTGCTATAATACCACAGCATTCTTTTATCTACTTTAAGTCAGCTTTAACTCAACACTCTATAATTTATAATGGAATTAAGATAATCAACGATCTACCGGCAGCTACCAAAATAATTGATGATTTGAAGGTTTTCAAAAGTTGTGAAGGAATTGCTTCTACAAAAAACGTACTGTGACCATATTTGCACGTTGAATTATTGTCTGTCTACCCTATGTGGTAATGTACTCATTACTTTTGTCAATAAGAATAATCGTTTCTTGGACAATAAGGTATATTTTGATTGATTGATTGACATTTTATATAAAGCTATTCAGGGTGCCAGATAAAAATCTGGAATTGAGCTGGAGAAAAGATTAGTTACCTCAAATGTTCCAAAATTTTGCCTTACACAAATCTTGCTTGCTCAAGTTCTTACGGCACCTTCCCAGAAAGCTGAAAATTTGCTCATGTGTAACCCATCGCAAAAAGGGGATCTAAGACCGACCCTTACAACTACAGGCCTATAGCTCTGCTTATGGTGAGGCTAATGTCGTTACTCTTGATATCACTGAAGCGTTCGATCAGCTGTGACATGCTGCACTCTCATGCAGACTTCCATCCTATGGCATCCCAGAGAAGCTTTGCAGATGGGTGGCAGACTTTTTCTCTGACCACAAGACATCCATCGTAATTGACGTGTTTTCCCCTTCATATCACAGCGTCAACGCGGGGGTTCCCCAGAGATCGGTCTTGACTCCGGTACTGTTCCTCTTACATACCAACGATCTCCTTTTCTGTACAATCAATCCATTCCAGGTTTGCTGATGAGAGCACTCTACATGCAGAAATTCAGAGTGACAAACCGATCTCTGCCGGTGAGCTGGAAAAAAGAAGACTTGCAGCGACTTCCTCTCTGACGAGAGACCTGGATGTTATCACTGCTTGGGGACGCAATAATCTTGTACAGTTTGATACGCTCACAGTACTGTTCTCCACATGACCTACTCACTCTATACCCAGATAAGGCCTAGCCTCGCGTATTGCTCACATGTTTGGGATGCTGCCACCCCGACTACATTATCCATGGTCGATGTTGTTCAGAGGAGGGCTGTCCGACTGATCGATGACTCTTCTCGAGACCCTTTCGCACCAGCGGGCCATTGGCGATCTAGCTATCTTCTATCGTTAGGCTTTGCTCCTCAGAGCTCTCCTCCATGATGCCGCCGCACGGTATGCCTTACAAACAGACCCGCCAATCCAGTGTCGAACTTCGTTCGTCCTGAACTGACCGATACCACCGCTCCTTTGTCCCTAGAGTGTCGAGATTGTGGAACAATCTACAAGGTCCTTCAAACCTTAGGCAGTTAAAAAATTGGATTAACAAAGTTTCTTTTTGATCCGTATAGCAGCCGCAGTGCCCTGGCACTTAGGCTTCTGCTTGCGCGGATGCTTCGGTGAAAAAACTATAATATCGATTATCCATTCCAGGAATAGAAACAGCCACCTTAGACCTCCAAAAAGAGAACGAAGAGAAGCTTTGGCAAGAGGGCATCGTCAGGCACATTCCGATAGTGGGTAGTTTCGTCAACTGGTGGTCGCCGAAGACTAAAGAGACCGGCATCCGGGGCAGGAGTTTGAATTTGACACAGGGCGTGGTCGAATCCACGGAGAACATTTATAAATATCACATGCAGATGCAATCGGGGCAGGCGACAGGGGCTAAGACTCCGCCTACACCACAAGTGCAGACGCCTATTGGTGGAAGCCATTCCAGGTAGGGATGAACTCATGATGCCCATTCCTAAGTAGCAGGGAAGGGGCTTATTACCCCCTTTATGCCTAACTTTATATCCTAGGAACATATTTGTATGTTTCAGCCTATTCAGAATATCACTGCAGTTAAATTGTTTCCTTATAAGAAAATGTTGTGCATCATATATGAGATACTACAGGCACTAAGTTAGTAAGGGTGCACTAATAATACAAACATATGGAATTATGAACATGCTTGAAGCCTTTCCTCAGGCGAAGATAAACGTTACATTTTACCACATTTGATACCGCGGTTATCGTTTGGTAATGTGACGCTGTTTGACCTCGTTCTACATCAATTGCTGGTATTGGGGCTGTTGAACCGCGTTTTTTTAACGCATGACTGTAGCCAAATATATCTCCCTCATTGCTTAGCCTTCGCTCTTTCTAGAAAGCTATTTTTCATACGGCAGGGTCATTACGTAAAAAACCTATACAATGTAAAAAAATCGACAAAATGTCCTTACTGACTAGATAGTTTCTAGTGTGCAAATAGTTTATTCCGCGTTTGCTTGCTATGAGCTCTATGAGCGACACCAAAAGCGTCACATATGGTGGAATGACTGAACGACATGCTCAATTATTACTGAATATGCTGCCCGTGAAGTATATCTATTAGCTGTACCAGATGGTCATTTGTGTTGTCCTTTTTGAAGAGAGGCTATGTTCAAAGTTATAAATTACGATTTTCCCCGTTTTTTTCCTTTCGTTTTCAAAAACTTTGAGAAGCATTACGGGATGTAACCATCTTACTTGACAACGCAAAATAAATTTCTATAAAATTTAAATGTCTGGAAATAAACCATAATGTAAAATGTAATAACTTCTTCACGTTTCATAAACATTTCTGTCAGTAGCATATTTTCTCACCTGTTAGTTGCAATATATTACACCAACCAGGGATTTTCTTTTCTTATCTCTTTCACTTTTGAAATCCAGCTAATTTGCTTATACAATCTCCAGAATGAAAAGAAAAAGTCATATATATATATATTCGATGCATTTATAATCGTCATAATAATGAAATGATAGACAAACATCAAGTAAAACTTTTTTAAACGAATACATATTCTGAAATATGCTATTTGGCCACCTAACAACACCGTCCATAAGTTCATTCTAAATATTATCAGCTTTTGATGTTTTTGTATGACTATATTATTTTTATTCACCTTGTCCCATCTTTCAAGACATGCGAGTGGTTCAGCACTGGAGAATATAGTTGCTAGGATAACATAATTACTGCCGAACCTGTTCATAGCCCTAATTTCGATGGCCTCTATAAATGCTTGATTCTTCTCTTGAGTGGAGTTTCAACATCCGAATCATACATACTACCCAAGAATGGAGTTCATGTCTTTTGTACTACCTCCAAGTTACTTTCAAGCAAATCCAGAGTTTTGCTGATGACAGCACTCTACATACAGGAATTCAGAGCGACAAGCCGATTTCTGCTGATGTGCTGGAAAAAAGAATACTAGCAGCGACAGTTTATTGCTTCCAAAACACTGTACCTTGACGAACAAAATGCGTCCTAGCGCTCATCCGGATTCGATGGATTGCCGAGTTTTGCCAAAGAGCCGTTCATTTCGGCTGGTCGGAGTCCTGATCACCGACGACATATCTCGTCAATAGCGGCAGCTACAGGGAAAAATCTAGGCTATTTTTTGTTTAGGGCTAAGAAGTACTTTTCTCCTTATGACGTCCTCTCTGTATACAAAGTCCAGATAAGACCTAGCCTCAAGTCTTGCACACATGTTTGGGGTGCTGCCACTTCAACTACATTATCCGTGCTCGATTCTGTTCAAAGGAGAGCTGCTCAACTGATCATGACTTTTCCGAAACAGATAGTCTCGGAATCCTTTCGCTACACAAATGGGCTTTGCTCCTCAGAGCTCTCCTTCGTGATGCTGCCGCGCGATGTGCCTGCCAGACAGACCCGCCTGACTTCCCCCTCCTATCCCAACCGTGTCGAACTTGTACATCCAGAACTGGCCGATACGCTCGCTCCTTTGTCCCTATGGTGTCGATATTACCCACCAATCTACAAGAGGAGGCTTTTTCCAGTTCTACTAACCTTAGGCAGTTAAAAAATCGGATTAACAAAGCATCTTTGGGATCCTCATAGCAGGCTTCGGGCTGCGTGGCTTCTTCGGTTTAAAAAAATATGCAGCTGCACTATGATGCGATGACACTTGTCTCTATATCTACGGAGTAGATCAGAATGTTTTGTGCCGGATACATCGTATGTGATACGAAAATAAATATTATGTGATGCCTGGAATATCATTTTTGATACAAATTTCAATATATAAATTTCGATGGGTTTCAGTTTTCACATATCGTCGGACATCTGACAATACCTGCTATCTGACATTTTTGCCCAATTTGACGTATATGCACATTTTTCTTCGTCTACCTACAGCGCATATTGTGATAGAGTCCGCTAACTGCAGAAAAATTTAGTTTTTGAATTACTCAGCCAAAACAATACCTACCACTGGGCGGCAATTCCAGCTATCTGACAATTACGCATGCTATTTTTCTTAACTTTGCAATGGAACACGACGTTGTGATTGCTCAGAAATATCTCACCAAAGGAAACACCCAAATGGAATGTGACTCTGTACACAGTTGCATTTAAAGAAAACTGAGAAATAGAGTTATTGAATTACCAAATGACTATGTTAAGGCGACTACTTCACGGACTACTATCGAACAGAGGTGCAGCGATACTCAACAATTAGACCAGGCAGGGACAATGTAGTCACGGACATCAAAGTACTATATTATAATCCCGATGGAAAAATTGAAGTGAAACTCGACTTCAGCGTAGAGCCTATGAGACCAAAACAGCTACCCGTCATTTCAGATTATAAGTGTTATATCTAGGGACTGTCACATGTTTGACGAAAATTTGCCATATATCAAGGAAAGAAGCTGAACGTTCATTTAAGGTGTAACTGAGAATACATGCTATTATCTTTTTGATTTGTAAAAGCTTTAAACTTTTAATTTGATATAATGAATAACAGTTTTTCTAACACGAATCTCACTAAATCCATATATGCATCATAGTACAATATCTGCTAACTGCAAAGAAAGTTAGCAGAAATATCAGCTATCTGCACTAATTTTGTCAATTAGAGCTTTATTTAGATAAAAACGCATTAAATATGTGTTAAACGTCACTTATTTTTTGTGACCAAAGTTGTAGAGTCTTAAGGCCGGTAGTATGAAATTGATAAGGTTTTTTTCGTCCCCTGTATAATTACGGTTCCTGCATATAGCAGGTATTGTCAGATGTCCGACGATATGATACATTAGGCATAAAGGGACCAGTTTAATTGCACTTTAAACACACGCAGTTTCAAAGTAAACCTAAAAGTGCCTATCAAGTGCATACTTTTAAAGATACATTACCTTACTGTTAATATATAACGATACTTATTTCGGACTGTTACGGTAGAAAAATACTGGCGCACCCAATTTTATTGATAAATGATAATAAAGAGGTTTTAAAAAACTCAGGTGCTTAAAAATTTCAGAGGTTTCTCAATTAAAAAAAATTAAAAAAATTTGGAAAAGAAAAACATCAATTAGAAAGAAAAATAAACGTATCTATAATTGTATTATCCACCATGACTTCCAGCGACTATGGAAAGCAAAATGGCCGAAAATTAAATAAAACTATTTAGTCAATCGACAGAGTAACTTTAAGGTCAAAGGGTTTTATTTTATTCCTAGATAAAATCATGTTGGCCTTGGAATTAAAAATGTTTAGTTTAAATGTGCTTGTGACTTACCCTTTACGAGTATCCATCACGCTTTGACGTCTACTGAGGTGAACAGCTGGTCAGCGAGTGACATTTTTGTGTTAGTCTGCAACGTTGGCAATAATGAATTGGGTGTAAATCTAGTAAAACTTGTTTGTAGCGTTTTGTTTTTTGCATGCAAAAGAACTTTTCTAAATAAAAGACCTTTTAACAAGTACAAAATGAATCTGTAGTGTACAAAAAAACAAAACAAAATATGGCTCAGTCTACCTGGCATTGACGGATCCCTCAGAACTGTGTCCTTTGCCTATATGGGAAATTTGAAATATTACTACATAATCAGCTGTCATTCTACCGTAATGGATATTCGTGAAAAAGGCTATAAATGCCGCTCGGTTTTGATGTAAATGTAACAACGATTCTTAGTGCTTATGTGCTTTTAACAATAAAATTGCTAAAATTAACAATACACTACACCACTGTTTTACTCTGAACAAAATGCGGCGTCCATTTTGGGCATGAAAGAAGATGAGATGAGCTAAGTTTTATTGGTTCTAATAATCAAATTCATTCGGCGTTCAGTTTTAATATAAGCTGCTAATTGCATTTGAGCAGTGCCAAGTAGGAATGAATAGAAAGTAGCTCCGAAGTATACACGGTGCTAGAGGGTGGTTTCAGGGAGATTTAAAGACAAATTCAGTAGTAATATGAAAAACATTCAAACGAATATTTCCGCTACGCGCCTAAGTTTATTAAAGATCAATAATGACTCATTTCTCATCCTAGGTATGCAATTTATTCATTTCAGATCAAGTAGCCATGCCTCAGCCTCCAGTCAATTGTCAAAACCTGAAGGAGAATCCAAGGTCACAAAAGAGAGTTTGGACAAAATCCAGTCAAAGAAGGAATCGTCAGAGACTGACAAAGATAAGGCTGTCAAACCTTAACTATATTATTTGCTAGTGATTTAATATAAATGTTATCCAGGGCTGTATTCCGAAAAAAGCCATTATGTTTTTCTTCCTATGTTGAACAATTATTGTATATACCTACATGCTTTCCATTATTTCAGGTATAAGTATTATATATACGTACATGTGGTTTACTTATTTTTCAAAAATTCAGTATTTTATTATAGGTATTATTTATTTGAATAGATTATGATTACCAAAGAAGCTTGTGAAGCTTGCTATTTGCAATAAATTTTAATCTTGTGTTAAGTGTATTATTTTTATTACTGCCATCTACAGAGATGAATTAGAAAAACACAAAATGCTGCCACTTCTCTAGTTTCTAACCGATATAAAGGGCTGGCTAAAGTCGGTTTCCCTTTTAAAGTTCCATGTGTAGGAGAGAGAAGCGTACAATACCATGCAACACGTATGTTAGAATGTGTGGATCACTAGAAATTGATGCAAAAATTGTCTGCAGAGGGCGTAAGCGGAGCGTCATATACATGGCTGAAAACATAATCTGCTAGGCAGACAGCAATATGTAACAGTTCAGCACAAACATGAACATCTATTCATCATTTTATTAATTTTTTTATATAATTCAGATCACATTTTGAAAGAAAAATGCACTGAGTTTATTTCTGAAGTAAGTAACTGCTTTCAGGATAATCAGTTGTACCTAAACTGGTCAGAATGGCGTTAAATTTCTAGGACCGCAAATAAGCTGAACTTTAGGGTGATTATTTAGTATCACTGTTAAATACCCTCTCCCTACATGTTTAGACACCTAAGCACCAGCCTCTTAGACGGTCAGTTAATATAAGTATATTATGGTCTGGTAGAGTCTAGGACTAGGTATGCAATCTGTTTTCGGGACAGACTATTTTCATAGCATTGTTCGATCAATGGCGCAAGTTGCTTTTATCTATAGTTGCAAAGAAATATTAAGGAGATACAAAATATTGACTGTACCGGGCTTACTAATACAGGCTGGCCAATATATAACTGACTGATTTTTGATACCCGCATTTCAGTAGGTGGCGCCGTTCTAGTTGTTTAAAGGATCATGGAGCGCTACACGATCCCACACCGCGTCCGTATTGTTAAAACGATTTACTTAAATAATGTTGCACCGATTCGGAAGCTACGACAAGTTTTCTGTCAAAATAATGTGCCTACTGTCGACACCATTCGTCAGTTGGTGCGGAAATTTGAACAAACAGATGAAGAGAAAGACTTGCCAAGGGCAACTTCGAACTGTTCGTGCTCGGGAAAATATCGGGAGAGTTCGTGAAAGTGTAGTGGAGCGCCCTGAGAAGTCTACCAGATATCGTTCTCAAGAACTGGGTATTCGTCGCACGTCATAATGCACTATTTTAAAAAAAGACTTGCATTTGCGGCAATACAAAATTCAGTTAACCCAAGAACTACAGCCTATAGTGACCATGAAAGTCACCGACAGTACAGTGATGCAATATTGCGCAGCTTAATAAAACAAAAAAAAAAACGATTTTTACCGACAACTTATAATGAGCGATGAAGCCCACTTCGATATGAACGGATTTGTTAATAAACAGAATTGTCATATCTGGGCATTAGAGAACCCTCGTGTCATCCATCAACGACCACTACAGTCTCGTCAAGTCACAGTTTGGTGCGGTGTTTTGTATGGAGGTGTCATTGGACCTCACTTCTCTGAAGACGCTGCAAGTAATTCTCTTACTGTCACTGGTGAGCGCTAATGCAACAATTTAACGTGCAAAACATGTGATTCCAGCAGAACGGAGCAACTTGTCACACAGCTAGGGAAACAATTTATCTTTTGCTAACAATATTTCTGGGGCGTTTAATTTCCTGATTTGGTGATGTCAGCTGGCCACCAAGGTCACCGGATTTAACGGCTCCTTTCTTTTTTATGGGGATTTTTGAAAAATAGAGTTTATGCCAGCAAACCAAATATAGAGCAGGTCAAGAACAATATAAACCCTTTCAATGCGCAAGGCGCACATGCGCGCCATAGCCGTCCTACGCGTGGTGATGCCGGCACACATGTATGCCGCTGGTTCAGTAATACGTGTACGGCGATTACTTTGTCAGCGTGGCTTTAAGGTTAATGTATCGCGAGTAGCGTGTTGTAGAGGTACGAAATTATATACAAATCGTCTTAGTTATTAGTTTAGTTTTCTAAATTCGCGAAACATGGATGATATCGGTGCGGGTCCTTCTCGGCCAAAAAAAAAGGACACATTTAAAAATCCTAATGCACTAACAGATGCCGAATTATTAAGTATTTTAGAATGTTCGGACTCAGATTTAGAGGAAATACCATCGGATGTTGATGATTTTGAGCCAGATTCTCAGTCAGAAGAAAGTTCTGATGACGATATTGAAGGTAAAAGGTATATTTTTTGTTTTGTATTGTTTTATATCGTATATTTTATTGCAGACACAAGCTTGCCACCTCAAAACCCGCAAATACACAAACCGTTACCTACGGCTGCGATAGCCAGTAGCGATACTCCATCGTGGTGTGACGACCCGCCAGGAATGAAAAGTATTCAGTTTTTAAAAACAAATGAGCTGTTGCAGACAATTTCTGGGGATAATCAGCCCATTGATTATTTTAGGGCAATATTTGAGGATGAAATATTGAACCTAATTGTAAGGGAGACAAATAATTATGCTGTGCAAGTGTTTTTATCTCAGGGCATCTTCGAAAAATCACGCATTACTCGATGGAAACCGATCACACCTGATGAAATGTTGATTTTTATTGCCTTGGTCTTTCACACAGGAACAATCCGTTTGAACAGGTTACAAGATTATTGGAAGACACATCCCCTATTTAATATTCGTTGTTTCGGGGAACATATGAGTAGGGGTCGTTTCCTACTCATAATGAGATGCCTACATTTTGCTGAAAATGTACCTGAAGGAAATCCAGGGAATCGTCTGCAGAAAATAAATCCGCTCTTGATTTTTTCAATGAAAAGATGGCGGCTATTTATTATCCCCAAAAAGAACTATCTTTAGATGAATCCATGGTATTATGGAAAGGTCGCTTAGTCTTTAGGCAATAAATTAAAAATAAAAAACAGATATGGTGTAAAACTATATATGTTGACCGAGCCTGGCGGTTTAATTTTAAAAACGCGAATATACACTGGGACAATGGATGACAGCATAGGTGGAAAAGGTCATACCTCGAAAGTTGTGCTTGACCTTCTTCAAAACTATCTAGATTCAGGACACTCCATTTATTAGGATAATTTCTATAATTCTTTTGAGCTTGCGAAATCATTGATCTGCCGTAACACCTTTTGTACAGGTACGCTAAATGCCAAACGAAAGAACAACCCCAATGCCGTTGTAAATAAAAAGCTGAAAAAGGGTGAATCTACAGCTCAGTATTCAGATGAAATCATGATCGGAAAATGGAAAGATAAGCGTGATGTCTTATATATTTCTACCGAATACGAAAATCGTATGGTTGAATATGCAGACACTAGAAATCGTGTCAGAGAGAAGCCTGCGCCTATATTTTATTATAACAAATTTATGGGTGGGATAGCCTACCAAGACCAACTCACTGCATATTATCCTTGCGAGCGCAAAACATTGAGATGGTACAAAAAGTTAGGAATCCATATAATATATCTGATGCTGTTGAACTCCCATTTTATTTATAATAAATATTCAGGGAGAAAGTTGTCACTGTATGATTACAGACTTACATTATTAGAAAATTTATTGAATATAACGGTTACAAAAACTCCTCGCGTGAGACCGACAGAACACACCATCTCCAGAATTATATCTTCAAATGCGTCAGGACGAACAAACAGGAAAAGATGTCGGGTCTGCTCGCAGCGTAATATACGGAAGTTGACTTTGTATCACTGCACGTCTTGTCCCGAAGAACCTGGACTTTGTGTTGAGTGTTTTGCCAGTTTTCAATCGCAGTAGGGATAGTTGTGATGTTTTTTATATAAATCTGTATTTCGAGAATTCTCATTAATTTAATTTTGACTTTTTTTTCATAAGAATTAGTTTTTTGTTGTTTTTTTATTACTTGTTATGTAACATTTGCTGGTTCAGAAATTTCATTCATTTATTTTTGAAATATTTTTGACCCTTTATTGTTATTTTAATTTTTACATTTTATTTAGAGATCTGTTTTTTGTTTTATCGAGAAATAAATATGTTTGAATATATTTTTCTATTATTTTTTGCACTATGTATATTGACAATGAATGTGACACGCATGTGTGCCAGTGCGCACTCAGTCACAAATAACGTGCTGTGTGCGCCTGGCGCGCATGTATGCCGCAAACAAAAAACAATGAAAATTTAAGGTAAACATATTAGTAACTATCAATATTTAAAACTTAAATTACCTTCTTGCATTTTGCAATAAAAAATAGGTGCCGCTTCGGGTGAAGTAAAGATATAGTGGGTCGCAGCGAAAGGGTTAAGGAAGCGATTGAAAATATTCCTTCCGAAACCTACCAAAAAGTGATGGAAAATATAATCAAGAGGGCTCAGAGGTTTGCGTGGCTTCTAGAGGCAGACATTTGTCTGATATTATGTTTCATACATAATTTCTAAGTTTCAATAAAAGATTAAGATGAAAAAAATGGACGTATTTTATTTCATTTCACAAATATTCTAGATACAAACCAATGAGTTACATATCGACCACCCTGTATATGGAACCCTCGGTATATTTATAACAGAATAAAAGTAAATTTATCCTGAATACTGAAGTCCATTCAAAAAATAGAAGGCCGCGGGACAATTCACATCCAGCGTTCCCGAAGTAGCTTCAAGTATCAGTTGAAGGAGTTTCTAGTCAACTAGTGTCTGAATTTCGCGTGTGATATTTTATCTCTGTCTAGTGTCGTTTATGGATTTTACATACAATTTTAACGTGTATTATTTATATTTTATTTGCGTATTGTGTCCGTGTGAGTGTATTTTAGAGATGTTTCTAATGTGTATTTATAACGTATATTTATTTTTGTGTATGTGTTTATCTGCTTTTAATGTGTAATGCGTTCTATTTATACACATCTTTCTTCTAGTGATGAATCCCATGCAAATTGTTTTTGTCTGCCAATAAATACAGGAAAAACCAAATTTGTGTATATGAACACATGTTAGAAATGTATCGAAGCCGGCTGGTCAGCGATCATCAGCACATTGCCTAGTGACGGTGACGCAGCAGGTCGGGCAATCTGCCGCGTTGCCAATATGTTACACCAGAAAACGTTTTTACGACACAATTCAAAAATGTGTACGCTTAGAATAAAACCATTATTTGGGCGTAAAGAATAAACTAACGCATATTTTCAATATGCATCTTAATTCAAGGATCTGGTGTAACATATTGGCAACATGGCGATTAGCATCGCTATCCAGCCAGCTTCTATCTCTTTCTAATATATGCGCCTATACACACTTCTCTCCCGTACTCAAGCCATCAGACAAATTTGATTTTTAGTGTATTCTCTTTCTATTCTAGAAAGAGGACGCCCTATAATGATCGTCACCACGCTGCCACTTCAAATGTTTTCCGGCTTTTTAGCATAGTCGAAAATAGTTAAGCAGTTCCGAAAATATGAAGCTACAACATTCGAAACTCGTCGGCGTTTCTTTAAGCGACCTGTTAGTTTGGTGCAGCTCCAAAAACAGAATCTATCAATTAGAATTTATTTCTTCCTGTGTAGGACAGCGAAAGCTAAACTCTATCAAAGTATAGGGTCTATCGAGATATTCTTCTTATCTATTCCCAGAATGGAGCACTGCAAGAGTGAAAACAGCAAGCTGTCTGTTTGAACTGTATCCAAGTTTGCATTTGACAGCCGGTAACTACTGTGGTAGATAGATGCAGCCATTTCTACACTAACTATGGTAGGTACGGTCTACTCGCCATTAAACATAGATATAATAGAGTTTTCGTTCGATCACAAACCGCTAACCATGGACAGATGTTTCGTGCTACTGGTGTTGGTGGTGATCCGGCAGTCTTATTTCGTAATTGACTATGTTATACAGAATCGGCAGATAATCATTGTTGTCTTGCATTTAATAAGTGTCAGCGAGATAGAGTGAGGAACACGTATATTAGAGCGAGAGAGCGCGAGTGTGCTCGACACCAAGGACAACGAGTCTGTGGACGCTTTATTCCTGCTCTCGTTCTAACACGTGTGTTTCTCTCCATCTCGCTTTTATATATTAAATACGGGACCTCAATGACTCTCTGCAGATCCTGTATATTGATACCGTGCAACTTTAAAAAAATACTGAAGTGTTATTATGTTCTTATCGTTCATTGCACATAATTTGTGTCGCGCGACAATGTCATCCGATAATGTTGAACATATCGTCAGCTAAATACGTTAAACTGATAACTCCATTTCCATCACTTTGGAGGTATTTACCTATTTGACAACTATGACTCCTTTTCTATCATACCAAAACTAAATGTTTGTTAAGTTCGTACGAAAACTGATTGAATAGTCATGATGAGTAAAGCTGCCAACTGCTCCACACACCTTATTCATCGAAATACTGCTATCTCCAGTCAAAACCAAGTGACAGGCGCACGTGTGCTCTTCAAACGCTCTTCAGTTCTAGAATAAACGTGGCTTCTTTTTGAAATATCACAGTTTGCCATTAGTTTGGTGTTCCGGTAATACTTTTTGATGAAAGGTAAGTTTGATTTTGTAAAAATATGTTTATTTTGGTTTGTAGTAAACAAAATTACCCTTATGTCGGAGTGGCAGCTTTTCTCTTAAATTACGTTTGGGCGTATTTGGGAGAGCAGTATTTATTATTGTTTTTTTTAATGAAATTGACTTCTTGAGTTAGCTATTGGTGTATGAGTGTGCCATTTCTTGTTTATTATTTTCTGAACAGCAACGGTTACCAATGTAATGGTTTGTTGACCTATACTACCGGCGTCTAGGTTATGTTGCTTACTAGCGTAATTACATCGTAGGCGTACGTCGTATAACTGTACGCTGGCGCTGTGGACGTGATCGAGGGTCAGGACCGTCTTCGGTTTGGATCAGGTTTGATTGAGTTTGCCGAGCCCAATATCTCGGTTCTCTTAAGTCATTGACGTATATCCTACTAAGAAAATCTGCTTATTTTTTCAAGATAAAGGAAGTCCCTAACTTTGTGGACACCCTGTTCAACGCTCATATATTAAACAAAAATGAGGCCAGAGCAGAAAAACAAAAGTATGTGTAAAACGAGAAATGCGTATTTACTGTTGATCTTCAAGCTGTTTTAATGTCACCTAAATCTAATGTTAGCAGCTCATATAACAAGACAAAATTATGCGTTCACAACCTTTGCTTTTATAATAATTATGCTCAACAAATTGTTTCTTATGGCATGAGGGGAATGGTGGACTAACCGCAGAAGAATTTTCATCATGTTTCTACTCATTTTTGGAAACAAAAGTCATTCATACAATGGACAATGACGACCGAAAGATAATAATGTGATGGTTGTACGTACCAGAACAGAATCGTGACTTTGGCTAACGCAGTTTTAAATTTATGCAGAAAACATGATATTACACTTGAGAATAAATATTTAGAGGTTGGACGTGCTCAAATGCAAGTTGATTCCATGCATGCCACCTTAGAACGTTGTGTAAATCGAGTCAGGCTAAACGTCCCTGCAGATTATGCAAAAAATTCTAAGCCCTACGAGGTAATGTACTTAGATCACTCTTTCTTCAGATTAATCAAAAAAGGTGGGAGCTGTTAAATAAAGTATTAAAAACATTTAAATTATGAGAGTGCTTGGTATACTTAATTGTTTAAATTTTATTTGTAGGTAACTGATATTCGGGGCCTAAAATATACACCAGTAGGGGACATCTATTATAAACTTCGGTTGTCTGATGATTGAGAATTACTTTCGCAAAGAAATTATCAAGTTGCCATTATTGTTTGGACAGTGTTGGACCATCTGTATAAAGATAAAATTCTGACCTTCAAGAAATTAACTGTACGATTCCAGCGGACTATCACCATTTTTATAATAATTTGTCACACCTGTGAATTTTTAGATGTATTAGTTTAGATGTTTTGATCATTTTGAATACACTAAAATAGATGTTCTACCAAAAATAAAAGTTGCTAACTCGAAAATTCCTTCTTTTCTATTCAAATGAACAACTGCCAACACCAATTTTTGTCCATAAAATTTAATACAGTATTTTTTTCCACATATATTTCTTGTTAACACATTGAAAATATCATCAAAAATATTCTTCTTTAATAGTGGCTTATTAAAATGCACACCATTGCTGTGAAATCGTTTTTTGTTCTTCCTGTAAACCTCACGAAAAGGAGTTAGCAGTTTAACGTATTTAGCCGACGATATGAGAGACACTTTCTGACATTATTTAGAGAAAGGGTGACACAAATTGTGTGCATAAATGATCCCTTACATTCACGTAATCTTATGCGCAACCTTGTTCCAGTTAAGTTCGTATATCCTATCGTTTTCTGCATTTATATCAGAGTTTTAAAACCTTCGCAATATCGTAAAAATGAAGGAAGTTCTTAATGTCTTTAGCAAATAATGGTTGATAGGATAATAAAGTAGAGACATGAAGACATTTATTAGAATCTGATATACAAGAAAATGGTTACATTGTAGTCACTTTCAGTGCTATTACTGAATATAATTTAAATATCAATATAAGAAAAATAATCAATAATCTAGCAGTGCGTGACTTTTCCTACACTGTTACCAAAACCAGATGTGAAAAATCTTATTAAAAAAAGTTTATTTTGAACCTCCCAAATATAAGTTCTTGCTTATCTTAGGTATTTTATTTAAACTATTTTTAAATTAAGATAAACGTTCCTGGACTGAGAGTCTGGGGCACTTGATATACCTCTTATAGGCCCCATACACCTGCGAACAAATTGCGCAACGGAGCCTGTTGTACCAACAATTGTGTAGTGTATGGGGTTGTTTGACGTGCTGCGCAACGGGTTGCAGAAATTCAAAATAGTTTGATTTTTATTGCACAACCAGCGGCGTTGCGCAACTAGTTGCAGAGTATATGGGCTATTCTGCAAACACGTTGTGCAATAACTGATTGTTTGTCCGAGTTCCACGTGCTTAGTTTTGAAAATGAGCGGTTGTTTTGGAAATAACAAAGAATTTTTAAGCGATTTTATTGATTTATATCGTCAGTTACCGGCAGTATGGAAGGTGAAGAGCGATCTCTACAAGAATAGAAATATGAAGAATTTGGCTTATGAAAAACTAGTTGAAAAACTTAAAGAAGTCGAACCTAATGCCGACAGAGAGATGGTGCGGAAGAAAATTAATGTTTTACGCAGTGCCTATCGGAGAGAATTAAAAAAAGTAATTGCAAGTTATAAATCAGGGACAGGAACTGAAAGTATTTACGAACCAAGCTTATGGTACTACAAGGAATTAGATTTCTTGAGGGATCAAGAAACCCAAGTACCTGGAACCTCTACCATGAATGACCCATTTTATGAGATTGATAATGAAGACGCAGTAAGTAAACAATTTATATTTTAATTCTGTATTCATAGGAGTATCGGTAAAAAACTAGTTAACATTATTAATTTACAATTATTGCTGAAATATCTTGTTCTGCCATGGAACAGCTCCAACAGTATTAAAATAATTACAAAACTGTGCTCTTATTTGTTTTGCTACAGTGGTAGTGTTTCTTCCTCGGAGTGCCTGTAGTTGTAATAATGTAGGGTCTGCTCTCCAATCAGCATTTGCAACCTCTCCACTATTTATGTTTTCAACATCTATGCCACCTTGATGATACGACTCTACTTTGTAATGTCGCAAGAAGTTGTGCAAGTGGCAGCATGTCAGTACTATGATGACAGCTTTTTCTGGACATAGGTTAATTTCATTTAACAGAATTCTGAAGCGAGAAGCTAGTATCCCGAACGCATTTTCAATGATTCGGCGGCTACGTGACACCCTGTAGTTATAAATCATTTCTTCGTTGCTGAGGGTTTTCTTGCTAAATGGTTTCATCAAATTTTCCATAAGTGGAAAAGCATCATCCCCTACAAAAACATAGGGCAATTTGATATTAGTCGATGTTAAATTTTCTGGTTCAGGAATGCACAGATCTTTTTCTACAAGTTTTTTACAGAATGCTGTATTGGAAAAAACCCCTCCATCAGAGACTCGTCCATTTGCTCCCACATCAACCATCAAAAATTCATAATTTGCATTTACGATTCCCATTAGAACAATGCTAAACGAATGTTTGTAATTAAAGTAATATGAACCAGTTCCAGGTGGCTTAAATATTTTCACATGTTTGCCGTCTATCGCCCCAAGACAATGAGGAAAATTCCACTTCCTCGCAAAAGCTTCAGCCTCATTTCTCCATTCATTTTCACTTTGTGGTAGCTGAAAAGAAAACATGGTGTTATTTTTATAATTGTATTTTTAGAAGTTTGCATGGTGTTATTTGTTGGTATTATTTTTATAATTATTTTTGTAATTTTAAATGTCTGCATGCTATATCTCTTTTATTTGTTGCAGGATTCTTCCCAAGACAGAAGTAGTCAAGGACCCAATACACCTCCAGGAAGGCATGAGCTCCAGAATCGCCCACACCACCAGAAACAGATACAGCCCCAGATACATATACACTTTCAGAAATGGATGTACCGGTTACTCCTATACAACGTAGAGCTAACAAACGAAAAGGATCAACTGAATTTGAGGAATCACAAACACGGAATGAACTATTGAAGATGGCTTGCGAACATCTTCGCACTTCTAACAAGGAAGTGGAGATTTTGGCAAAAAGTTGGGCATTAGAGTTCATGAAGCTCTCATCAGATCAGCAAATTTATGCTAAAAAAGCCATAAATGATGTTTTATATGAAGGGCGCTTGGGAACTTTACATAGACATTCAGTTGTTATAAATGAACCCCCTGTACGTACCCCCCTTGAAATTTCATCCTGCCAATCATTCTCGTCACATTCAAATTCTGTCCCATCATTCCCGTCTCCAAACCCAGTACAGGTAACTGATGATACTACACAACTACAATATACGGTAATAGGAGAACTACTCACTGACCTACAATATAACTAAGGATATAGTAGTAGTATATAGTATGTTAATCTTAGTTTCTGGTTTATGTTAAAAAGAATAATAAAGTAATACATTTATTACCTTTAAATATTTCTTCAAAACCTTTATGATTGCTTCACAGGTCTCGATGATAATATGTCCAAGGGTTTGAGCAGCAATCGCAGTTTCAAATTTTAAACCCTCAAATGTTAGTCCAGATGCAAGATATCTTAGAGTAGCAAACAATCTCTGCTTGGGAGATATCGCCTCTCTCAATATTGTGTCTTTTTTTTGTATATATGGTGTTACCAGAGCCAATAATTCGCCGAAAGTAGTGGAATTCATTCGTAAATAATTTTTATAATCTAAAGGTGAACTCACTTGAAGTTCTTTAAGGAGATTTGCGTGACTAAAAAGAGATCTTTTCTTTAACCACTCTTTCATCCAAACTCTCTGCTTCCGTTTTCTTTTATTAACGCCAACATCACAGGCTGCAGCAATTATTATAGCTAGACAGGCTGCGTCATTAGACGGCATGTTGAGGTGCATGAGTACAACTCACAACTGAAGTTTGCATAAAATTGCATAGTAAATTGCATAGTGTGTGGATCACCTTGTTTGTACAACCACTTTTTGTGCAACATCCGTTTGCGCAATTTGTTCGCAGGTGTATGGGGCCTATTATGCTATGACTAATCCAAGCCGTACGAAAAAACAGTCGACGTTTCTAGATTTTCGTTTTTGATCTTTTTTGGCAATTAATGTTAACCATTTCCTGTAATTTCCTCTATTGTCAGAGTCATCCCCTTCAAAATGAACGGTAATTCCTGTTTTGCCAAAAACATACGGTATCTAGAAGTGTGCTACCTAAAAGCTTGGTTAAGACAACTTTCGATTCTTGTTTTGCCAAACTGAATTAAATTGGTTACACATCTCACATGTAACGGAGAAATTTCATGTCTCCTGTTTAGAGTCCTAAAACTATTTAAATCATTGACTCCGCTGCTGGTCCACCCATTTTGTTCTGTATAAAACAGAAGACATCGCCAACAATACAATCTGTTTTTTTTTGCAACCACATAACCAAGAGTTTCCATATATCAACTTAATTTAAAATATCAAACTACGTTTTTTTATTCCTTTTTGAAATTATCTCCTTTTTTTCTTAAAAATTATACAAGGAGAATAACTTTTCAAGTAGTTGATCGATTACGCAGTGACACTCATCCATGTTTAATTGCACGCACACTACAGCCGGTAACCAAAACGGCTACGAACGAGTGAGAAGTGAGTAACCAAATCAAAAAATGGTAACAAGCCCACATAATAGTCGCAGCGCCCCACGCACTCGGGCGACCGCGATCAGACGCGATCCTGCGCCGAAGGTCCCCGACGGACTACGAGTACCAAGTGTATCCATAAATGAAAATGGTAACAACCGACTACCAATAGTCAGCTTCATCGTGTTCGCAAAACCTAGACACTATAGGGCGCATTATTTTCGTGGGGCTGTTGGTAAACAAATAAATGAAATTATTTTACAGTACTTAGTCATAAAATATTTACCAATGGTAACAATGGTTACATGCACGCTTCGCCACTCGAATCTAGGGTTTTACGTTTGCGCAAGTTTTGTGGTGAAAAAGCTTGAAGGTCTTATTTTAGTATAGTACACAGCTGGGAACCACTTCTAGTGACACATAGACCTGAGTTCCTACATTACCTGCTGTGTTCTCATTTTCAAAAAATTGAGTCAAGTAGATAGATATAACTCATAATATAACTCAACCTGTATACTTCATTGGCAGCATATTCAGTACCTAATAATGTTATCACACAGCAAATATCACTGATTTTATACACATGCAGCCCAATACCATCATCCAGATTCGATCTTGCTACTCAACCAACTTTCTTCTCAGAGATGAAAACAATGCGCGTAGTTGAGTCATTCCTCCCTAGATGGACGCTCACAACGATCCTAGTGAGCAAACGTGGAATGGCTGTTAGCACCCTAAAAACTACCTAGTTTGCAAGATGACATTTTATAGTTTTTTTTGACGTTTTATAGGTTTTTTACATATTACTTGTGGCGAATACTAACTATTCACAGAGCAATGGGTTTCTGTGTGCATAAATCGCTACGGCTAAAATAGATACGTCTAATTTCCCTCTCTGCAACCACGACCAACTGCAGACAGCGCTGTTTTGTTCTCATTAGCAACTCATCAACGCGGTATATAGGTCTTGGGTATAGACTTGCACATGAAAATTAGACCAAAATTAGGCCTACCCGCACTGATGAGCTGCTAATGAGTACGAAACAACACTGTCTGCGATTGATTTTGGTTACAGAGACGGAAAGCAAACATGTTCCTTTCAACCCTAATTTTTTGACTCCATCCAAAAGTGATCAACTGCTGAAAAACGCATAAAAACGAAGTTTGAGACTTTTAAAGATATCAACCTGTTTTGGGGTTAATCAAGACATGTCATTTCAAAAACTAACATCCACAATTCATTGACAATTCAGATTTTTTCAATACGTATGGAGGATTATATAGAGAATGTTTTGTTGTTGAAAATGGAAATCCTCAGATCTGCCACTTAATACAGGGTACAGAGTAGTGGTAGTAGTAAAGGAGTAAAGTTCTTATCCAGATCACAGATATTTGAAAACTCTCTTATACGACACCCCCAGCATCTCTTATAGGACTATGCAAGGCAAAACTTTCGTTTCTAGTTATTATAAAATGATATACTAATTTTGGCCGTTAAATTCAAATATAACCGATAAAAAATCATGAAGCGACTTGAGGACGAGATTGGGGTTAAGCGACTGTCTGTTATGGAAGGTGCCACGCCACCGGTCAATCCCCATCGAATGTAACGGCATAGTCGGAGCAGCAGGACTTTAGACTGTAATGATTAAGCTCTTACAATCTCCTGATCCCTGTTCGACATAGGATATTTCCTCTTGGTTAAAGTCTAGTAGGTCAGAAAGTCTGTTAGGTTTAGTTGCTCAGACGTCATACAAAGTCAGACAGAAATAAGGAAAGAAGAAACAATGAAAAGAAAAGAGAGAGCAAAAAAAGAAGAGCTTATACCATTTAAGAATTGCAGTATAGCACCTCTTCTATTTTGTGTCACCTCGTATGTCACTGTGACCGATTGCAAACAAAAGGGCTATCTAATTAATTTTCTACAGATCACGGCCTGTAAGCACACATCATTTTTTATGTTGTATGTGTAATTTGTGCCCCTCTACGTGCGTTTTTCTATTGCAATTAGCATATTCATCTGAAACACGGGCTTTCGAGCCAGTTTCGATTGTCGCGTTCTGATGGTTGAGTGAAGCTTCTGAGTGAAGTACCTCGCAAATGTTACCCTACTGTGACGATATTTTTCGGTAAGTTAGCGGTTAGAAAGTATGTTATACTAGAAAAGCAGGATTTATTATTTGTAGATCAAACACGCTCCATCAAAGTTTACTTATGAGATTCAAGAACAAATTCCCTAAAATATAGCTACCTTGTTCAAGAAAGAAAGCCTTTGTTTTTTCCTCCCTAGATCAGCTATGCTCGGCTTGAAAATTTTAGAAATTTAGATAAATGTTTTTTTGTTTTGCGATGTCTTCGACACGTACATCCATGAGAGCTCAGACAATGTTACCTCATTTTTGAAAATCGCTTAAATGGTAGCGGTGTTATTAGTAAAAATTAAAATAGCGTTCAGATCGTCCCTAAGTTTGTTTTTGTATGCTTTACAAATTTCTTAAACATTTTTAAGGGGTAAATAAAATTCTTTATCAAGGCTTATCCTGACTCATGGAAAATCTGAAAATAGGCATTGGTAGCTTGGGGAGTATTGAGTTAATATACTTGCTACTATTTCTTTCAAAAAAAATTTCATTAAACCATTCATAGCAGAAAACGATTTTAGTATTTGAAATTTTCAGCCTCTGAAGGCAGTGCCATGCTAGATAGCAAAAGTTTTTAAATTCGAAAAGTTTCCTACAGTTGTTGTACTTGTAGTCTAGAGGGATGAAAATAGGAAGCATGCTACTATCACTGAGCTTAGCTGTAAAAGCTGAGGTTTAATGCTAGAATTTTCAATTTATCGTACGGCCTAAAAAACTTGGATGAGATTGCGAGGGCCTCTGTAAGCTGGAAGCCCGATCATTGATACGGCGGTAGCTACGCCCCTGTACAAAAAGTTTGAATAACGTAACATTTTGTACGACAAAAATTTAGTTTTCGTTGCAAGGTAGTACAAGCGAATGAACTATAACACGTTTAGGTAATTTCATGCACTAAATCCAGTGCTGTGTGTTAGAATTTGAGATATTTCGTGACCTCCCATGCGTCGAGTAGTCAAATTGAAGTCGAATTCAGAATCTTCGCATGCAATTTAGCAATCAAATATCAAATATTGTTACAATACGACATGCATTAAATGTTTCCAGTTTCAGAAGTTCATTATCCGTGGCTGCAAGCGACTGAAACTGAGTACATTTACATAATTTTCAGTGCTGATTTCAAATATGACCATAAAACAGTTATTCTGAAGTGCCGCTTGCCGATGATTAGCTTTTATCCAGATACTCTCTTGTATCTACAATTACCTATAAGAGTTGTTTATTAAACGCTTAATTTTTTTCTCTTGTTTTAATTATGTTTGTATTCTGTCTTGTACTGATCTGTCGGAGTCGAACCTAGGCCCTTTCCTTTTGGTCAAAATTTTGTCTATTACCTAATTATTTCCTTTAGGATAGGCCTTAGGTTAAGGTAGGATTCTAATATGACACGGCTTATTATGAATGACCATTGGCCAGACTTCCCCATTTGTTGCTGTTCTTCGCGCTTATGTATTTAGTTACAATAAAGTTGATTGCAATGAGTTGTTTAAAATTGTGTATTTGTGAAACGTTGTTCTTGAAACGTTCATTGCCTATAGGTAAACCTTTTTAAATTCACACGTTTCATAATCTTAATTCAGGTGGTGATGACTTAAGGTTATTTATTATTAATTTGATAAGCACTTTCCACAGGAACGAATACAGAACGTTGATGCGGGAAGTAAAAGCATCAGCCATTTTCGACATTTATTTCTCTTACGTGGTATGATAGACATGCACCTGTTGAAACAATGACCAACAAGCATCAGAGTCCTTCCTGTCCTTTCATTAGCATCCGGAGCGACAAACTATCTGGGGTCATTGTATCGGAACAAAAAAATAATGCGATTTCATGCTAAGTATGTGGAACCGATTTGCCGTTGCGTTGTTTGGTTTGATTTTTATGAGCATGTCTTTGATTAGATAGGTTGTTTCATGTTATTTAGGATACTTGCTTAGGTCCTTGAAACTACAAAATCCAGTGATTACGTACTACATACTCTTTCGACTAAAATGTCGAACACACTTTAATTCAGAATTCATAAAAATTGGTAAAAATTCGGCGAAGAGGCATTTTTGCCTTAATCCATATCCTTTTAGGCCATAGTTAACCAAGAATTAACGTCTGCCCGGGCTCTTGAGTAGGTACCTCCCGATTATACTCTAGAGCGCATCCAGAAATATTATAAAAAGTTCTTATAAACAGAGATGCTACCATATCCCATTACCGAGATATAGGGTGTTGTAAATTTTCATGCCACTGTTGAGACATACAACTATTCAAGTAATGTCATGGGGCGATGGAGTACATACAATTTTAAATGTCTTTCTTCATTAACTTTGTTGTATTTTCAAAGTAAAAGGTAATGATCATTTTTATACGGATTGACGACAAATATTCAAACCAATGTTTTTCCAAGAGTAATATTGTGACAAAAAATATTCAAAAGAGACAATCTATGTATAACTTATTCAAAAATGCAATAAATGTTTCAAAAAAGTCAGTGACATTGCAAACTCTGCGGGGATCATAATTTCCAAATTTATACGCCACTATAGTTGGAGCCACAGAAATATTTGTATTTGTCGGCTACATTGTTATAATTATACGTGCATATACAACATAACCCACTCCGAAGATATTATTTTTCTGATTTCGAAAAGGCTCACGTTTATACGGACCTATGAGGTCTTGGTGACGAGACAGGGGAACATGTGATCCATCTTCAGTACAAGCTTAAACTCGCTCAAGTCATTTGGTTGTCTGTAGCGATTTTTTTTGTAAAACAGTAGTTCCTATTGTGTTTAAAAATAAATAATATCACTCTCGAGCAATGTTGTGCAGGTTTTGCTTCAGACTTGTGCAGTGTGCAACGAAAACTCTTACTAAACTTCAGTACGCCTACGGAGCCTTGGTCTTTCGATGGTTTATAGCATTTTCAGAAGGGAGAGAGTCAAATGAATGTAAACCACCCTGTAAAACAAAGCGGTTTTTATTTTAAAATCGTCCAATGTATCATAATATGAATTTTTGATCCATCTTATTAAGGAAATAATACTTAATGGGACTGATCAAACAATTTTTGAATATAAAACATGTGGAAGAAACTAAATCCTAGGATTTCTTGCAGGTAAAATGTTACTACCAATCTTCCTACTCCTTTCATGCAGCTCAGCAATATCCCAACAGTATTACCAAATCGAAGACATACCCATTGAACAATTCGTTCAAACAGAGCTTGAAGATGATGCCATCGATTTTGAGCTAATGCCAAGACAACCAAGATCCTTTCTGAAAAGCCAACTGGATAAAACCACTTCTGACCAAAGTAGGCCAAGAAGTCGTCGGGATATTTCGGTAACCCCCACGACTCTAAGTACTCCGATAGATATCACAAGTATTGTAAATGATATTGGGAAACCGTTAGAGTTAGTTATCATCGATCCTGATAACACGACCGAAAAGCCATTGGGAGTTGTGACAGAGTTACCTGTTACTGATGAAACGGAAGATAATAATGTTCTTATCAATGATTACATTAGGTTTAGGAGGAATGCTGGACATCAAAAAGGGTCCGAAACAGAGAGAAACGTAGGTGGTCAGGACAGAAATGAACCGTAAGTGTCTTTTTCTCAATATCAGGGTGCTGAGGGGTGTCTTCTGAGACGGAAAGCAACAACAATCACAGGAATCCCACATTATATGCTGATTTGAGACCAATTTTTATCCTACCTGTGCTATCTAAATTATTGGAGAAGTCAAGTACGCTAAAATTAATGAATATCTATCGGAATCTCAAATATTACCATCAGTAAAATGTGCTTTTCCAAAGGGCTACAATACTGCAGGTGCATTGTTGCCATTGTTGAAGGTGACAGACAGTATTGTTAGAATGTGGGATCAGCATATGATAACAACACTTGCACTTCTTGATTTTAGTAAGACATTCGGTAGTCTAAATCATCGTGTGCTACTTGCTTAATGTAAATATTACGGATTTTCCGATTCTTATATTAATATGATGAGTGTTTTTTTTGTTTTTTTAGCTATTCGCTCTCAAAGAGTTACTATTGATATGAGTCACCTAAATGTGCCATATCATCTGGAGTACCCCAAGGTTCTGTACTCGGAGCATTATTATTTAATTTATACATATATCGACGACTTGCACACATTCATTAAAAATTGTAGTATTCAATTTTTTGCTGATCTTAAATGTATAACCATTTCATCAGTAGCATCACTCAAATCGCTGAATATCAAATCAATGACGATATAAAATCAATTAATGCATATCAAAAAAATGATAATCCCAAACTTCATAATCAAAAATGATTTTTTTTGTCGCCTAAACATTTTAGGAGTCATGTTAAAAACAACTTTATGAAAGAGTCAAAAACTTGTGAATTTTTTCATAACCCATGTAAACAAAGTTACTAAAAGCTGCTTTCCGATCTTACGTCAGTTATAAATGAATGAACAAATTCTCGATTATCAAACTAAGAAAATCTTATGCGAATCATTAATTATGTCCAAAATTAATTACTGTGATACAGTTTACAATCCATTTTTGGATACAATATCTCTTTCACCTTTACAAAAAATTCAAAGTTCATTTTGCAGACTAATAAATAATTTGAGAAAATATGACCATATAAGCGGTTCTTTAAGGGACTTGGGATGGTCGAAGGCGAGAGAGCTATATGAGCTGCACTTATTAACTTTCACCCATAATTGCTTTCTGCAATTCCCTTGTTTTTGAAGAATAAGTTGATCCGACTCAAGAGACATGCGGCTTACTGAGAAAATCAAAATTTCTCTTCACAAAGCCTCATTCTTCTCTTCTTCAGGCATTGAAACTACTAAATAACAATTTATTTAAAACACAACTTAAACAGTTTATTTTAGAAAAATACTCGTCTGCATAGTTCGACCACTGACTTTGCAAAATGTTTCATTTTCTGTGAACATTCATATATATGATTGAATTTTCTTTATCTAGTGTTAGTATACTTAAGTATATTACTTCTACATATTTATAATCTTATTGTGTCTTTTGTAAACTTCGCCCTTAATAAAAGACGTTTATTATTATTATTGTTATTATTAATATTTTTAGGGCAAGAAGGACATCCAAAATCGCGTTCCTATAAACACAGGTCTAAAATCTGCAGTTACCAAGTTATACAGGGTGTGAATTTCTTCGTCACTGACAGCACTGATTAGGGATAGAGCATGGATATAATTACATAGTAGCTTTAAAGTCAAACTTCACTAAGGTTTTCAAATACAACTAATCTATGAGCACTTTGTAATAAGAGCATAAATTGTATGTTATAATAGAACTATTTAGAAATATTTTCAGATATATGATTTCTACGTGTGTGCTGTAGCTATTTTGTAGAATGGTTCTAAGAAAATGCTTTTATTCCGAAAAATATTTTTTCTAACATACTGTACGATATTTTCGATCGCTTGGAAGCACACTTATTCTTTGTCTCCCAAGGACTATAATATTACCAAGATACCATGTTTCATAGAAATCTGTTTCATTATGTTGTGTAGATATAAGCAGTTTGTAACTGATCCATATAAGAGCCTTCTGTGCAGTAACTTTTTTAGTAACGGATGAACTGACGACGGTTTGATTTAAGTATGTTTATCATAAAAAGATATACAACTTTCGTATAAAACATCTTTTGTTAAAGATTTACTTTGAAAAATAAGTGATGAAAATCTATTTTACTATGTTCCACCCTCAGTTTTAGAAAAAACGCGAGCAATTAGATGTTTTATTTCAGAGCATGTGACTAACCGTATGTTTATTTTATTTTGCCATATAGACGCTTCCTTCCTTTGATTTGACACTTACACACACAAACTAAGCCAATTAAGTCAAAGGGATACACGGGCGGATCAAAAACTGACCAGGGAACAGGTGCACGTATACAGGGTGGCCCATCCATGTGTGGACGGAATATTACTCATAAACAAATATATATATTGGGAAAATCTATTTATGGGATGTTATACATGACATTTAAGGGCACATTTCTAAAATATTGGCCATTATACAGAGTGTCCCAATTTCGACCTACATATCAAAGTGGTGATTTTTCAAAGGGAATGCATCAAATTTTAATTTGGATAAAGCAATTCAAAAGAAGAAAATTGATATAACATACTATGGGGTTTTGGTAATTAGCTACTGAGATATAAGGTGTTTTGTGTTTTGTCTAGAAAAAAACCCTACTTCGGCAACCTCTCAGTCCGCCATTTTGAAATTTGGAGTGCTGAATTTTGTATTAAAAAAACTTACACACCTCAGCTTTTATCTTATTTGTTGCTTTTTCGAATTTTAATTTTTGCTCATATAGGGTGGTCAAAAACGGAAATTGTATTTTTTCTCAAAAATTTCAAATGCATATTTGTGCAAGTTTGGATTCAATTTTTTATAAGCTTTTTTTGAAACTAGACACATAAGGGATTTTTACGGCTTTTTTTTGGTTATTAGCACGTCTTTTATGGAACGGCTTAATCCCCCTGAAATATCGCATCATCCTTGGAAACAAATAAATTGTTGTTACAAACTGTCAAAATTAGCTTTGTGAGCATTATAATAAAAGCGTGTTTGAAAATGAATTTTTATAAAGAGGAAATGGTGAATATGGTGTAGTTTTCTAGCATCTCTCATTTATAAGCAGCGGTACCCTAATATGCTACATCCAAGGCCGGAAACATTTTCCACAGTACGAGAACGTTTTGAATCAAGTGGAGCAGTGGAATATAGTGAAAAATGTATAAATAATCCAAGTGTCACCAATAAGGCGAATCAATTGGAGATTCTATTAAAGTTGCAGGAAAATCCCCATTTAAGTGCACGGCAAATTGGAGCAGAAACTGATATATGCAGAACTTCTGTCCAAAGGATTATTCACAAGCATAGGTACCATCCACATCACCTATGCTTGCATCAAGACCTTCGTCTTCAGGATTTCGCTGCTCGAATGAAATTTAGTAGAATAATGCTAAATGAAGTGAGTGAAGACACTACTTTCCTGCCTAAGGTTCTTTTTAGCGATGAGGCAACTTTTAACAGAATAGGTGTTATCAACAAGGCATAACATGCACTATTATGCGACGGAAAACCCTTACTGGGTTAGACAAATGGATTTCCAAAATAAATGGAGCTTGAATGTTTGGGGAGGAGTTATTGGCAGACAAATTATCGGGCCTTTCTTTTTCGTCAACATTAACAGGAACAAAATACTTGAATTTTTTGATCGAGCATTGGTCTTTGCTTTTGGAGGATGTCAACCTGCAAACTCGGATGCATATGTACTTCCAACATGACGGCACACCTGCGCATTATCATACTCGTGTGCGTAACTATTTGGTCACCTGGAGTAACAATCGTTTGATCGGTCGTGATGGACCTATGTCTGAGCAAAACTGAAAATTCGAAAAAGTAACAAATAAGCTGAGGTGTGTAGGTTTTTTTTGATTCAACATTCAGCACTCCAAATTTCATAATGGCGTATTGAGGGGCTGCCGAAGTGGGGGGTTTGTCTAGACAAAACACCTTATATATCAGTAGCTAATTACCAAAACCCCATAGTATGTTATATCAGTTTTCTTCTTTTGAATTGCTTTATCCAAATATGCAATAAAATTTGAGGCATTCCATTTAAAAAATCACAATTTTGATATGTAGGTCAAAATTGGGACATCCTGTATAACTGTCAATATTTTAGGAATGTGCCCTCAAATGTCATGTATAACATGCCATAAATATATTTTCCCAAAATGTATTTGTTTACGAGTAATATTCCGTCCACACATGGATGAGCCACCCTGTATATGGGAATAGGTGTAAGCTTATGCAATCTTGTATTGTGCAAGAGTAAATAATGAGCGAGCGTATAACAATAAAAGGATCGCCATATACACTGACAGCTAGGCGTCACCCATAGCGCTAAGAAGTCCTAGAGAGAGACATCTGCTCTGATCTGGGAATGCCAACAAGAACTGAACATACTGGCGGGACACAGCAGAGCAACTCTGATGTGGGTGCCAGGACAGTCAGATGACGCGGGAAATGAAAGGGCGGATGAGCTCGCAAGGAAAGGATCATCCACATCCTATACAGGCCCAAAACCTGACTTGGAAGTGCCAAAATGCAAAAGGAACCATGTCAAAGAATGGTTAAAAAACCAGCTCAAGGAACATTGACACTTAGTGTCTAGATGTAGACATGGGAAAGAATTCGTCTCAGGGCCATGTCCAAACAAGATTGCGGAACTGCTCTCAATGAGTAGAATACAACTTCACGCAGTCACATGGCTTTTAACAGGACACAATGAGCAATATAGGGCTGTACGATGGAGACCTTAGCTGCAGACCATGCGGAAAAGGTACAGAATCAGCCCTATATGTCTTATACGAGTGCGAAGCGCTGGATCACAAAAGATATCAACTGTTCGGGACACCGAGGGAGTTTAGAACAGCACTGTACCAACTGTACCAACTGGTTCAGAACACAAGACTACTGGATAGTATACTGTAAACTCGAGGAGTAAGGCACAATAAGCCCTACAGGTTGCGGTGCCATCGGGGACTTTGGTCAGACGGCTCCCGGAACAGGAAAACAGCCAAACGGGGATGTTTTATTGATTTTAACCAAAATGCTAAAATCATTTGTCTCTAAGACAAATAGTCTGATTGGAGATTTTTAAGAGGGACAATTTATGAAGAAATAAATGCCTTATTTAAAAACAGAATAGATTAAACATGATCCTTTTGTCTGTCCGACCAAAAGACGGATAACCACAGACAGCTGTTTCGTGCTTCTTAACTACTTACCAGCTTGGTCTAGGCTTGATCTCTCCAATCTGGTCCACTAGACCATGCTGATGAGTAGCCAAGAAGCATGAAACATCTGTCTATGGTTGACTGTCTTTTGGTCGGACGGACGAAAGCATCAAGTTTGGTTCCTTCAATGGCAATAAGATCACATCCACTTTACAGTCAGAATCGTCAGTCGTCTAGCGGTCACGAGGTAACTGGGCAATTCAACGTGAACAGAAAACTTTAGCATTTACAATATCAGCTACGCACCCTCCGCAGTGGTCAATATTGGTGATGGATGGCGCTTTGCGCTGTCTTATTTCAACAGAAGGTATTTTTATGAAAAAAGTCAATTGCTTCGAAAGTATTTGCTTCATTAGTTTTGTAATCGTGAAAAATTTTGAAATTGATATGTTATGTTTTTTTGGATGTTATATGATATGTACATCACGAAAAACCATGTGACTCATATCCGACGGTCTGACTGTCCATCGGACGTCCGCTAATTTTATAAGCGCCCATAACCTTTGGCTCTAGAAATATAGCCAACTTTTGTTTAATCATCCTGTACGTTTATACATTGGTTAAAGTATTTTACCTGAAGATAGCAAACCTATATTTTCGCGAACAAACATTTTCTCTATTTGTTATATATACTAATATATCTACTCGTATTTCATGGATGGTGCTGTCCATATGACCATATACACGCATATAGTTGACTGCAGTGGCATCTGTGAGACACAGAAACAGCTGTGAAAAATTCTCATAGATGAGGCTAGGGTAGTTCATTTTATGTTGGATAATTTTTTGCGACAATGTAGCATTAGTTTGAATATGTTAATCAATGATTCACTCTAACTATTTATTGTAGGAGTGAGACAAAACCTAAACACAGCCTAGACCCCTTCAGCAACCTCCAGAAACTTGTACCATCACCCAGCGAGCATTTCATAACAAGGGAATCTTCCAGAGAACCACGTGGAGCTACAAAGGACCAGTGGGTCAAACAACAATACCCAGTTCGAAACGACGAGATCTACGATGACCCAGCACCCCGCGAGAACGTCAGGGCCCCGAGGGTGAATTTCGTCACACATGGATTGGGACCACCTCCTCCAAGATATGGAAGGGAACCCAGAGTGGAATCTAGAGATATTAGGAATCCTAGAGATCCTATAGGGGAACATAGGGAGCCTAGAGGAATGGTGGGGCTAAACAAGGACTTCTATGAGAGGCAGTTGATAAGAGATCTGTCATCGGAGATGGATTATTATTATCCGAGGTATAGCAGACCATGGAGACAAGGAAGGTTAGTATCATTCGAAATACACCAGTGATCGGCGCATTGTATACACATACGTAAAATAGTTGTAATAGTATACGTCTCGAAATTCATGTAGGCAATGTATAGAATAGCAAATATTAGTTTCAATTATTCAGAATTATTTATATACGCAGGTTGAAGAAAGTGTTTTTGATGCAGTGTAAAAGAAAATTAATAAAACAATATTATTCAATATTGTCATCATCAAAATATGGAAGGGCCGCGAAGCACTATTTGGAGTAGAAGAATGGGCATTTTAGGGCTTACTGTCAATCTCAGCGAAAAATTGACATAAAATTTGTGATATCGGACTTTAATTGAGAAATCATTTATCTTATTTGAAGAGGCGACTTAAATATCGAATGAACAAAATGTATTTTAACCTTTGTAGCAGTCGCGGCCTGGACATTTAGGTTCAGCTTTTGCCGATGACTCAGTATAATATCGACAAAAAAGTGCAATTTATTTTAAAATCCCTTCTTAAATAAGTACAAGAATACGGTTTCTCAAAAAGTCGGTTATCCTATACCTATCTCCGGAAATACCTTGCCTTCTAAGTGCAATTTTTACAATAATAATATGCTAATAATCCCTAATTTTAGAGAAGACCCGTACTACTACAGAGCTGAACCAAGAGACCGGTACAGCCGAGAACCGCCACCATCTCGGTACAGAAACTCAAGAGTACCTCCAATCCCTCCCGTAGCTCCGTACTACGACAGACCTCGAGCTCCCTTTGAGGAACCATCGACGGTACCACCTAAAAGGAAGCAACGGAGAATCATCTATTACGCCAACCTTCCTGATCCGCCGAGGACTCCTCCAAATGTAGATTTGAGGGAGCGGTACGATTATAGGGATCGCTACGATGATCGGTACTACACGGCAGATCCTTACAGGTAACAACAAGGGACCATTCTCACCGAAAACTGACGACCACAACCCGACAGCAACTTCACTCGGCAAATGTATTCAAATAAAACCGTTCGAGTTGGCCACCAGTTGATGAAATATGTCATCTGTGGGTGCCATTGTGAAACTTCAGCTAACGTATCCTAAAAAAATCATTGGGCACATTCATCCACCGCAAAGCGGTCCCGCGGTGCAGCGCATTTATGCTGAAAGGCAGTAGCTTTGACAGTTCGCAAGGTTTGATCAACATACTATCACATCCCACAACCAAGTAAAAACTGCTGCCAAACAGACGTTCTTGGCGGTTACGTCATCAATGCCATATGACATAAGTAAACAGATCGAGTCTCCGTACCATTGTCGGAACACTGTGCAGACTAATCTTCACCGCATCTGCTACTCTCTCCAGAACGCATAAAGTGGGTAACAGGGGACCGCTGTTTTCATTCTCTTCGTGGAAATACTCTAATAAATTTAGCACGAGCTGTCAGCCTTCTCCATTGATCGTAAACTAAGTGACATGTAAATCCGAACACCCAGTTTAAATGGTTTTATTTTAATAAAATTTTGTATAAGTACTTAATGAAGCATAATAAGTAAATGATAAAAATTTCAAAATGATTGCACTGCTTTAAAGCCCTTTGACCTTTAATAATGTGTGGATGCACCCTGATGTGCTACGCATTCTCCAACGCGCCTAGGCATGCTTCTGATCAGGTGGTCAATGTCCTCCTGTGGTATCTCATTCCAGGCAACCACCAACTCCTCTCGAAGTGCTTCTAGAGTCTGAGGAGGACGTTGCAAATTCAGCAATCTCCTACCCATCATATCCCACACGTGCTCAATTGGGGATAAGTCGGGAGATCTTGGTGGCCATGGTAACAATGTGACATCATTATGTTGAAAGAAGTCTATTGTGACTCTTGCAACATGTGGTCGGGCATTATCTTGTTGGAAAGTTGGATCTGCCAGGGTGTCAAGATAGGGTAAAAGATGGGGTTCTAGAACTTCGTGGATATAACGCTGCGCGTTCATGTTACCTCTGATGAAGATTAAAGGTGACCTGGAACCATAAGCTATAGCACCCCAAACCATAACTCCAACAGTGTGATGAACATGTCTTTCAACAAAAAACTGTGGATTCCTCCTTTCACCACGTCACCTTCTAACCCTGGCACGACCATCGTGCATGCTTAAACAAAATCGAGACTCGTCACTAAAGACAATACTGTTCCATTCCTGATCCCAGAGTGACCGTTGTCTGCACCACTCAAGGCGATTACGTCGGTGTTCTCGAGTTAAAGGGAGGACCCAGTGTGGCCGGTATGAAAACAAGCCAAAACTTCTCATTCGTCGGTAAACACTTCGCATGCCAATAGGTCTTCCGTGTTCTGCAAACCATTCATTTGCAATGGACCTGGTAGTGGAGAAACGGTCCCTTAAGGCCAATAATCTTAGGCGGCGATCTTCATGGTCTGTTGTTCTACGGCGGCGTCCAGTGCCCCTTGCTCTTTGCGTACGGCCTTCTCGAAGCCATGCCTGACAACACCTAACCACAGTGTCTACACTTCTTTGCACTCTAACTGCAATTGCCCGAAAAGAAAGTCCAGCTTCCCGAAGTCCCACTATACGGCCCCTATCAAACTCACTAAGTTGACGAAATCGTACAGGTCTCCGTACTCTAGGCATCGTAACCGATCGTAAAGGATGTCAAGAACCAAAATCCGCCAACGTTGATTCTTTACTGCGGCTGAAATATTCATTTTTAGAGCGTTAGTGAATTAAAAAAAGCAGTATAAAAACCGGAATGTCCAACTGATAAGGCTGAAAATTTTTTCACTTGTTATTTACAGTAAGATAAATACATTCACCAACATTTATTTTAACAGTGAGTAGATCTGATCAAAAGAAATGTTTTTTCCCTTTACCATTTTTCTGGTAAAATTAAAGTAACGAAGTTATAGCCCTTTGGAAGTTTGAGTACCGCCCTGTCTCAATAATAATATTATGTGCTCGTGTTTGGCGACAACGGATATAATTCGCCGTTATCGGTTCATCGCATCGGAAACAAAAAAGCGAAAGAATTTGGAATGATGTTTTTACAATTATTTCATTCAGTTGTATACAGTCAGTGTCAGTCGGTAGTGGATAGTGGTGTCTGTTGCGTGGCTCAAACGAAATAAAAAATGGCACATGTTTATGCGAATCGGTTTCCCAATCGAGTGCAACCAACCCCTCGTGCCTTTGTTAATGTAGTACAACGGGTTCGTGAAACATTTGACTTAAGACGGCATGCCGGTGCTCCAAGACCTCACGATCAAATACAGGTCCGCACTGAAATACTTGTCGGGAGGATACTTTATAAAACAAGGTAAAATTTTTTTTTTAATTTTTTTTTTATTTTTACACACATATTTTGGTTTATCTTCCTTCTACAATCATTATCTGAAAATTAATGACTCAACTTCAAAGTATGTCACTTAGTATATTTCCGCGCATTGTACAATTTTATATTGAAGATTGATAACAGGAAGCTGTCACTCTGTCAAATATGATTGCAGGTCACTCATACGCAACGACAAAGTTTTCGAAATGGAGACACAACGAAAAAACATATCTCTTTGAGCTCACCGAATAAACGTTCACACACAGAGGCAGGCTAGCATGTGTATATATGAGAGAGATGAATGTATGAAAGCAATTCCTGTAGTTTTATTTTGAACCGTAAAAAAACGTGAAAAAAACTGTACTATTCTACATAAAAGCGATGTATCGCTGGACCCCTTTACGTTGGCTAATGATCTAATAAAAGTAACTATCTAAATAAGACAGCACAAATCGCCATCTATTACCAGAATTGACCACTGCGGGAGTGTATCGGTTGGAACTGTAAAGATCCCAGTTTGCGTTTGATAGCCCAATCAACAATCTGATCACCAGAGGCTGACGATTTTGGCGGTATAGTAACTGTGGTCTATTCGCCATTGAACAACTAAACATGCTTTAGTCTGTTCGAACGCAGGCAGTCAACCTCGGACAGGTGTTTTGTGCTTTTTGGCAACTCATCAGCATGGTCCAGGTTTGGTCTCTGGAACAACCAACGAAGGTAAAGCTACTATGCCTTATCCGAGGTATGAGGTCTATCGAAATAAGACAGCACGAAGCGCCATTTATTAGCAGTAAAGGTCAATGCGGGAGCCTACAGCAGCTATCGGTTGGAACAGTAAAGATCTCAGTTCGAGTTTGATAGTCCACTCATGACTGTGGCTGCTAGAGGCTGATGTTCTGGTGGTATAGTAAATGTGGTCGACTACGGTTGGCTGTCTGTGGTCGGACGGACGAAAGCAGCAAGTTTAGCCGATAAAAGTAATTCTCAATCGCATTTTTGTGTTTTTTTTATTCGATTGGAGCAGCAACTGCGAAAACCTTGTGGCAAAACTACAGTTGATAGAAGAAATATGATAAGCAAGTGATTAGTTTACGAGTGATCATTAGACTCAAGAGATATGTTTGCGTACGAGGTTGTTTCCCGCAGATCGTTGATTGCATATTTGTTATACATTGGGAGTTATTGGCAATTAAATGGAATACCATATACAGGGTGTTCCTAAAAAACTCAGGGTGTTGAAGTTTTAGGAAAAAATGAAAATTAATTAATATTTTCAGAACTGCTTCAGATATTTCACTGATATTTAGTACGTAGTGAAAGTTAATAAAGTTGCATATTTCTCAATGCAAATATAATTTTTAGCTTTAACAGTGGCGTGCGTACGGGTATTGACTTCGATAATTTTTAAGAAAAAAATGGTACGCCAACGGTTTTTTGCCAAATAAAAATTATTTTTGAATTCCCCGTTCAATTCAAAACAAACGATCTCTGTTGAATTATTTTCCTTCGCTGCGCCATTTTTGAGTAAAAAAAAATAAAAACCGTTCTATTGTCCGAGAAAATTAATGTAATAAAATTGAAGAATTTAGCAATAAATATCTAGTTGCTCTGGAATATGTCACTGGCTTCTGACATCTAACAAGTCTCTGCTATTCAAATCTGTTCGCTGTGACATCTTTTCCATTATTTAGTTTTTACACAATATATGGCCTTGCCGACGGTAATGGTGAGCATGCCAGACGGATTTATCACCAGAGATATCCCGATCGTGCTTTGCCAGATAGTTTACCTAGTGAACCTTTTCTAATATTCATCGTCGTCTTGTTGAAACTGGTTCTGTCCCAAAAAGGAACATCTGAAGGTAGACTTCTAAGTGTGAGACCACCTGAAATTGAGGAAGCAGTGCTGCACGAAGTCGAAGAACATCCTGAGATCGCTGGACACTTAAATATCTGCCATCAAATTGTTTGGAGAATTTTAGTGGATTTTTTGTTATATCCTTACCAGATTTTAAGAGTACAGGCATTACTTCCCATTGATTTTCCAAGGCGTGTGGCCTTTTGTCAGTGGTATCTTCAAAATATTACACAATATCCGCAATTTGAATCAATGATTCTGTTCTCGGACGAAGCTAATTTTTCTCGAAATGCCTTTCAGAATTTCTACAATAATCATTTGTGGGCAGAAGAAAATACCGATGCCGTAACCAAAACCCATTTCCAACACCAATTTTCGATTAACGTATGGGCAGGAATTATTGGCAACCACTTTATTGGCCCATTCTTCTTGCCGGGACGACTTGACGGACAGACTTACCTCAATTTTCTTCAACAACAGTTGCCTTTGCCGCTTGATGATGTTCCGTTAGTAATAAGAAACAATATGTGGTACATGCATGATGGTGTACCAGCGCATTTCAGTGTAGCGGTTCGCAGTTATTTACAAAATGTTTATCCAAATCGTTAGATTGGTCGCGGTGGGCCACAAGAATGGCCACCAAGGTCCCCAGACCTCAACAGTTTAGATTTATTTTTGTGGGGCTATCTTAAGACACTAGGGTAGACAGATCCCATCAACACTGAAGAGGAATTAAGAGAAAGAACAGTTGTAGCTTATGATAGAATAAAAAACACTCCAGGAATATTTCAACGAGTGCGCAATTCCATGAGAAGGAGGGCGGAAGCATGCATACTAAGTGAAGGGGGTCATTTTCAACAATTTTTGTAATCATTTGGTTGGTTTTAATGTTATGTTTATGTTGTCAGTTGTTGTTGTTCTTTCCCCTAATGTGTTTTATTTTTCCAACTAAATTAATAATAATTTAAAGCTAAAAATTATTTTTGCATTGAAAAATATGCAACTTTGTTAACTTTCACTACGTACTGAATATCAGTGAAATATCTGAAGCGGTTCTGAAAATATTAATTAATTTCCTTTTTTTTAAAACTTCAACACCCCGAGTTTTTTAAGGACACATTTTTGGACCATAGTTTATAAAGCAAACTAACATTAATTTCTCATGTAGATACACACCCTTAAATATTCGCATATCATTAAGGAACACCCTGTATATATAAATATGTTGATAGCTAGATTTTACTTGTGTAATACGCTACTTATACGTTTTTCTTCTTCAAGGATTTTACGAATAAAAATAGTCCCGTGAGCGTGCCAGAGGGGGTTGTGAAAGTTCCGAGTGTTCGAAATTTTTGGAAATTTGGAAATTTCGAAAGTTCTGAATATTTAAAAATTTTGAAAATCCTGTAAATTTAGAACAATCTCAAAATCTTGAATATGTAGAGAATTCTGCAGTTCTGAAAATTTCGATAGTTTTGAAAATTATGAAAATGTCGAAAATCATGCAAATTCTGGGTATTATTTTAAAAAATACAGAATATTTTAAATATTTAAAAATCTTGCTAACCGGAAATTCTAAAAATTCTGAAAATAACCCAAAGTTTGAAAATGAAAAATTTTCAAATTTTGGCTGCTTATAAAATTTTGTAAATGTGATATCGTGCATTATTTGTTTGAAACCCAAGGTAGCGATAATTCCTGAAACGGCTCTCAGTCGTCAAGGAACGTCCATAAATGTGGCCCAGTGGATTTTTTCACAACCTCTGATCAAGACGAAATCGAGTTGAAGTCAAGTTGCCGTCAAGTGTTTTTGGTGAGAAGAGAGCCATATAACTATCCTAAAACTAACCTGTCATTTGCCAATTTTTGAAAAACTGCTTCACCTCGAAGGCACAGGACAAACAAAACATTTGAAAAAGCATTATGCTACATATTCATAAAAATAAACTTTATTATATTTCAAGGGGTCCACCGAGAACGCCCCCATACAGAAACAAGGCCTACTTAAAAGACAGATACGGAGAGACAGTACCATCTTCTGACAAGACAACTCTCTACCCGGTCAAAGTTGGTGCCAATTTGAACGTAAGGGAAGTAAAGAAGGTCCCTGAAGGACGGATTTATTCTAATGTGGATAATAGGGCAAGATATGGAGAAGATACGCTACCCTATCCAAGCGATAGATTGTGATTTTCCAGCTCGTAGTGTCAAGGTCCAGATTTTAAATCCCAGGTTACTCTCAAGTTGGGTAACTATAACTTGATGGTTGCCCGTAAATTCGTGTTTCAGTTCTGGTTGACTAACCCATAATTTTTGATGTGGCAACGCTGTTTCTTCGTCTGAACTATTGTGATCTGAGCATTTGTGACGCTTTACCACCAGGAGCCTGATTCTAAATGAGTTTCGACTGTTGAAATTAATTTCGATGGCGCCTTGTGATGATATACTTGATTCGCTATAATAATTTTGATATCTGCTTATATCGATCTTCTATATTCAAATTATCTTGGCATTGTCAAGACTATCATAGCGAATCAAGTCTATTGTCACAAGATGCTATTGAGATCAATTTCAATGGTCGAAATTCATTTAGAATCAGGTCCCAGCACTAAATAGGTTAAACTCATATAGTGGGGGTCAAGCCAAGAATGTCGACGATGAAGAAAGTTAGTACACTGCGCAGGAAATGACTGATTTCAGGTGCTGTGCATACGGCATCTATCTCGTATGTTGCAAACAGAAATAATGCATAATCTAAATTAACAACGAAGCAATAAACTTATAAAGCATGGCAAATAATGCGCATAAAGATTGCAACAGGTTATGTTGAATTTTTTTGAAATTTTTCAATGTGCCGACGTTGTACGCACTGTTCTACACCCACTAGACTTCCGGGAGCTACACCATTCTTGGCGACAGGATTGGCTTCATACGAATGCTTGTATCCCTTATGCAGTTTAACTTCCTATCTGTAGTCTTCCTGTGCTCGGCGCTTGTGTCTCGTGTCATTTAGGACAGCTCATGTCATTGACAAGCCCAACAGGTTAAGAGCTGAGGTTTAACATATACCCTATTTCACGGGTATCCGCTTTGACGTCTACTGAGGTAAACAGCTGATCAGCAAGTGACATTTTTGTGTTAGTCTGCGACGTTGGCAACAATGAATCGGATGCAAATCTAGTAAAACTTGTTTGTTTTTTGTATGCAAATGAACTTGTCCAAATAAAAGAGCTGTTAGCAAGTACAAAATAAATCTGTAGAGTACAAACAACCAAAACAAAATACGACTCTGACTAGCTGACGTTAACGGTTCCGTCAAAATTATATGTCCTGTGCCGATATGGGGAATTTTGAGATATTACTAGATAATCAGCTGTCAGTAAACCGCGATGGATACTTGTGAAATAGGGTATAACCATTGATTAACGTATTCTACCTAAAGGTAGCCAACTTAATGCAATATTTGCGCGTACAAGATAAAAGGAGTACCGTAGCGTCATATATGAGAGTTTATCACAACTGCTTCTCTACTATATATACTTTGAAAAGGTTAGTGTTTAATAGAAGCGTATATGCTGGTATATTCTCATGGAGTTAGCAATAGCAACAGCATCATCAATTAGGCCCTTATAAAATATACGGTGAGGTTAAAGTTTGGATTAAATCGTAATGTGTATGAGAGAGAAACGCGAGAATAGTAAAATGTGAATGTTAAAAGATTGTGCTGATGGCATACGTGATCTCGTACTCGGATTGTTAGGCAACGAGGTGCTTCTATCTCTTTCGCACACATTACGACATCAGTGATATTAGGGTTTGAGTGTATAGTAAATAGAGAAACAGCTGTGACAAATTCTCATAGATGATGCTACGGTATCTCATTTTATCTCGGATAATTTTTTAGACGCGCGAATATAGCATTAGGTCGGCTATTTTCAGGTAGAATACGTTAATCAATGCTATAACTTACTAGTCAAATCAAAGAAGGCCCTCTGGTTAAAGTTAGCTATCTTTTTAGGACGTTTAACGCGTTTTGAGAGTTAACTGGGAGTTAGCAAAAAAATTTGGTTAACCTGAGAATGGAAAATCTGGTAATGTGATTCAAAATTGTTAAATATGCATGTTTTCTTCAGGAGAAATGTTTCTTTTCGTTGAAATTGAACATAATACAGAATGGTCACGTTTGTCAAAGGATACCGTTACTACAATGATCGCAGACAAGCTTTATATTAAATCATCAATATGTTGTGAGTGCGAACGATGATAGAAGTAAGGAATTTGTACATATCATAGAATATACGGATGTTCCATGCTGTTCCGTTTCTCCTGAAGTGAACCTTGTATGTGACTCATTTTTTATAAGAGTATATTATTAAGTTATTTAAGCTTTTCTCTAATTTAATACAATTTGTACGCGAAAATATTCTATAATTATAGACTTTTTATGAATATTTTTACACCTTGAATAAATAAATATATGAATAAATTTGCTTTTTGAATTATACCAAGGTGATGTCATGAACGATCTGGAAAGATCATATTTCTTTTGCCATGCTTTTCAAGGAAAGTGACAGAGAAATGGAAATTTACCAAGTACTTTGAAATGATAAAAAAACCTGATACGGCTGTAAAAAATCTTGAATTGCCGCGTGGGAGCATCAGTGGATAAACTGTCAAAATAAAAAAGTGGATATGACAAAACATACACTTTATTTTTTAAACACCATAAATACATTAATAACATTTAAAGCTTAAGATAGAAGTATTTTAAAAACAGTACTTAAAAAAATAACAAAACATACAAAAAAGTGTAGAAAGAATTTCGCGAGTTATATGGCTCCAGTATTAAATCAAAATTTTTATAAAAATACGCATACAATAAATCTAATCTAATTGAAAACCGGTAAATATTTCTCTCATAAAATAATTTATTTTACAAAAATACAGAATATATACGTATAAAAAGGTATATATGTTGTGTATATAGATAATCTTGAAGCGTATACATCGTACTATATAGATCCAAAACAAATATAACATTAAAAAGGAGGATGAATTCAAATTTATATATCTTTTCTGTAATATGGATTAATATGACATGTATCTATTGATAACAGAGTGTTATTATTGTTTGTGAAGGCACATTGTATAAGTTTACTGTGAAAAAATGCAGAAATATCAGATAGTATTTGAAACATTGCAAGAAGTCTAGGAGGAGAAAAATGAAAACATGCAAAGAATTTTCAAATCTTCGCTTAATAATACTGCCCTCCTTGGTTAAAACGTTCTAATTACAGGTTTATTAAGATTTGTAATTTATGGATAGGACGTTGTGTTTGGAAGCTCGTAATATTTGGACATAGGACAATATATTTAAGTAATTATGGTAGGGACACAGTGGGGTTAGGATATTTCAAATTAGAAGAATAGATAGATAATGCATAGAATAACTGGCATATGCATGTAGGCAAAACATTTAAAAAATGTGGTTAGGACGTTCTAACTAAGGACGGCAGAATACAAGTTATTTCTGCTGCATATAAAAGACTTATTTTCTGAATCGACCTCCTTTTTCTACTTCTCTATGAAACAAGCTCGCGAATATTGGTACATACAATACAGAAGATATATAGCTCATCATTAATGAAAATAACATCAAAAAATATATTCTGTGTGGTGTGGGCGAGATGCTATACATTTTATTTTTGTGTTCAACGTACGTGTTGCATAGATATATTTATTCAGTGACTTGGTTTCACAATAAACTGGTCGTCAGTTTTTATAGTTAGTGAAGTATAAACACCAATGATCTTTGCTAAAAATATAGTTAAATTTTTATTTTCATTTATACCAAACACCTATTGGTAGTGTGTAATGAACACGTGGCAGTGGTTTGTGGGGATAAGCATGTGACCGACCTAGGCGACCGCAGAAATTTTTCTCAGGGAGGACCGATCATCGGCAAGAGATAACTTTTTGTGAAAGTTTTCTTGCTCCCAAAACATTCTGAAGAGTGGGGTGTTAGCAAATTCTCTAAATTCTATACAGTCATGCTAAATGTGCAAATTTTAAGGTCCAATGAGATTCCCAGGAGGGGCCACGGTCGCTTCTGCGGGCACCCATGGTCATATCGTGATACTTTTAATAGACTCAAATTTCAATGTTTATCATTCATGGCCTATACAAAGATCAGTGCTGCTTAAGAATTTTGGTCACAATACCTGCACATTTTCGTGCTCAAGCTATACCTGAAAAAATTCATTGTATGAAATACACAGTTGTATTGCTTTTCTCTAAGCAAAACAGTAATAGGCATTGAGGAATTCTTGTCATGAAAGGCCACTAGTACAAATTCTGCTCCAGAGTTCAAAAGTAGCTGTTATACATATACGATTGAATAATATAGAACGTCAACATTTCAGTTTTAAAATATATCCACGTTATATGTTGTGATATGAACCAGAACGTAGTGAAAATAGGTCAGTGTTCACGGCTTGCTAAACGCCTTTATCTGACACTCAGTATATCTTTCACTTGATGTGAGATAATGGATAGCATGTTATTTTTTCATTAAAAAAATTAGGTCACAAATGTTTATTTTTGGGGAGTAGATGTCATCTTAAACCTCTAGAGAGTACACGAAAAGGGTCGCAAAGAAAAACAAGTATGGGCGTAACCCTCTAATCAATAAAACATTTTTGATCATTTTTTTCTTTTGAACGTACAGTTTCAATAAGTGTAATATTTCTAGTTCTCATTGAAATCGACAAAAAAACAGGGTCATCAGGAAAATGTGGTATCATATAAATATGTGATAGAAGAGAGCACAAAAAGGACTACACCGGATCAGCTATATTTTGTTGGTCTACACAACGTTTAGACACTCCATGTGATGGTCGTCTTGGTATTAGTGGCGTGCATTGCGACGAGTATTGCGACCTTTAGCATCAAACCTGTTACCAAAAACGTACCTTAAAAATGTTTTGGAGACCATTTGATTCAGAAGAACTTGGAAGACATGTGGAACTACCTTTTAGATAAATAGTGTCGTAAAATCTGTCGATCTCCACCTACCAATGGTTTACCAAGCTGATTTGCATCCTCATCTCATCTGAGATGTTAGACCCCTACGTCAGTGGCTCATAACTGCTCGATGTTCTGTATTCATGAAGTGCAGATCTCTCAACTACTTACACAATGTCTGAACTAGACCTAAGGAAACATGTCCATTTCACCAAACAGTGACAGAATTCCAACTTGTTTTTTATGCGGTTTCAATTAAGAATTGAAATAATACACATCATATCACATCGTATAACTTTTTGCGTAAATTGTAAACTGTAGTCATCGGGAAAAAACAGGTACCAAATGATCTCAATAGAAAATGTTAGGGAATCTTACTGCATTATATGAAACATTCAGTTGACATTTGAAATATATGCAAAGACGTCGCTTGCAATTTGAATTAAATTCTGTCTACTTGAAAATGAACAGAAATAGTCTAGATATTTTTGGGTATCATTCCGGCATGAACAACTTTTAATCCTAATTCATAAACTTCGAGTTAATTGACTTTTTGAGTTTCCCGCTCATTCTCTATTAAAGAAACATTCCTTCTTCGGAAACCATCGTTACGAAAAGTATAAACCTAAATAATCTTTGTACACTGATGGAAAAGAAATAAAAGTCACGTGGTCAGTTTAGAAGTCTCCTCGCCAGGTGAGGAGTGAGTCCAACAAGAACAGGGCTCCGTTGATGATGGCCAACGAAGCCTTGGACAGACCGTAGTCTCTCCATTCGCTTTTGCCGTAGTCATCGTAGATCTGGATGTTCAAGGCACCTGCAGCTACAAAAATAGCGCAGCCTACCAATGAGAAGAAGATGTCGATGCGCCTGTTGATTGGTGTGCTCATCAAGTAGCCTGAAAGATAAAAAATTGCATTTATATTATCCGTCCAGCGAGAGAATACAAGATAAACGCATACCAGTGAGACATAGTGACGACATTAGACGTGCATGAAATATAGTTCATGGACAATTATTTGGAATATACTCACTGAAAGCATTATTCAAAAATAATAGTGAAATTATAAAATTAAAATGCATTATCCATGCGACATATACAATTATTGAATATTTTTTTATTTAATTTTTAGGTTAGATACAGGGTGTCCTAAAAGTGCACCCATCAATTTTTTTCTACAGGCTTAGAGACATACACTTGAATATCTACGTTTTACATAAATATGCTTAATTTTATTATTCTACATCTTATTCATTCTATATGTTACCGGTAATCTGTACAATTCAGGTATTCTATACAAAACCTAGGCAATGTATAGAATATATTATGAATATTATTACCTAGGTAATGAATACAATTCCTAGGGATTGTATATAGAGTAACTGCTGTTCACTCGGCAATGTGTAAAATAAATAGATCTTGGTCTAAATTAATCAATGTTAACAGGCATACGTATAAAATGACGGGCAAATGAAACAAGTTATATTATTTAAAATCAACTTTCTTAAAATTAACGATTTCGTCTTTCACATACATTACCCGCTGCGCATTGGTTATGGTTTAGTTTACCTAGGCAAAGTATAAAACAAATAATATTTCATACATTACCTACACGTTTTAGGTATTCTATACATTACCTAGGTATTGTATAGAATACCGGATTATACAGATTGCCGGACTTTTATAATATCGAATAAATAAAGGATATATGTCTATGATGTAATATTTTTGACACCAAACCTAATTACGCTTAAGCCGGTTGCTATACGTACATTAACTGGACTAATTATTCAGTGATAGCTTTTTCCACAGTACATTGTTTGGGAACACATCCTGTAAGGCTCATTGAGAAATAGCATAACTGACTATTTTCTACAAAATCTTTAAAAACCGTTGACAATCGATGGTTTTTCTGTTTGGAAATTACCCTTCCTATCGCCCTCTTTCGTTTGATCCATGACATTTAGGATACCCTATTTAGGCGTAAATGAGACGTGAAGACGCTATAGGTTTCTCAAATAAAATAAGAATTTTGTTAATACTGCTGGTCTATATCATTTTAACAGCGATTGGCCATATTGAAGAACCCTTCAGATCCTAAAATCTCTGACAACAGAATGAAAAAGATTTAGACTAAATTGTGTCTTTCATTTATCAGCACTGGCCTTCAATGAGCTTAATAAATTTCATCGAGATAAATATATCTAAATTGTTAATTTGTTTGATAACAACCTGGTTGGTACAACATTTAATTAATTTTTTAACGGAACACATTGAACTCTACTAGAAATTAGACTAGGTGATGTTGCAGTTTTAGTAAGACCTTGTGTTACTTATGTGTTACAAGTGTATATCTGTGCTAGTATGGAAAACAAGATCGCCATATTGGAAAAACTTTGCTGAATATTTCTTTGGTCGTGATATTCTCTCTGTAGCTTACGAATCTTCATTTTCCCGCCAACCAGGAAATTTTGCACGGTTCAGTTTCAACTCCAACCTTGTTTCTGTTAAGGAAGGAACGGCAATATGGATATCGACATATCGGCAATATCGGTCTAATTTACCGATATGACCGGCCCATATGCCGATATAGGCCAACCAACACAAACCAGAAAATGAATTACCAATTGTATCAATGTAACATCAATTGCTTTTGCATATGATACAAATTGCACTAACGACTTTGTCAGCCATTTAATTGGTGCGTTGCGCAATTTTTCGGGATTTTAATCATTTTCGTACAGTATTGAACCTAATATCTTCGAAACAAGTCAAGATGCGACTCACACTGTATGAACCGGTTTCATGAAACTTATGTTGCTTGGAAAAAATAGAAAATCTTAAAGAAAACTCAAATCTGTGACTATGTCGTTTCATAAACCACAATTTTATGAATCAAGGTTTTATGAAATACTTTCCTGCAATTCTAGTTTTATGTCCCAAGTGATAATTTCAAATTGGAGGATTTTAAAGACTTCCACAACTATTAAGAAACTGAAGGCAAATAAGATGCTTTGAAATTCAGTATTTAGATACTCTTGAATTTGTCAGGATCACTCATATGATAAATGCTGTGAGTATCACTGATCAACGAATGGACACAAGCTCTCGTTTTTTCCTTTTCTCGCAAATATCAGTACAAACGCATTTCCGTCGATTACTCAAAAGCTTGCCACTTGGCACTTTCGGTTGTACTAGGAGTAGGTACCACGTTGCTTGTTTTAAATAGAATATCCTAATGTTTGGATTCTATGCGAGATTCTAAACACATTCCATGTGTATGATCCTACATCTAAGTCTAACCGTTTTTGTGATTTTGTATAAAAAATGACAAACGTGGGCTAATGAATTATAACAACCTTTCCTCGTGTTTTTGTGGACAAATTCTTCTCAACCTCCTCATAGGAATCGCTGTACTTCGCTATGTCTGCTTCGCCTCCATGGATTTGTCTGCCTATAAATTCCGGTTTGTACCGTATGCCCTAATCAGGTCCTGTATTTCAACCTTACCGGAGCATGTTATTCAATACATAATAGGTCGTCGGTGTTGTGCCCCTGGGGAGGTTTTTTTCGACTGGTTTAGAATGAACAAAGGAATCTTACCTGCAAAACCTCCGATCAGGATGATAACGTAACCTCCGAAGGCAGCCGCGCTCAGCGTGTCAGCATTGAAGTCATTTGTTTTGCTTTTGTAGTGGAGGCCGATACATACTATAGCGATGACCTGGGAGAAATAAAAAATATGTCAGAAATGATTAAAAATAATGTAAAAATGCAACTGCGCATATCGAAGAGCCAGTGAAGGTAGTAACCTGGCAGCGCCGAGAGGCTAATATTTAACATTTTACTGGGATGAGAGTACTCTGGTTAGCTACTTTTTCAGTAATTTCCAATATATTTTTTCAAAACTATGCTCTCTTACCAAGCAATGCCATTTATAGTCAACTTGTTAAGAGACCTTCGCAATTTCTGGATGCAATTTAAAATGAGTTCCGTATTGCGTTATTCCTCTTGTCGAGGCTCTTGAATTTTTGATAGCCGACATCTGCACCATAATGTTTTTTCTCATACATTTTTCTCATACATTTTGAATATTGTCAGTGACACTGACAAGAAGAAGAGATGTGAAGTCAAAAGTCAAAGAGTAACTTGGAAATCCACATGGCTATTATTTAAAAAACATAAAAAATGTAAAAAAATACAGACGAAAAGTCATCTAGCAGACTAGGTAGTTTGCTTGCTATGATTGCTTTCCGCTGACGTTTGAGCAACACGTACAGATACAAAAGAGCTCGAAACAAGTGTAAAACAGCTTGTGCTAAGTTAACATCTTGTGGAAAAACCTACGAAATGTCAAACAAAAAAAAAAAAGACGAAATGACACTTTTTAAGATACGTAATACCCGTGCCGGAACCTATTTTTTAATCATATCCAGAACTTGCGAAGGACACCTTACAAATTGACTATAAACATTGACTAACGTATACCTGAAGATAGCTAACATGCTACTATATTTGCGCGTCCAAAAAATTATTATGAAATGCGTCATCTATTAGAATTTGCTTCAACTATGTTTCTCCTCTCCGCAATAATTATAATAATTATACTTGCTAGTTCTAGGAATAAGGAAGAATAAATACTGAGTTGGCCAATAGTTTCAAAACACAAAATGTTGGAGCTGCTTTTCTGGCACATGCACATGATAAAATTATTTCGCTCAAAGCAAAATTTTGTAAAATTTTGATAAATTTTTGAAACTGAAACTGCTAAATATAAGATATTTGGACAATTTTTTAACTACAACACCAAGACGCAATCAATCTATTTTGCTAATAAATAAGCACCATTCATAGGCTTGTGGAGTCCGACTCTGGATTTTTTAACCGTCCGTCGTTACGTTACTCCTAGGCAACTCAAGTTATCGTGTAAAATTTAAACAAAACCGGTTCAATAGTGAATGAGATATACGATATTAAATATTTTGCGTGTTTAGATGGTCCGCATACACTGAATTTAGAGCTTTTTTCTTTCCAAATATGAAAATATCTCGGCGATTACCGCCTACCATTTCTCTACGTGCATTTAAGTACGGATCACCATTATTAATCAACAATTATTGGTAGGTCGTCGTCAATCTGGTAGTTACAGGCAATTTAAGTAGTCGTTGAACCACATAGAAGCCTTCTCACATTCCCAAAATCTCAGCTCGCTTTCCAGAACCACAGACATCTGAGACTGGATAGTTCTTCAACTTCCTCATAGGATTTGCATATTGCTAACAAGATCAAAATTTTAATGATTCTCCGGTTAGGATCTGCAAAAATGGCTAGGGTTCATTGTTACAACTTAGAGAAACGAGCAATACATGACGCTACGGTATTTTCGAACCTGCAAGTATAGTACTTGGTTGGATATTTGCTCGAATATTCTCATAGGATTGGCAACAGCGCCATCTATGAGACTCTTACCTTTTCAAAGCATATAGTATAAAATATAGTTAATAAAGAAACAGTTGTGACAACTTCTTATAGATATTATAGGTGGTACGCTATCTCATTTTATCTCGGATAAGTTTTTATACGGGCAAATACAGCCTTAGTTTGGCTATTTTCAGGTAGAATACGTTAATAAATGCTCAGTATAAATGATAATGGTTCGAATGTTTATAATTCCTTTCAAGCTCTGGTTTTCGGAAAAGCTGAAATTTCATTTATTTAGGCCCGAAAGCAATTTGTTGTAAATCGACTAGGAAAATGACCACGCATGAAAACAATGATAGTAGCAGTGACATCATCCAAAAACATTGACGTTGAATTCAATGGATATTCGAAGGTCGATGATATCATAAAAAATGCATGAGTAATGATCAATGACACACATTTAAATCCATTGATGAATCATTTTAAATCATTTTCATACGAAGAATTTCGCAAAATTTTATAAATTAAATTTACGTAAGTTTATAGTGGAATATTAGTCAAAAATTGTGGAATTTTGTTTTCAATGAAGATTGTAGAATAGCATACTCGCTATATTATTTGTTGTGCTATCATCACTCTCAAATTACAAGCAATCAAAGTTGTTAACATCTAGAGTTATAAATATGTATATACACATACGTAACACAAAACTTAAGACGTTTAGGACATACGTTCATTTGAAGTTTTCTTGATTAGGAAACATCCGGTATATCAAGAAATATGCAGGTGTAATAAGTGTTCATATTTTCTAACTAATTGGTCGAAAAATGGTCAAATACATCTTTCCACGGTATGTCCAAATAAAGTTCACTTTACTAGAAAGCCCAGTGATGTACTAAACAGGATGATTCATAATGAATTCCTCAAGACGCAATCCTGGATTTAACTCGTGAAAACAGTCAAATCGCGCCAGTAAAATGTCGCTGGTTAATGAGATACAGGGTGGAGAAATGAAATTATCGAACACTTTATTTCTCTAAGTTCAAGTTGTTCTTGTTATATCAGCATGAAAATTCAACCTCAAGAGATTCTTAAGATGATGATATCTAATAGTACCTCAGACATTGTAGCATTGATAAATATCTATAACAATTGTAATATTGTTGACAAAATAAAATGAACATCTTGGATATTATAATAAAATGAAACAGGCTAGAAAGTGATCTCTTTATCAAATTTGTATAACTTATCGTTAATTAGAAAATTAAGAGTTCATTCAACCAAACCCTCTACATTTGGAGCACACGTGCTCTACACGATAGTCAAAGGCTGCATTCAAACTTTAAAGTGCATTAAAGTTAAAGCAATTATGCAATTACAAAGATGGGTCTTATTCCGAACTCGAGAAAATGACACCATTAGACCAATAAAAATTAATTGAACTATACTGGCACTGGCTCTGGATGGCATTTTGTTATGGTATTTATCAAAGAGTATATGCTACGAATAGTAGGGTCACTCAGTAGTCGAACCAACTGCCTCAGTCATAGGTAAAATTTCTCTCCAACCGCCGACCGAACAACCACACATACGTCTAGAAGCAACAAAATCGCGGACTCTACTTGGACCACGCTCAGCTTTCATAATAGCGCGATTGCAGTATAAGCCGAGGAATGAACAGTATTCTAGCTAAACGTGTCATAAATTGATTATAAGATTACGTTATAATGCTGCTCAACTTTCACATGATCAGTTTTTTAAAATATACCTTTAACTGCTTTTTATGAATTGAACTAAGAGGAAAACACCAATACATATTACGACACACGACTGTATCAACTTTCGAGATAAACGTTTAAAATATGGGGGAAGGATTTACTTTGAGTTTTGACGTGACGCTTTAATGCCCCTCAATTTTCATATGATTTGTTTGTTTTCAAACATCCTGTATATAAGAAAGGATGCTGGTTGACATATCACCGAAGAGGCGAAACCGTTGAACATGGAAAGTTGTAATTTCACAGAGATATTCTTCACAAGGCTCAAGTTAGCATTAACGATGGATTGTTGGAATTTCATCCTCTAAGAGAGCGAATTGAGGGGAGGTAGTTTGTAAGCACCTTTTAGTCTTTCAATGGATTTATTTGAAGCTTCATACAAATACACTGTAATACACATAAAAATATGTTGTTAAACATTTTTATAAAGTCATCCCCTAAGAGGGGTGAATTCTCTATCAACGTAGAGCCGCAACTATCGAACATATATACTTGGAATTTGCAGAGGTCTCCTTGATGAAGTACAAGTTAGCACTAAGGAGGAATTTCTATAGTTTCATCGCCTAAGGAGTTTGAATGAAACTTCTTATTATGTATTTGACACTTCATTTAGATAGAAAAATATGTTACACGTTTTTTTAAATCCATCCCCTTAAGGGACGAAATAGGCTTTGGAAGTTTGGGCACATTTTTTATTCCTTCAATGAATATACTTGAAACTTTGTTCAAATACTCAACAATTCAAAGCAATGAGATTTGGCATTTTTCGAAATTCATCCAAATGCAGAATGAACTAAGGGGTCGAAATTTCCCACCTTGTCTAATCCCTTGTTGATATTCATGTATAATGAACAACAAAAAAAGGCGAAGCTTTTACTTCAAACGCCTACTACCGGCGAAGTTTCGAAAATGAAATATTATGTTTTTTGGATGTAATATGAAACGTACATCACGAAAATCCATGTCACTCATTTTCGTCTGTCCGCTAATCTTATAACCACCTATAATTTGCGAAGTACCTCTAGGATTTCGATGAAAGGACGTAAAAGTTCCGTAGTATTCGAAAATCGATCCAGTGGAGACCAGAGAAAGAGACCTTGAACGAAAAAAGTAAGAATCGCTGAAACTTCGTTTTTTGACGTTTCAGAAAATCCTGATTGTTGAAAACAATTTTAGAAAAGAAAAACACTTGGGGTTGGGGAGGGTTAATCTCAATTTTTTGATTTTAGTAGATTTATACGCTCTCAACCTTGGTAATTCTGCGCACGCACCTAAGTATTTCGTACATGATAGATTTCTGTGCACATTAGCCCTTAAAACTAACATAAAAATTTTCTCGGCAGACGGATCGCGTACGGCCGGATTTATTATTGTGGTATGGCATCACACGTATTTCTGCCGCGCCACAGCATAGTGTTTCCTATGCTCTGGCCATTTTTTGGTATAGCACAGAACTGTGTGATGGTGCGGAACCCTTGCTGTCTCGGACTTGGCTGGCTGTTATTATTTTCTTTTTGCTCATAGT